TTAAAATTGCGGCTATTTAAATGATACGGAAAAATACGGCAGGGGAATAAATCTCCAGAGTGTTTTTAGAGACGACAGTTATCTGAAATTCTGGTTTGGGTGGAACAAAAACGAAATCTGATGCCACGTCAAATAAATACTGTTTTTTCTCTCTAAACAAATTAGGAGTTAAAACTGAATTGAAATCGAAAGTAAATGGGTTTTTTCTCAGCTGGATGTCACTGCGCTTAAAAGTGAAAGCTGATCACTGAATGAGTATTTTCTTTATTCTTGAGGACATTCCTTGCGGCACAGCTCCCATATGACACAAAAGAAAAACGTTTTAACCGGGATCGTAAGCAATAAAAACTTGTTTTTGTTTTCACAAAATGCCTTACTTCATGCTCTGCTTTGTTTTATAATGTTTACAAAAAGATATTTTAATTATGAACAAAAAGTCAGTTGCTAGTTTTAATATTTCTTAATTAAAACAAGTTACAGAAAATTTACATCTAACAATTAAGTGTTGTGAATCAGGCTCCAACGCGCCTGCAGCCTGGCGCATGTGCCGAGGTGAACACACCTGCAGTCAAACTCTCCTGTCATAAACAAGAACTCTCGGCTTAAAATTTTCATTTACAACCTTCAAAGTCAGAACGGGGAACCCCGGTGTAATTGTGAAAGGGTGAAAAATGAGCTTCAAAGCACGTCTTCGCGTTGCAGAAAAATGACGACAACTGCAAACTTCACCGGTCACGAAAAGCAGACCACACTGAGTAATCCTCTAGAGCCATACTGTTCCCCAGAATTAGCTGAAGGTTTACAACATCCGCTTGTATGTCTTATTGTGCTGAACATTTTCCTGTCCATCTGTGCGTTTCTTGGGAACTCGTTAATCCTAGTTGCGCTTCACAAGAAATCATCTCTTCACACGCCGTCTAAACTTCTTCTCCGTTGCCTGTCAGCATCTGACCTCTGCGTTGGGCTCATTGCGGAACCAGCCATTGTTGTGTATTGGACTTCACTGCTTTTCGGGGCGAACGCGACCTGTCGATACTCAGCTCTCATCAGCCACCTCACAGGCTACATATTGGGCTCAGTATCTCTGCTAACACTTACGGCAATAAGCATCGATAGGCGCTTAGCACTGATGTTGGGGCTCCAATACAAACAGATTGTAACTTTGAAGCGAACATTCATGACCGTGATCGCTGTGTGGCTTCTTTCCATTGTCGGCACTACACTCTTTTTTGTGAATTATTTCATAACACTGTGGTATGGTAACATTATAATATTATCGTGCCTGGTAACTTCTATTTACGCTTATACCATGATTTTTCGTTTTCTTCGCTGTCATGCATATAAAGTCCAAAAAACTGCCCACCAAGGACAGCCAAGCCAAAACCTCCAGCCGCTTAACCTTGTGCAATACAAAAAGTCGGTCAAAACTGCGCTGTGTGTACAGTTAACTTTAGTAGTCTGTTATCTTCCATATGCCATAGCACAAGCTTTGCCTAAACGACCACATGAAGTATCTCAGTCTCTATATCTTGTAAGGGCGATGGCGCAGACTTTAGTTGATCTAAATTCGACACTTAACCCAATTCTTTATTACTGGAGGATCGGAGAAGTAAGACGATTGGTGAAGGAAAGTCTTAGAAGATTGGCCTGTTCTAGTTAATTAACAGGGATTCAAGGTGCTAACCTCAACACACCCAAAGATGTCAAAGATTTGGACAATTTTTCTTAAAAAAAAGAAAAGGTAATTTTCAGTCTGAGGTCTTCAAATAAAATCTGATGGTCTTCAAATAAAAGCCAAGCGTGCTCATCAAAGTGCCAGTTTGTACTGTGCGAAACGTCAAGGTTCATTATCGAAAAAGGAGTCAAGGAGTTTTAATCAAGCAGAAACAAAAGATATTTGAGTACGCAACTCCAAGCTAAAATAAAACAGAATAGAATTTCGTTGTGAAGGCTTCATTTGCCGTCAATAACTTTTAACTGAAAAAGTAAAACCGAAGTCGGTCAGTTAAGTCAGGAAAAAGAGTCAAAATGGCGCGCTAGACACATTTCAGTATTTTTAGTCACAAAGCTCCAACAAAAGTTGTACAGACAGCATTTATTTCAATAGTCCCTACACATAAGTGGCAAAAAGATAGAGATAGTTATAAGAACAGTGATCTTGTCGGTTGTTAGTTGGCGATTATGCGGACATATTGGCTTTGGCCTCAAGCGGACACAAACATTTTATCCAGGGGTCTAACCAGTCCATCTCACAACGGCGACGGCGACGGCAACGCTTTTTTGTACATTTCTTTGCCGTCTCTACACGACTACGACGTGAAATGACCAATTTCAAGTTTTTTGAGGACGGAAACGACAAGGCGATAAATTCTGTCTCCTCTGTCTGAACTTGGGCCCGGCCTCCTCTCTTCAGTTCCAGCCTAAATTCCCTTCTTTTAAGTAACAGGGCGACTTGGGAAAATGGTGAAATGGTTTGAAAGGATGCGGAGTCTATTTTTCAGTGACGTTTTCATGGACATCGCCGTTGAGGGATCGTAAGGTCCCTATTATGCGCGGGTAACTGCTTATTAGCAGAGTAAATCAGCCTCCGCGCTGCATTTGACATTCATGGTGTAAAGACAATCTAGAAACGTCATTGAACTTGTGCGCTTGTACATCATATATTTGATAATTTATGTAACGGAAATAGGATTGGGAAATTCGAATTATGCAATAACACAACAAAACAAGAAAAAACATGAGTTATCAGTTTTTCAGCGAGAAATAACAACTACATTTAAAACCGTTCTTGACTGATATGCTTTTAAATAATTAGAATTTTATCAGGATAATTATTGACTAAATTTAGGGGCACAATGTCTGCAAGTCAACAATTTTGACAGTAATATGCATGTAAAAGACTAGCAAGATGTTTTTTGCATAAATGGCGATAATGCATCATTAGTTAAAAAAAATTGAAGTAAAAGTTGTTCCTCAGTTGTTTTTCGATATATAATGCGGGTTTGGGGTCCACTGAACAAAGAACAAAGAAGAAACAAGCATTTTAAATCATCAAAGTTCTGTAAAATAGTAAATAATTTTTGCAATTGAAAAAAAGATCATGGCTTTCTTTACATTTCACTGGGGTTAACTACTTTTTTGATTGTCGTCACAAACGTCTGGCAGCCAAAAAATATATTCAGCCAATTATTTTGGATCAATAATTTCTAGCTTACCACAAAGGTGTACCCTGCTAGTAGAGTCGCTTCCATCTTTCCTGGATAAGTCCTTCCTCTTCCCGACTTATTTAGGAAGATCGAAGGAGACTCTGTTCGCAGGGTAGTTAATTGGTTGTAATTTAAACTTTCTTTTAAGTCCGTTCTTGTGGCTCTAAGCGTTTTCGTGAAGGTTAAGGTAAAATGAAAACGTGCGTTGAGCAAAATAGGTTCCTGTGTAATTTCTTTAAGTATAGTTTTCGTGGAGTTCTTAGCTGAGAAACCGACAATTGAGTATCCGAGTCTCGCTGATGACTCAAGCTGAGAAGGTGCAAACAATTAGCATGAGCAGCAGCTAACAGCAAATAGAGTGGAAGTCTTGACAAAATGGCGTTTAGATTATGAGATAGTAAGATCCATTTAGATCGACCGATATCTAATGGTGGCTTTTATGCACCTATCAATGTAAAGCCGGCGGGGGGGAGGCAGGGCATGGGGTGGGGATTTGACATTTTTCAAAAATTTGCCTTCAACTTCCCTGCCCACGGGCAAATCATTCCAGTCAATGCAACCAAATTTCCCCACCACGGGCTGCACATTGCTATCAAATATCCCAAGGCAGAACCTAAGAAAGGCACAATGAAAATATCTCCAAATAAACTCTGTAATCTTTATTTATAAGCGTTGCTGCATCACTAAAGATACATGTTCCTGTTACAGCTGCAATTATACGTTTTAACCGTAATCCGTGTTACACTGCGTAGAATACAGAAACCTTTCAGCAGAAAGTCCACATTTTGTAAGTTTAAATATACCATTCTTAGTAAAGCGGGTACAAAGAGAGTCAGTTTTACAAGCTTTATACAGTGATTGTAGCGAAAGAGCCATAAACTGATTAATTGTACTTGCAAGAATCGACTTGGTTTTTCTTTACTTCCGTTTATTTTGATACCACAGTATTTTAAGAGATTCAATTGATCAAAAACACGCCCAAACAAACGAACTTTGAAGACAAAACAGTGAAATCCACTCAGCTTTCGCTTGTTCCCCTTGGCCTCCATGATTTCCATATCTTTCCAGACCGTACGGCGCATGTGTGAAGCGTGGAAGCGGGAAAGATATTAAGGAAACATATGTTCGGTCTCAGTCTTCGTCCGAGTCGGTAGTCAAATATCTCCACGTCGGGCGAAGAAATATTCAAACATCCCCTCCCTTGGGAGAACACGGTCAGTCAAATGCCATACCCCAGGGCCAACAACGACAATCAAATCCCCACTCCATGCCCTGCCTCCCCCTCCGCCGGCATGACATTGATAAGTGCATTACCGGATGGAAAGGTCCCATCCAAAATTCACTTTTATTTGTCTTTGGCTTGTGCTGTGTAATTCTATTTTATTTTTCTTTTAGAAATTAATGAAAGCGACTTCTCTGTGTCAATGTTATTATTTGTACTGTATTTACTTGCCATGATGACCATTTTGTGATCACTCATTCTAAAAAAAGTAAATTCTAGCAATAACTCAAAGAATATACTAATACTACTACTACTACTACTACTACTACTACTACTACTACTACTACTACTACTAATAATACTACTACTACTAATAATAATAGTAATATATAATAATAATAATGGAATTTATATAGCGCTTATACTTCGCTGTTCTAAGCGCTTTACAATGTAAAAAAGGACATACGAATATCATTAATCACAAGCTTACATATAACCCTACTATACATATTGGGAAATTTATAGCATACACATCTTAAAAAAGTAAGAAAACAAAAACAAATATGATGAAACTAAATGTTACATACCTTTTTAAAAAGAAAAGTTTTCAGCTTAGATTTAAACAGATTAACATCAGAACAAGCTCGAATTTCAAAGGGGAGCTTGTTCCATAGTCGGGGGCAACAACGGAAAAAGCTCGCTGGCTGTGGTTCTTCAAGGCGTAAATGATCCCTTGATGACCGTAATGTCCTTGATTGATGGTAAAATTTTAAACTATCTTCAAGATAACGGGGACCAAAGCCATTCAATGTTTTAAAAGTTATTAAATTTATTTTAAAAACAATTCTCTCCTCAACAGGAAGCCAGTGAAGATCTCTTAGGGTCTCGGTGATTTGATCTCGTTTTTTGAGACCGGCGATAATTCGTGCAGCCGCATTCTGAACGGACTGCAACTTAACTATGTCCCGTTTTTGGGCACCAAAAAGAAGAGAATTACAAAAGTCCAACTTCGAGCTAACAAAACTGTGAATTAGAATTTCTGTGGTACTTTTACTGATGTATTTTCTTATTTTAGAAATATTTCGTATGTGACAGAAGGCACCCTTAACTATTGTATTAACATGAGGTGAAAGTGACATTGTGCCGTCAAAACTTACGCAAAGATTGCGAGCCTGTTTAGCCTGCGAAGCGCAGACTCATTTCCGGTCGTCGCTTCTCTCCCTCCGAAAAATATTTTTCGGAGGGAGAGAAGCGACGACCGGAAATGCGTCTGCGCTTCGCAAGCTAGAGCCTGTTGAGAGGGCCTGATGTTTTCCATGCCAACAGAAATCGTGGGAGGGGGAAACGAATGACGAAAACGGGAGTGCAGAAAGAGAAATTCTGATTTATCATTGTTAAGCCTTAACTTGTTGGCAGTCATCCACAAATTGATGTCAGCAACGCAGTTCTCAAGACGTTGTTTTGCAGCCACTAGATCAGAGGTGTCACTGCAAGGAAAAGATGTATAAAGCTGCGAGTCATCAGCATAAAAGTGAAACGACAAGCCATGCTCATGAACAATATCACCCAGTCAAGATGTATACAATAAGTAAAGCATGGGGCCTAGGAACGAACGTTGAGGCACACCCCAATGAAGGGGTCGTACCGTGGATGAGGCGTCGTCTACTTTCACAAGCTGAGTACGGTCTGTAAGGTAAGATCGTAGCCAATCCAGGGCTTTTCATTTTACACCGAACCTAGAGGAGAGTCTTCCTAGAAGAATTTCATGATCAACCGTATCAAAGGCTGTAGAAAGATCCAATAGCAAAAACAAAACACAGCGATGACTATCGATGGCTTTGAGGATATCATCCTGTACTCGAATCAGAGCTTTTTCACAGCTATGATTAGCTTTATAAGCAGACTGAAGTTCCTCATTTAATCCATTTGAACATAAATATTCCCTGAGTTGCCTAGCCGCTATTTTTTCTGTCGCCTTGGGCACAAGCATGAGGTTCGATACCGGTCTGAAGCTTGGATAGAACTCAGTGTCAAGGGACGGTTTTTTAAGAAGAGGAGATAAAATAGCTCTTTTCATAGGCAGAGGAACTTCACCACTTTCTAAAGAGGAATTAACAATCTTTGTTATGATTGGTACCAAATCAGAAAAGCACAACTTAAATAAGTTAGGAAGGAATCATCGGGTCTAGAGGGCACGACTTCCTAGCCATTTTAGTTATTAATTTGCTCAGTTGGACAGCAGTAGTCGGCTTGAACTGGTTAAACTCACATTGAATAGAGGGATTATTAAAACGGGAAAATCGGAAAGGGATATCGCGCAGTGCCAAAGAGTCTAGATTCGATCGAATTGTGGCAATCTTCTTGGGAAAAAATCCGCGAAGTTGTTACATAATTCTTTTGCAGACTCGCAAGAAGGGTAAGAGGCTTCTCCGGTGTCAGGTTTAACACGCGGTCAATGGCGGAAAACATGCAACACCTTGTGATTGCCTTTGTTTTCTTTTATCAAATCAGAGTAACACTCCATCTTTGCCGATGTAATTAAAGACCTGACTTGTTTACATTTGTCTTTGTACAGTCGTTGGTGTACAGTTAGTTTGGTTTTTCGCCAGTGCCTCTCCAGTTTACGTCGTTCACGCTTTGCAGAGGCAATTTCATCATTATACCATCGCGTGGAAGGCCTTAAGGTGACCACACGTCTTTTTAGGCGCGCATGGATTTCAAGCAAACCATCAAGATCATTTTAATACTGTGCTAATAAATCGGTTACATTTGTAGCCGGGGAGGTGAAAACAGGCAAAGTTGTCAGATCTCTCCGTAAAGCCTGCATATCTACACTTCGTAGTTTTCGATAAGTCTTTTCTACTCTACGAGCAGTGGGCTTATCCAATGTCAACTTGCAGTGTACCACATAGTGATCAGATAGGTCAGGATCCTCAACCTTACAGTTCAAAACAGTATCTTCGTTTGCCCTTGTAATTATCAAGTCCAGCGAGCCCTTACGCTTGTGTGTAGGTTCTGCAACATGCTGTCCCGAAAATCAAGAAATTTAGCCGCCATACGATCACGAGATGGTTAATTACATGAAGATTGAAGTCACCAATGACCAATAGCCTACCAGAGGACACTGAGAAGTGTTCAAGCAGATCGTTGAAATCATGAAAGAACTGGGTGGAAGTAAGTTTGTTAACTTTTTACGAAGGAGGGCGGTAAACAACTGCAACTGTTGATGCAGTGTGCAATTTCACCTCCAAGTATTCAAAAGAGGCATAACTGTTACAATCAACCCTTTCGATTTTCAGGCTTGTGTTATATAACAGGCCAATACCACCACTAGATCGTTTTTTTCTCGGTACGTGGATGAATGAATATCCCCGGGGACTGGAGACGCCATATTGGTGCACCAATATGGCTGCCGGAAATCAACAAAAACATCTGGAGTTCACTTTTTCTATAAATGCTCTTTCTTTTCACTCGAGAACTAGCATACGTGCGCATAAACATATCTTCTAATACTTGAAATGGTTATACTGCTGAAAATCAAGAGGAGAGACTTTTTTTCAACGAGACAGCATTCCTATTTTGGTGTCACGCACTGTGAAAACTCGGAAGTTCAAATTGCTATATTTTCGAACTGAAACATGCTACGGGAATGGAAACTTGTACAAAGGTTTACTTTTTGTTTATCTTCAACCTAGTGTAAATAAGAATTCGTAAATCCCCGCTATTTTGACTTTACAATTTGATGACGTCACTGTGAAAACCATCTACATTCCACCATAGTTAGTAGAGAAGACTGGTTAGGAAAGCCCGCAAACATCAAAGCTACGGTGCTGTAGGTTATGTTGGAAGCTCCCTGACCGTGCACAATCCTTTGTTTTTTGTTAATGATATATGAAATAAATCGTATATGAACTGCGGAAATGAAATGAAAATGAAGAAATGATCGTCGCAGTGAACGCAATTTATGCAATTGCGTAAAGAAGCCTGAAAAAAATTCAGGACTTCAACGGGGTTTGAACCCGTGACCTCGCGATACCGGTGCGATGCTCTACCAACTGAGCTGCGAAGCCACTGACGTTGGGAGTAGGTCAATTGTGGGTTCATATGTTCCCGTAAAAGAAATGAGTGACTGAATAAATTAATCCGATGTTTCTATCGGTCAGTAAGTTCAAAACGATAGGAATGCTATCGAACGTTGTGCACGGTCAGGTCCAGAAAAGCTAACAAAAACAAATAGCTATTTCGAGAAAGGTTGTCGGAAAAAATGTCCACGCGACAATCGCGAAAGGTAATATGGGATATGATCAATACAATGTTCCTGACACGGTAGCTGTCGAACCTACTTTTGTTGCTTTCCCTTAGCACTCGTAAACATACTCCCATGGCCTCTCCTGCTATTCTTCCAAATTTCTTTGATGAACAGTGAACTTAAACCGACCCACAATACCTTTTGGGATTGTCGCGTGCACCTTTTCCGACAACCTTTCTCGAAATAGCTGTATAACAAAGAAGTCTTACGGGTTTCATAACCATTCCACTTTAATAACTATGATTCCGCGAAAATCTACGTCATTAATGCCGTGAGAGCAAAACCCTACGTCCACTCAAGATCCTACAGAGAATACGCGCCCAATGTTACATTGTTTCATGTTTCTGAATAACGGATGTTTGAGGTAAAAACAAAAATTCCATAAACGAGAGAAAGCCCAAGCACGAAAATATGAGCATCGGCCTTGTTACGTAACCTTCGAAATAGGAAAGGGGCAGATGGGGGATGGAGAACCAAAAGGCAGGCAGCCTTCTAGTAATTGTTAGATAATTTGTAGCATTTTTTGTGGACTTATCTTTCTGTTTATTTTTATTTCACTTTTTCCCCTTTTGTAAAAATAGTTAGAATATAGATTTAAATGAGTCGGCTAATTTCATTTAAATTGTGTATTTCTTCTATTCTGTGTGGTCCTCGAGCCGATTTATGGCCATTTTATGGGTTTTATTGGAACCGGATTGTTCTCTCTCTAAAGTAATCCAATAATCCTTATAGAGAGTGCAACCTGGTTACAATAAAACCCACAAAATGGGTTAAATCATATTCACCGCTTGGGGTACCGGCGGGGAAACAATGGCGGTAATGTGAATGTCACATGCGCAGGTAATAAAGCAACAATGAGACGCACATTTTCGAACTTTGAGCTAAATATGAAAATTAGACGAGAGGTACTTACCTTGAAGTGTAATTGAACTTCTCTTAAGAAATGTGGAGCATTATGGGAAAATTTGCATACTTCCTACCTACCTACTGGTCAGCGGTCACGTTTAAAAGAAGTTATTCAAATGCAAATCAGCAGTGATATAAACCCCAGAAGGGGACGTGATAACCAGTTCTTCCTGGAGGGCAAATATGATTTAGGCCAAGGTCCTCAAACAAGGGTGGGAACATCGAAAAGTAAAACGAGACAGGGTTGGGAAGCATTATCCCATAACTACTTGACTATAATAAGAATTACAATGAGTCATGGTGTATTAAGATAATCTTTCCCATCTCATCTGTGCTTTAGGAAACTATCCTTCTAGTCTCTTCAATACCATTTAAAATTATTCACTTTGTTCGCCTTATACCTTGCTACCTTTTTCAGTCTAAAATTTACATTCTGGGCCGGGTTGTTCAAAGTACGGTTGAGATGACCCAGGGCTAGTGCGAAATTTGAATTCAGACATGAAAGCTTAAAAAGCAAATTCAGTTTTATTCTTAATGCCTAGAATTTGATGATTGATGCTCGAAAAAGAATAGAGAAAATTGTCGGGGAAAATGCTTTTCAACAAAAGAAAAAAAACCCAGGTCAAAATTTAACGCTGGGTTAGCGCTAATCGGCCTTCGAACAACTGGGTCCTCTGATATTTAATTAGCGAAGAGAATAGTGGGAGGGCGTAGCTTTTTCTCTAATCGCGATTAAATGCCGCTTTGCATCTTTGCATCAACCTTCCTTTTCAATAAGCTGTTCTACAACTTAATTTATGTGCATTCTGTTACAAGTGCTAAAATTTTTTGTCAAAGTATTTCGCTTTTTATGTGTTGTTTTCTATTTTGCTATTGCTTTTCTCCTTTATGCATTGTAATTTGCATGCGCCAAAATACTAAACTGCAACTTTTTCTTGAGCAAAACACTATCAAGATTTGCACAGTGTGGAACACATATAAACCCGAAAATGATTACGTTAAGATACCAGAAACATTTGTGCCTTAAGAGAGGTTTCGCTGAAAATAAGGGGACTCAATAAATCAATAGCGCTTTCCACTAATGACGTCACAAATTTCTGGTTCCTACTGTGACTCAGACATTAAACCTGACCAGTATAAGAGTTTAGTATGAGAAAGTCACGTTCGGCAACAAATCTTCGTCGTCTTTGAAGATTTTTATCGTTAACGGAAACAAAATCCAGCCTGGTTTCGATAATAAATATCCTGAAAATAATCAACGCGTGGCAAGACAGCGTTAAACATGGAAAAAACCGTACAGATGAGTGGTTTAATAATAATCATAATAACCTTTTTATAATAATCTTTCCCCGTCGTATCTGGGGCGGATCTTTACCAACACCTCAAATGTACATTCACACAATCTTAGAAATTATGAGTTAAATTATTATGTCCCCAGACCCAGACAGAGGTTCTGTTCTGTGGAACAAGATTCCCTCAGAGATTAGAAAGCTGCCTAGTTTAAATGTTTTTAAAACTTCATTTCATGGTTAAATGTAACCACGTTTTTATCTACTCACTTATTGGCAAACGTGAAGTTTCCATGATATCACTTCCTGATTTCTTACTCGCGTGTCTCAAGCCTATCCGATATTGATCGCACGGTAATCTCTAGGCAATATCAGTCCTGATCGGCTCTTATATGCTGTAATTGTTTATTAAAATTGCGGCTATTTAAATGATATGGAAAACTACCGCAGGGGAATAAATCTCCAGAGTGTATTTAGAGACGACAGTTATCTGAAATTCTGGTTTGGGTGGAACGAAAACGAAATCTGATGCCACGTCAAATAAATACCGTTTTTTCTATCTAAACAAATTAGGAGTTGAAACTGAATTGAAATCGAAAGTAAATGGGTTTTTTCTCAGCTGGATGTCACTGCGCTTAAAAGTGAAAGCTGATCAAAATGAGTATTTTCTTTATTCTTGAGGACATTCCTTGCGGCACAGCTCCCATATGACACAAAAGAAAAACGTTTTACCCGGGATCGTAAGCAATAAAAACTTGTTTTTGTGTTCACAAAATGCCCTACTTCATGCTCTGCTTGTTTTATAATGTTTACAAAAAGATATTTTAATTATGAACAAAAAGTCAGCTGCTAGTTTTAATATTTCTTAATTTAAACAAGTTACAGCGGAAAATTTACATCTAACAATTAAGTGTTGTGAATCAGGCTCCAACGCGCCTGCAGCTTGGCGCATGTGCCGAGGTGAACACACCTGCAGTCAAACTCTCCTGTCATAAACAAGAACTCTCGGCTTAAAATTTTCATTTGCAACCTTCAAAGCCAGAACTGGGAACCCCGGTGTAATTGTGAAAAGGTGAAAAATGAGCTTCAAAGCACGTCTTCGCGTTGCAGAAAAATGACGACAACTGCAAACTTCACCGGTCATGAAAAGCAGACCACACTGAGTAATCCTCTAGAGCCATACTGTTCCCCAGAATTAGCTGAAGGTTTACAACTTCCGCTTGTATGTCTTATTGTGCTGAACATTTTCCTGTCCATCTGTGCGTTTCTTGGGAACTCATTAATCCTAGTTGCGCTTCACAAGAAATCATCTCTTCACACGCCGTCTAAACTTCTTCTCCGTTGCCTGTCAGCATCTGACCTCTGCGTTGGGCTCATTGCGGAACCAGCTATTGTTGTGTATTGGACTTCACTGCTTTTCGGGGCGAACGCGACCTGTCGATACTCAGCTCTCATCAGCCACCTCACAGGCTACATATTGGGCTCAGTGTCTCTGCTAACACTTACGGCAATAAGCATCGATAGGCGCTTAGCACTGATGTTGGGGCTCAAATACAAACAGATTGTAACTTTAAAGCGAACATGCATGACAGTGATCGCTGTGTGGCTTCTTTCCATTGTCGGCACCACACTCTTTTTTGTGAATTATTTCATAACACTATGGTATGGTACCATTATAATATTATCGTGCCTGGTAACTTCTATTTACGCTTATACCATGATTTTTCGTTTTCTTCGCTGTCAGGCGTACAAAGTCAAAAAAACTGCCTACCAAGGACAACCGAGCCAAAACCTTCAGCCGTTTAACCTTGCGCAATACAAAAAGTCGGTCAAAACTGCGCTGTGTGTACAGTTAACTTTAGTAGTCTGTTATCTTCCATATGCTGTAGCACAAGCTTTGCCGAAAAGTCCACATGAACTATCTCAGTCTCTATATCTTGTAAGGGCGATGGCGCTGACTTTAGTTGATCTAAATTCGACACTGAACCCAATTCTGTATTACTGGAGGATCGGAGAAGTAAGACGATCAGTGAAGGAAAGTCTTAGAAGATTGGCCTGTTCTAGTTAATTAACAGAGATTCAAGGTGGTAACCTCAACACACCCAAAGATGTCAAAGATTTGGACAATTCTTCTTAAAAAAAGAAAAGGTAATTTTTAGTCTGAGGTACACATCTGATGGTCTTCAAATAAAAGCCAAGCGTGCTCATCAAAGTGCCAGTTTGTACTGTGCGAAACGTCAAGGTTCATTATCGAAAAAGGAGTCAAGGAGTTTTAATCAAGCAGAAGCAAAAGATATTTGAGTATGCAACTCCAAGCTAAAATAAAACAGAATAGAATCTCGTTGTGAAGGCTTCATTTGCCGTCAATAACTTATAACTGAAAAAGTAAAACCGAAGTCGGTCAGTTAGACACATTTCAGTATTTTTAGTCACAAAGCTGCAACAAAAGTTGTACAGACAGCATTTATTTCAATAGTCTCTACACATCATTGGCAAAAAGATAGAGATAGTTATAAGAACAGTGATCTTGTCGGTTGTTAGTTGGTGATTATGCGGACATATTGGCTTTGGCCTCCAGCGGACACAAACATTTTATCCAGGGGTCTAACCAGTCCATCTCACAACGGCGACGGCAACGGCAACGCTTTTTTGTACATTTCTTTGCCTTCCCTGTACGACTACGACGTGAAATGACCAATTTCAAGTTTTTTGAGGACGGGAACGGCAAGGCGATAAATTCTGCCTTCTCTGTCTGAACTCGGGCGCGGGCCCCTCTCTTCAGTTCCAGCCTAAATTCCCTTTTTTAAGTAACAGGGCGACTTGGGAAAATGGCGAAATGGTTTGAAAGGATGCGGAGTCTATTTTTCAGTGACGTTTTCATGGACATCGCCGTTGAGGGATCGTAAGGTCCCTATTATGCGCGGGTAACTTCTTATTAGCAGAGTAAATCAGCCTCCGCGCTGCATTTGACATTCATGGTGTAAAGACAATCTAGAAACGTCATTGAACTTGTGCGCTTGTACATCATATATTTGATAATTCATATAAGGGAAATAGAATTGGGAAATTCGAATTATGCAATAGCACAACGAAACAGGAAAAAACATGAGTTATCAGTTTTTCAGCGAGAAATAATAATTACATTTAAAACCGTTCTTAATATGCTTTTAAATAATTAGAATTTTATCAGGATGATTATTGACTAAATTTAGAGGCACAATGTCTGCAAGTCAACAATTTTGACAGTAATTATAATATGCATGTAAGAGACTAACCAGATGGTGTTTGCATAAATGGCGATCATGCATTATTAGTTAAATAAAAAATTGAAGTAAAAGTTGTTACTTAGTTGTTTTTTCGACATATAATGCGGGTTTGGGGTCCACTGAACAAAGAACAAAGAAAAAACAAGCATTTTAAATCTTTAAAGTTCTGTAAATAATTTTTGCAATTGAAAAAAAGAACACAGCTTTCTTTACATTTCACTGAGCAGGGGCACCCAACGGCAATTTTCGGGAAAATATCTGTTCGGAAGACCATTTGAGAACTAGAATTTTTGGAACATTTGTTGTAAAATTTTCTTGCTTACCTGCCTCTCCTAGGATTTTCGAACATCTACAAAATGGTATAATTACTCATTTTAAACGGATATTTACCCTAAAAAAGGCCACCTAGAATTTTCGGGAGCCTTTTTCCGGCTGAAATTTTCGAAAAGGTAAGTTTTGATCCCTATAATTTTCGGATCACTAGACTTTCAGCTAGGAAATCCGAACAGATGAAAAGTTTTTAGGGGATAAAAATATGCTTATATCTACCGTTTAAATACTAAAATACGGTCAACAATGCTATGTTAAGTGGTTTTGAACTATATCCTCGTTGGGTGCCCCTGACTGAGGTTAACCTACTTTTTCGATTGTCGACACAAAACGTCTGGCAGCCAAAAAATATATTCAGCCAATTATTTTGGATCAATAATTTCTAGCTTACAACAAAGGTTAATTGGTACCCTGCTAGCAGAGTCGTTTCCACCTTTCCTAGATAAGTCCTTCCTCTTCCCGACTTATCTAGGAAGATCGAAGGAGACTCTGTTTGCAGGGTAGTTAATTGGAGTGTAATTTAAACTTTCTTTTAAGTCCGTTCTTGTGGCTCTAAGCGTTTTCGTGAAGGTTAAGGTAAAATGAAAACGTGCGTTGAGCCCAATAGGTTCCTGTGTAATTTCTTAAAGTATAGTTTTGGTGGAGTTCTTAGCTGAGAAACCTACAGTTGAGCATCCCAGTCTAGCTGATGACTCAAGCTGAGAAGGTGAAAACAATTAGCATGAACAGCAAATAGAGAGGAAGTCTTGACAAAATGGCGTGTAGATTATGAGATATAAGATGCACATAGATCGGCCGATATCTAATGGTGGCTTTTACCGGATGGAAAGGTCCCATCCAAAATTCACTTTTATTTGTCTTTGTCTTGTACTGTCTAATTCTATCTTATTTTCCTTTTAGAAATTAATGAAAGCGACTTCCCTGTGTCAATGTTATTATTTTACTGTATTTACTTGCCATCATGACCATTTTGTGATCACTCATTCTAAAAAAATAAATTCTAGCAATAACTGAAAGAATATATTAGCAATATTCTTTGATGACGAGTGGGTTTTCCTTGTATTTCACTCAGCGGTAATTAGGTAAGTTACACATTGTCGTAAATAATGCAACGTCGTTTCGCCTAATTTCTAGGCGCAGAGATACATGTGAGTGGGATTATTAACCGATAGAATTAATAATAAATTGGAAAAGAGTAATTTAATTAATGAGCATTCGCTTAAACGAAGTCAAAGTCAACTGGATTTCCAGGAAAGGTAAAATGCAAATGTTTTGCTTCTTTCGGCGTAAATTTCTCGTAGACGACCTGAAGGCTCTACGGAAGACAAAAACTAACACCGCGAATTTCAACCGTTTCGCCGTAGAATAATTACACTCACAACGTTTAAATAAATAAATTAATTACAAGCGCTTTTTAACCCTCCAACTGACTTTTTTCATTTCCGACCAGGTTGAAGCGGTCCATGCCATGATGCTTCGACGGAAATGTCCGTAAAATTTTGCGTTAATGGAAAGCACCGCTAATGCGTTCTGACCGTTTTGATCGAAGACGAAATCGGTGTGACAGTTAAAATAAGCCTCTGTACGAGTACTTTCATATGGTACCAATTTTTTCTGTATTTTACAAAATGAAATTCGGATTTTCTTCCTAAAATTTTTTGTCAACATCCTCTGTTTCCCTAGTGTTAGTTATTATAGTGTAAAAGAAATCATGATATTTGCATAAATCCTCGCCGCTTTCGCACCTTGAAATAATTGAGTAGTTTCGAAAGTTTGCTTTTGTAAATTAAAATATGAAACTCAGCAAATATGGGCCACAGAGGCAACTGACCAAGTCAATAGATCAGTGTAGAGGGTTAACACTGTGTGTGTTACGATGAACGAGGTAAAATAATGCAGTTTTCGTAGAATTTCGACTCAAGTTCGGTCTTTGTTTACTTCATTTCTTCGTGAAAACTGGACAAAGTTTTTTTGTCACAAAAGATTGTAAACAAGACTTTATTTTCATTCCTGAAAAGCAGAGAGGTGAAAATGCCAAGTACTAACTATATAAATGCGACAGGGAACGAACTCAGCTCAACACAAGATGGTTCCGCTGTAGGAGTTCTTTTAGCGTCTTTAGTGGAAATGATTCTTTTCCTGGTAGGCACGTTTGGAAATTCTCTTACAATCATGGTTGTTTGCCGGACTAAGTCACTACAGATCGCTTCAAACTTTCTTCTAACATCGCTTGCGTTCGCAGACTTGCTAGTAAGCGCTATTTTAGTTCCCATGCGAGCGTCCCAGCACATGGCTCTATTTCATGGCACCACTGTCCCGAAGGCTGTTGTTCAAGTGGCTGGATTTGTTGGTCGAGTGAACATTATAGCGTCAATATCAAGTCTCGTTGCTATGAGTATTGACAGGTACATCGCTCTATCACGTCCTATGTTTTATCTGTCGTCTGTTAGATTTGCCAAAGGCCGTGTGTATATGGTGATTATGATGATCTGGGCTGTCTCTATTTTTGCGACCAGTTTACCATCTTTTCCTGGAGTCAGTAGTGAGACTTTTCTAGTCTTCTTCGTGGCCTTTGTACTAATTGCAACCCTCGCTATTGCGGTAACCTATCAACGCATTTTTAAAATCGCCCGTAAATCGATAAGAAGGCCGAAGACGAGTAAGTTTGCCACTAAAGTCGTGCGTTTATCAATTACAAACGCTTTGGATTCAAGAGTCTTTAGCTACTTTGACAGCACCTGTACCACACAAGCAGACAGACATGCTGATAGCCAGAAAAGGGAAAGAAAAACGGCCAAGACAATTGCATTTGTGATTGGAGCGTTTGTGATTTTGGTGTACCCTCGAATTATTTTAATTCTTTATCATTTCGCCACGCCTGAGACGGAGGAAAGTAAACACGCCCGATTTTGGATTCGGATTTTGCTGTACAGCAACTCGGTTGTTAATCCTGGTTTGTATGCATGGAGGCATAAGGAATTCAAAAGGGAATTTAAGAAGATTTTACTCAGGTTCTGGCAGTGTTTGCTGTGTCAAAAATGGGAGTACTTGAGAAAATCTTGGTCTGGTAAAACAAATTCAACGTCAGCACCTCAAAATAGGGAGTCTATTCATAAACAAGATGTACGCTTAAAAACAATAGAAGTGAACGAAGTCTAGAGTTACTTGTAATGAAGTAGGCGGGTTTTGTTTATGCACCTGCATTTGCTTTGACTAATTGAGTGTCGAGGAAATTAAAACGTATGTCTAAGCAGGTGCGAAATACAAAATTTTCCAAAATTCTTGAAACATGCTTTGGCAACTAAAATTTTCTAATGATCTTTATACTGAAATTTATTTGAGGATTACCGTCATAGAAAAATTAAAATCAGGATTCTTCGCTTAAAAAATAGACTGATGAGACTAGTTCATACTTTAGTCTAACGTTTGGACAAAGGTTTTGCAGAAAAAAATACATTAAGATGTTGGGGAAAATTGTTTAGTGGTATTTTGCTGGTTTCCCATATTTTGTAGTGTCTTAAAAGTCCAAGGTTGGATTACCCCGGCTCACATTCATTCTCTTGGTAACAGAGATTTGTTTGCACAGTATCATGAATATCCTTTCACTAATGACAGTAACGGAGAAAAAATATTCACAAAAACTCCAATTACCCTCTGGTAACATCATATGAAATAAATAATATTATGCACATGTTCTACCCAAGAGGTTTCATAGGTTTTTGTCCTCAGATTTAAGAGTTATGGTGACAAGTCATTCCACCATAACTTGGACCAGGAAAGAAAAGAATTAATAAGGGTAAAAAACACAAATACAGCACAGGCTGGAAATAAAGAAAAATAAAAAAAAACTAGGGGAAACGATGGCTGTGCACAATAAGTAACATTTCCATGCTACAGGTTGGAAAAGTGGATTGGTGTTGGTGAAACGCTGGATCCAACACTGCCCAACATCACCCAACATTGATGGATCCAAGAATTCCTAATGATGTAGTATCCATATGCAGGACTTGAAAGTCTGAAGCTGACTGCTCTGCGCTCTATTTATTATGACAGTTAAACTGTAATGTAAGTTACAAACTCAACCCTTGAAAAAGGACATCTTCTGCTTCATTCAAAAATATCATTGTTTGTGAGTCCATTAAGGATACTCTGTTCACATGTTCTTGTTGATAAAGGAAACTACAAAAAGATGATGCGCCAACCAACAATAAAATGCTTTGCACATTTCTCAACTTCCAATTCCTCATTCCACTCCTTTGACTCTACTATCCATTCCAAAATACATCCAGTACATTAAGTTGAGTCACAGCCCAGTCTCTACGGTACTCTTCCCCAGTTATTTTGCACCGCACTTGACTTCATGAAGCTTTGCAACAACAGTATCTCAAGCAATGTCACTTTCCACATAACTGACTGTGTGACATCACTGTGTTATGTATCTGAATCTTTGCCTGGAATAACCTGTATCCCCATACTTCTTGCTGATCCAATAACTGACCTACACACACTTTTTAATGGAACATTTCTGTTGTTTGAGTCTTGTTTCTTGATTTTTGCAATTTCATAAATCTGTTTTAGAGTCACTGTGCCGGCAACTTCTCTCCCTGGTGGTGAAAAATTTCAAAATTTTCAAGCATCTTACAGTAAGTCCTGAAGTCAACAAGGGCAAAGTGCAATGTTTTTAAATGTTTGCATCAAAGAGGGAAAAGATATGAAATGGTGTGTACATGAGAACCACTGAAACGCTTTTATATAGTTTTTTTTAACTGGAGACCTATATCACTGATAACTGTTCACCACAAGACTAATGTCCTCTTAGCAATTGGACTTGAGGGTTTTATATTAAGGTACCTGGCTTTTGTGCTCCCTTTTCAATCCCTGCTGCTGTTTTGAGGAAATGTGAGACTGGAGGTGAATTCATTTCAAAAGTAAATGTCCTGTCACCCTAAGGTTATAAATGTTTAAAAGTGCATCAATAAAAAAGTACACAACTCTGATAAACAATACTGTTTCAGCAGAAAGAATGACTTTTTTTAAATGAAGATCTGATAGTCATATTGGTAATTGCAATTTAAGAAATTGCAAATAATTTTGGGACTTCAACAGGATTTGAACCCATGACCTCTGCATTCGTGCTGCAGTGCTCTACCCTTTGAGAGAAATGAAGACCCATACATTGGGAGCAGGCCAATTTGTTGAGCTCATCTTATCCTGTGAAAGGATCATAATTTTATCTTCATTAAAATTCGTATTTCTGCAGTCCACATCATCTTCAAGAAAGAATGACTGGAAATCATGTTCAACAGCCATGGTTAATTCCATTGGTGATATGACATATTTAAGAGTACTAAGGTTTCCTTCTATAAAGGCAGGGAGGGGTGGGTACTGACATTTTGTTTTTGCTCTTGCAATTAGCCATGTTTTGGTTTTAGACGTAGTGGTCTTAGTTGTTGTTGGATTTAATGTTTAATATTCCTACAAAGGGAAAAGTTACAAACCTTGTTTAGGGCTTGTGACTCCCAGGATGGGGGGACAAAAAAGTGACCGGGTTGCTCGTTATCTCGCTTGGGGGTGAAAATAATTGCAGATTTTGGTCTCACTTCGGGTGTTTAAGATGGAAAGTTATCATATTTGACCATTCAGGTATCATTTAGAGCTGTGCATAAGGAATTTTACAAAGAATGCCAAGATACCTGTTTTAGTAAAGTCTCCCTTCGGGGTCAGTTTAAGCTTCAGCCACACCCACATTGGTCTCTCTTAGGGGTTTTATTTTCCGACGAGTATCCCGGTCACTTTTATATATGGGAGTAACCCCCCACCCCCCACCCACAGCGGAGCTAGGATCATACGCGGCAGTTTACGGTTGCTGGAGTTCTCAGGTTCACTCGACATCGTAGCATTTATGATTGCATTTATGATTACCTTGTAATGGATAATTGTTGGTATCGGAACTCCAGTGACAATGTGTTTTGTGCGATCGTTGAATTCTTTGCAAAATTGAGCTATGTTCACTCCGCGCTAGAATAAAGTGCAAAAGAAAGTGCTAACTCTTGAAAAAGATAAAATTAAATAAAAACAATCGGAAATAGTTTTCTACCTGACCAAGTGATGGTCCTAAAGGTGGTGAAGGAGTAGCTTTTCCAGCTGCGATGTATGTTCGTAGCACACCGCTCAACTGTTTCGCCGCCATCTTAAAGCGTTTCGAAAAGTCGCGATCCTCTTGGCCAGCGGAAAGGATCACGAAAATGGTACGTATGTGGGTCGGGTGGGTCGGTACGTGGTGTAACGTGGGGTATCAACTAGCCTGTGTACAGCCGCCCCTCACCTCAAAAAAATCAAAATCCGATTTTTTTGAGGTGAGGGGCGGCTGTACACAGGCTAGGTATCAACCCCTATGAAAAATTAAGTAGTTTCACGCCAGCTTTATCCATAAGAATTGTTTTGGACAGTTTTTAGCTGCTTATTTTTTTCTGAGAAATTCTCAACTTAAATCTGACGTTTGTCGTTTGCCGTAAACGTGACTCTTTTAACTAGAAAAGTCCAGTTCTAACTAGGAAAGATCCAATTCCAGTTTCAGTTTCTGACTATCAGTACTTTATTGTTGCGATTTGTTTACGGAAGTTGGTTGTTTCCCTTCTCGAAAACTTTCACTTTCAAAGGAAATGTAAATGTGCCTGAATAACGTCAACTTCGTGCCCACAGACTTCAGTTCTCTTTCCAATAAGACTCTGGGGATGAGATTAACGTTTGTAAGTTTCTGTGCCTGATTACATGGTACATAAAATAAGTTTTATTAAATAAATGAGACACATTATTGCAGTGAGCTTGACGAATTGGATTGGTTATTTTCAGGCCAGTTCCGCATGACTTAAATTGGTTTTATTTCGTGACACAACTCTACGCGCGATTCAAATCGGTTTATCCCGTTAATTTTCTGATAAGGCGTTTAATTAAAAAGAAGCTTTTCTTGAAAAACACTGAATTTTTCAGTAAAATACAAGCCTTGAAAAGCAAAACTGGAAATACAAACGTAACTTATGTCTTGAATTGAGTTTTCCTTTACTTAAGTCGCTAAGACTTGTTCAATTCTTTGATTAATAGGAAGTTTATTTTTAGACATGATCGATCTATAAAGTTTAAAAACAACACGTGATGATAAAGGTTTGCAACGTCATGAGGGAATCGTTTAGTACGGAGTTTATATTGTTTCATCAAAGCGTTTTCAACAATAAGCATGTTATTTTCTCCCAAAGTAATGCACTAAAAAATCAGGTTTTTTCCCCTTTCGAGAAAACCCGAACAAAAAAGAAATAGCATTTGCCCGAATGTGAAGTGCAAGCGAAAGACTGTTCTTCAGAATGGCAACAGATTTTAAGACCACTGAGGTGGAAATAAGGAAGGTAAATCAGCTGAGCCAATTTGGGGCCCTACTTGCCAAAGTAGGGAAGAAGACCGACGAATTTTATGCTTTGAAATTTGATTTAGAAAGCTATTCAGCCGGGGAATCTTTGTCACCGACGGTTCAAGCATGGCAGCGCAGCCTTTTCAAACATCTAAAAAACGTCTCTCCGCCACCTAAAGTAATTAAAACAACATTTAAAGAAGAAACAAGAAAGCTTTTTGGGACCAAATTTGATAATAAGGTGACCTTAAGAAACGCCGGTCACCAGGGAGCACACGAAGAGATCGTTCTTCTTCAGTTTGACCCGAACTTCACTTCAACCGAAGTTGTCTGCCGCCATCCATCATGCAACTCAAGATACTTGGAAGCAGCGAAAAGTGGTAAGCGAGATTTGTATCTCTGTCCACATCATCAACAGAAGTTGAAGGACGCAATTTCTGACACCCTGGCCAAGAAAAACATCCAGATCGCCACTACGAAAGAAAATCCCGAGCCACGTCAGTTTGATGGATACACGTCGCTGATTGGTGTGCTGGAGGGGGCCTATCACGATGCAAAGAAATTCCAAGCCCTGGAGAGAAGATCCCCGATGGTCGAAGAAGCCATCTTGAACGTCAGGAATTTCTTGATTATAACCAATGCAGTGCTCAACCCTGACGTCCACAACTTGCAACTTGCCTTGCCTCCTGTTTTTCGAATTCTTCTCCTTATTTTGGAGAATTCGGCCAATGTACCACCGTTGGTGGATGCTCTTCTGTACGCACTACGAGATGTGATCGAGATGATACTTTTCGCCTTTGGTGTCATCTACTCGTGGGTGTCAATCTCTCTCAATAGCCCTGGTTCGCGGATAGGCGCTGGGGTGGGAGGAGTTATTGGTGGTGGACTTGGTTTGGTGATGGGTCCTTGGACTGGAGTTGCTGGTCTAGGAGCAGGAGGGGTGCTTGGAGGCTTCATAGGTAGTGGTATCTACGATCTGGTGGTGGGAGACCAAAGAGCACAAGAAATGGAGAGATTTAGAAGATATTGGGCAGCTGCTGGTGGCACAGGAGCCAACGGGCAACCAAACAACCAGTATGTAGTGTATCACTTTGATGGAAATGCTTTTGGAGGATTGTACCTGCATCCATTCCCCGCAGTTCAGTGAATGCACTAGTGCGCAGGCCTAAAACTCAGTGAGCGATTTATACCTTCGTAAGACTTACAATTCCACAAGTTTAGTTGTGACTGTGGATATCAATATGGTAGAAATAATTTTTGAATAGTTTACATTTTCATTTCCAGTCCCTTGACTGTTTTTTCTTCGTCAGACCACGTGTTACTATAGAGAAACTCAGGGTCTTTCAAATTCCACCGTATTTACTTCTGTATTTACACGCAAATTAAACACAAACGAAACCGATTAAAGTCAAAGACGACTACTACTTAATTTAAAGATCAATTTGGGATTTTATTATCCATTTTTTGACACAATTATAAGGTGAATATTTAGCTGCTAAAGTGTACGTTAAGTTGGGTTCAGTTGTTTCAGCTGTCGTCCAGAGGAAAGCATTTTAGGTGTAGAGTATTGATCTCATGCAATCATGTACTCATGTTGAAACAAGTACTGGTACTACTACTAATAATAGTAGTAATAATAATAATAATAATAATAATAATAAAAATAATAATAATAATAATAATAATAATGGTCTTTATTTCACACGAGATAAAGATACATATCCTATGTTACAACTGTTTATTAATACCGTAAAGCATAATAAAATGAATAAACTAATCATAGAATCCTAACCATATTGTACTAAGGTTGTGTTTGAATATTAATCTATTTACAAAGGCAGACATGAAACGCTCAGTATTAATTTCAGGACAAACACGTTGTTTTTTACGGAGATTATAAGAACAGTCTTTCTTTGAAGGAATATATGGAGCAAGTGGGTGATTATTTATAGAATTTACTTTCTTAATAATTTTAGTCTTGCTTCTTTAATAGATCCTTAATTGACACGGGGAAGGAAATAAAACGGCGTTTATCAGGACATCTATCTAAAAAGTTCTGTTCAGTTCATAGATTTTGTTAACTTGAATCATTTAGTTGTCGTACGTTCAAAGATTGAGTTAGATTAAGTTTATAGAGGGATCTTTATATTTTGCCATCAAGGAAATACCGTAAAATTCCGAAAATAAGCCCCTCCAAAGATAAGCCCCCCAAATTCGTAACGCAAAAAACCCTCCGTTAAATCGCCCCTCCGAATATAAGTCCCCCGGAGGTTTATACTTGGAAATTGCCCTCAAATACAAACTAAAATAAAGCAAAAACGGTCAATTTCCTTCTAACTATAAGGCTAGCCCAATCGATTTTGAAACGCAAATTCCCCCCCCCCCCATAGGTTTCTGCATGGTAGAAATCTAAATATAACCCATTTTTGTTTTCGAGGTCCGCAGGCAAACCCCACTGATATACCATGTCAGAGCACTGTCGCATTGTCGCGTTTTTTCCACTTTGCTGAAAATACGAATTTCCCTGGAGTTGATTTCTTGAGGAGCGCACTCAACTTTAGAGAGCGAGAAGGAAATTCATCGTCGCTTGTTTACGTCCTGCATAAAACTTGCAATTAGGCATTTTCACGTCGTAGTCGTCCAAAGACGGTAAAGAAAGGTACAAAAAAACGCGAAATATTTGGACAGACTTAACGATCTTGCTGATATTACCGAGGTAGCGAGACTTCAAAGCTCAGTAGCTGGTCTTAGGACATAGGAAAAAAGAAATTACTGATGTTCAACAGAAGGAGCACGAAAAATCTAAATGCATGTAGAAGCAAGAGCGAGAGTATATCTAAGACAAACTTCAGTGTTTCGCCGGGTATTTTGCAGGAGGTGTTCCCATTAAAAAGAATGAGTTTGTCGCAAGGCAAGTAGAATCGCCACACCCTTCCTCTGTCGTCCTCTTACTACCCTGCGGGCATATATCAGGCTGTCCCGGGGCGTTCGTACTCAACGGGAGCCTCGGGAGAGCCTGCTGCTCACAGGGTATCTTCTTTGCTATGGAATGCGCAACATCCGGGGAAATCCAAAAGGAAGAAAAGACCTGCCTCCTGCACGTGATCCTGGAAAACCAATGATTTCCTCGTATTTTGTCAGGTGGTAAGCCGTCATTGAAATCCCAACCCGGAAGTCTCAAAACGCAAGAAGTCGAAGGACTTGTATTTGTTGTTGTTGCAGGTGACGATCAGTTTTATGTTTGTGTGAATAAAGCTGACATTATAATGGCAAGTCTTCAGCAAACACGTCGCAAATACACCACTGTTATTGATCTGCGAAGGATTCTTCAGCAGAAGACCTAATGTCAACAACACGCCCCGCCGCATGTGATGCTTAGTACACTTCAAGATGCTGAAAGCCTTTTTGGAGTTGGGCAGAAAGAGAAAGTGGTGCTGAGAATTCCTGGGAAGTGTGCTGGGTATTTCGAACTCAAGCAGTTTGATCCTAACTTCTTGTCTGAAGGCGAAATACTTTGTCGTTACCCCGAATGCTGTAAGATAAATCTTCAAGCACAAGGAAGCGGCAATAGGCGAGAATTGTACCTCTGCCCAACTCACGTAGACAGGCTGAACACGGTCTTTTCTCAAGCCATAAAGGGAGGACCGGTTACAGACAAGAACTTTTCTTTGAGCATGGAAGACCACGATCAAAAAGATCTCACAGAATTCACGTCACTGATCGGACTTCTGGAGGTAGTTTATCACGCTAAAGAGAAATCTCCCGAGATCCTTGAGGCTATTCTGAATGCGAGAAACTTCTTGATCATCACCAGCACGGTGCTGCAGCCAATTATTGCTGGTCCGACGGCAGTGCCGCTTGTCGCTCTAATGTTGAGGCTTATTTTGGAGAATAAAAATGACACTGGAAAAGTAAATTGCTTGGTTTCTGGTCTCCATAAAGTCATAGAGGTGAATCTTGGAGCTTTTGGGATTGTCTATTCATGGATCTCAAAATCTACTATCGGAAGTGAAAGGTTTGCCAAGGGGGGTATTGATGTTGTTGTTAAAGGAGCATGCCTTCTTGGATTCCTTCTAGGTTTATTTGCATTATCTGTTGGATACTATAAATGGAAAGTACCAGTGGTGTCCACTTACTGGAAGGAGATAGCCGTTGGTGGAGGGCTTGTCTCTGTCTATGAATGCTGTTCAGGAAACAGTGGCTCTTCGGAAAATGGAGACCTTAGCAGTCGACGTATCGACATGTATTATTTTCAGGGAGATGCTGATGGTGGACTGGAAGTTAGTGTTTTTACCCAAGACCAGTAAATGTGGTTACTAGATCTATTGTAACCACACTCAAGTCCTTGCAAACCAGACTATTCAGAAAAATCTTTTCTGATAACCTGCCTTTGTCCTCTTGGCCTTATGACGCATCAGATAATGGGATAAACGACCATAAACTGTTTAGAAACTTGTCAAGCAAAACCTCAGGAAATAATCTCTTAAAGTTTGTGAGTATCAAAATTAGTAGTATAAAGAAAACGTGCATTTTTTCAGATTATAGTGATGACAGTAAAAGAGTTTCTAGTCAAGAAATTTTTCTGTGCTAGGGTAGGGATTTTTTTCTTTGGCATCTAGTCTAGGTAGACTAATTCAAAGAGGGCAGACAGCAAATTGCTCTTGCTCGAAATATCTAAAAGTCACAACTGTTCATCAGTAGGATGCCTAAAATGTGTGCAATTCCACAACTGGTTTTGGCTCCATTAAATCCTATACCAACTGTAGAACATTTTAGGAGGAGCCACCCACAATGTGAGCACAGGCACTGACAAGGTGTATGAGTAGGAAAACAACAAAGAAAGTGTAACGCATTAAATAACAAAATGAATTTTTGTGTCAATTAAATAAGTAAATAAAGCATGTGCATATTTAAATAGTGTGCACACTCAACCTACACTTACTGAAAGGAAAATAAAACTATTAAATTAACAAAGGATATGACGGTCCCATTCACCCATTGAGTGCCAATTTCATTTGATACTTATCAATGATAAACCCTTGGTGCTTGAAGGTAAGGTAGCGTTTGAAATATGTTTAGAGACCCCTCCACTTCAAGGGTAAAAGGTTAGTAATGATGATTCAGACTACTCCAGATGTAATGTGAGAAATAAATATATAGTGTTGAAGTCACTTTGAATATATTTCAAGCACTAAAACTAGTTTACATTTAACATGAACCACAGGAAAAAATAACGGATTCTCATTTTTGGATATTTTTGGGTATTTAAAGAATACCCATAAAAATCCCAAATTTGGCAAAGTGAGACAAGTCCCAACCAGGGAATTCCCAACCAAGTTCCCAGATTGGGACTTGTCTCACTCTTCCAAATTTGGGATTTTTGTGGGTATTCTTCAAATACCCAAAAATAGGAATCCGTTATTTTTTCCTGTGAACAGGACACAGGATAGTAAAAGTACAAAATACAAACCACTTATGGGCAAAATAAATACCAGAAAATGTTTCATGGGCTACCCATGATGTTATAACACATTTACCATATAACAATTTAGAACTGATATATTTTGTGTGTCATGTGTCACTGTGACACCATCATTGAACCATGTAAATATGTGTTGTTTAGTAGTAGTTTACTATATGATTTAAAAATGTTAAGTTCAATATATTGCATTTCATAAACATAATACAGTGAAACATGTATTAAGCGGACACCCTTGGGGAGTGCTGTAGTGTCCGCTTAATAGAGGGTGTCTGCCTAATACAGGTTTTGATAAAAAACGTCATATGAGGTGTCAAATACCATTCAAATGAACAGTGGAAACATTTAGAATAGTCCCAGAGACTATTACGATATACGTTTACATGAATTTCTTTATCAAAGTGGACCAATAAATTTGATCATAGTACCATAAACATTTGCAACTCAAATTTGAAGAAATCATACGAGTGAAACAAGCTCTATGAAAAAAAAAAAAACGAAATAGAAAACAATAATGTACTAAGAAAATAATCAAATAAGTTCGTCAAGTCACGTTTTTTAATGTAAAAAACGAAAAATTTGTCGGAGGCAATTCGAAGCAATCTTTCACATTTCCGGTGTCTCGCATGTCGGGTGGTGTGTCTGTTTAATACAGGTTGGCAACAATAGAAATGACCATTTCAGGTACTTTTTAGGTGTCCGCATCCGTTTAATAGAGGTGTCCGTGTAATAAAGGTTTCATTTAAAGAAAATAACGGAAATAAATTTGTGGACTTCATCTACTGTCCGCTTAATAGAGGGTGTCCGCTTAAAACGCTGTCCGCTTAAAACAGGTTTCACTGTACAGTAAGGTCTTGTAAATTGTGTTTTTCAAATAAGGAGCTTTTTGTATGGACCATAAAATATAATCAATAATTAAACTTGCTTGTAAAATGATTGCAATAAAACTTTATTTTTTTCCCTTCTCTTTGAGGTGCTTGATTTAGTTATTTCTATACTTATGTTAACGTTATAGGAATGACTAGGAAGTCTTCTGCAGCAACAATGCGGCCTGTCATAAAGACCTTTTCTGCTTGCTTTACAAGTTTTTTCACATTGCAGTCAGCATCCTGTGCGGCCAAATTGTCATTAACTCCTTTATATCTTTGACTGAAATGGGTTAGAACTAGCTTTTTGGCCTTAACTTGTGCAGCAAAATGTCCAGCCATTTCTGTGGAACAAACAAATTTGACTTCAAACCATAACTTTCACAATCAATAAAGTTCATGATTGTACTCAAGTCTGTAGCACGGTATTCCAATTAAAACAATAATTTGCATTTGAATTTCTGTATAGCTCATGTGACCATTTCAAGCAAACATTTTTTTCATGTGGCTTTTCATCTGAGCTCTGTATTCTGGAAGCTTAAGAACATGTGAAATGCAAACCATTGTTTTAGGAAAGTCATATGACCAAATAGGCAACTGGCAATGGTTATATGAGCTGAACAAAAATTCTAATGTGAATGATTGCTATTGTTTGGGTTGCTAAGAGTTATGTGATTTTGGTACTACTAAAAATTTCTGCTTGTTGGCTCTCTTTAGACAGCTTGATCAAAAAAAGGAAGATACAGTGTATCTTTACATATAAGGTATTCTTTGTTCCTTTGTTGTACAAAAGAAACAAAAATTTTCCATTACATGATTCTGCTGTGCAATGACTTTGTTTGCACTCAAATGGATCATGGGGAAATGACTGATCAAAATGCACATAACTTAAATGTATTTGAACACCATTTGCAGCCATATATAATATATTTATTACAAGAAAATTACCTGGTGTAGAATGCCCATGATCTATGCAAGTTTCTTTGAGTTCATCCTCAAGAGTGGCTTCATGAACAACAACATCTGCATCACGAGCAATTTCTACAATCCTTGAAGAGTCACATGTATCTCCAAGAAGAACAACCTTACGACCAGACTAAGGTAGGCCCAGTACATGCTCAGGCATGACAATACTGCCATCAGGTGCTGTAATAGCTTCTCCATTTTTAATTTTTGAATATAGAGGACCCGGTGGGATTCCTTTCTGCTTCAGAAGATTAGGGTCTAGTTTACCTGGATGCTACTTTTCTTGAATTACATAACCAAAACATTCAATACGATGCTTAAGAGGTGCTGCAAACACAGTTAAATTTTCTTCTTGACAAACCGACCATAAACCATCTTCATTTTCACAGATAGTTCTCCCTGTAGTTTCGCTCGGGTGCAGGTTGTCTGATGCAAGGGAAGAATTTGTCCAATCTGAGGCACTTTTCATTGTTAACTCTGCAACAAAATGTTACATAAAAATTTTAGAGGTCTTGTTCACTAAAAGTACTCCAAAGTTAAGCTCCTAATTTTTATTATAATTACATATTATAAAAGGAGGAGGAGAGGTCAGTGTGGTCAAGAAGTTAGAGTTCTTAAATTACAATCCGGAGACCCAAGTTTAATCCCTGCCTCAACTGCAGCTGGATTTGTTCATGGCAGCCCCTGGTTTAACTCCTATGGCTACAGTCGTTATTAAATAGCCAATCATTGGTTTCCTTTGAGAACAGGAAATGCCGTGTTTCAGGCATGATTTCTTTTTACTTGACTAGCTCTTACAGCTCTTACTTTCTCTTACCTGGAGTTAAACATTGAAGTTCGTTTACTGAGTATCTGAAACCAAGCAGTGATTGGGACAGTTCCAAAGACACCCTTAAATATTTCCTAAGACCAACTGGTCCGTAAATTTCAATGGGCTCTCGGTTTTCAGTAGAGTTAATCCCCATTGTGCATAGCAAACCAGGTAGGCCAAACAAATGATCTCCATGGAGATGTGTAATAAATATCTTGTTGATTTTCCCTGGTTTAATTGCACTTTTCATGAGCTGAGTTTGGCTTCCTTCTCCACAGTCAAACATCCAACAGCCTGTCTCATGTCTCAGAATTACGCACGATGCTCCCCGATACGGAGCTGGATAACAAGATCCAGTACCAAGAAAGTGAATCTCCATTTTGAGGAAATATTTGTAGTTTCATCTCATAATTAATGGCGAGTTTGTGCGGAGTTTGTGCACAAGTATTGACATTTTTCGTCAGGCGCTAGCTTTGTCGGATCCAGTCCTAATTATGATGGACCCATAATCCCTTGCGGTGACGTTCAGCCAGCATCCAAGATGGAGGACGATGCGGTTCCTACGATTGAGGAACTCAAAAAGCTTAAAGTTGTGGATTTAAAGGCACGGCTAGCATCCCTTGGACTTCAAACATCAGGTAGTTTTGATTAGTATTTATTCCACCTATTTTAAATGAACTTCTCAGATATATGACACTTTGTTTGGAAGCAAAAGTGTTCATTTTGTCTGTTTTCCACGTGCACTTTACCGTTTACGCTGTATCGTTTAAGGTTAATAGTTTTACACTTGTTTTGTTTTATAGGTCTTAAGGCGGAACTAGTGGCGAGACTTCATAGTTACTTCTTGTCGGTAGGTTGTGACTACAAAAGTGCAATGTCTGCAGAATTTAATAAAATAAGGCCGCCCCACTCATGTGCTGAAACTCGTTTGATAAAATTCGACTTAAAACAGCAACGTATTCAATCAGCATACTTAGCTCTCACTTCAGTTAGTCTAAATTAAGTAAAAAGCTTCAAATCTGTGGATTAGATTACATGACAGAACATTACCTACTGTGTATCAAACTAAAAGTGAACAACCATGCCAGACTGATTAACAAGCAACTCTACCTTAACTACAGAATACAGGGCAAATTTGTTAGGTATATTCTTTGGGGTGGCTCAGCATCAGTGATGAGCTACTGAGCCGTCAAGCCGCTAAACCAACTGAGCCACTGAAACATAATTGTATCTAACCTTTGCTGAAGGCCATTGATCCACTGAGCCACTAAAATATATACTGTTACTTGTTCTTTAAATTTCATACTCTGATATCTTTTTTATGTCTGTCTTATACTTATACGTCGTATATTTTTCTCATTCTTTGAACACTTGTCATGGCTAGCAAGCCACCCAGCTACTTCTTTTTAAGACTTTAAAATTTGGCCAGATATTCTGTAGTTGCACCGCAACTCTTTGCCCCTAGGTCAAACCAAGTTCATCAGTTAGGTTTGGAGCATGACCGGGTACAGTTGACTTGTTAGAATGGTGTGAATGATGAGTAAAAATATTGAGATTCTCTCTGCAGTATCCATGAATATCTACATGAGATTTCTGACACACCAGCACTATTGATTATTCTACCAAAAAATATTGGTACATGGCTACTTTTGTTTATTTTCTCTGTAATTGTTGCTTGCATTTTTTTTTTGTAGCTCCAAAAAACCCAGCAGTTAGTTCAAGTTGAAGAAAGTACAGATCATAGAGGTTTGTTTTCTAAAATGCTGTGGTATCTACAATGTTGTATAATTTTTTGAAATAACATCTCATGCGGTACTTTTATCACTGAAGTGGTTAATTTATTGTAATGTTAAATTGGTACTAATATCTAAAAAATCTAAAGCACTTGCTTTGCATTGAACAGTTGGTGAATGTAGAACTCTAGGCCAACAGCTTATTGTCTACAGTGATGTTTGGATTTCAATCATGTATCTTTTGTGAGAAAAGGTGTTGAGCACATATGCTTTAATCACTGCTAGCATGTTTTTTTAAGATTTGAATTTTGAGATTTCTTTAAATTGTTATTTTATTATTAATGATACATTATTTTATTAGAGTTTGTTCAGAAGACACTAGTTTTTTCCTTTTGTATCAGAACCTGGGTATCCATCTCAACCTGAGCCTAGCTCCACACAATCAGCATCCGTCAGTGATGAAAAAGAACAAGTTAAACCTCAGACAATTCCAGCAACAGAAACCCCTGCTCCATTTTATCAGTTGGAACAACATTATCCTGTGGTAGTCATGAAAACAGAGGATGCACCACTTACAGCTCATGTACCAGTACTAATACCCGAAGAAAAACCTGCTATACAACAAACTGCCACAGGTAGTGAAATGCCTGTTTTGCGTGAAGAGCCTGGTTATCAACCGCAACGTGCAGATGTGGATGTTGCAGATCAGCAAGTTGAAGTTCATAATGTTGATGAAGGTGATCAAGCACAGAACATTGTATATTCTCAGGAGGAAAGGGACAATGAAGATTTACCCGAACCAGGAGATGCAAGTGAACAAATGCATGAGCCAACTCAAGAGGACATTTCTGAGACTCCTGTCACTGAGCAGCAAGTAATTGCCCCTGAGTTAAAGGACAATCTCCCAGCACAAGTTTCCTGGACACAGGAGACTACACCAGTGGGTGTGCAAGAAACTGATGAATTTTACATTTCAGAGGAACAAGACATTCCACAAGCAAACAGTGCTTATGCTGGGGAATATCGTGAAGAATCCCATGATGGTGATATTCTGGTGTCTTCAGAAACCCGTGAGCCATGGGTTATGGTTGATTATCCTCCAGCAGAAGAAGTAAAGGAAAACCGTTTTCTGCCTCAGGACAATTTGTCTGCTCCTGAACATGTGCAAATGGAAACAACAAATGATCAACTTATGCAGGAAATACAACAACCACAAATGCCGGAAGAAGCTGAACGCGAGTACCATAATGACGTTGAAGGTGTAGAAAATGAAGAGGTTGATGAAACACCAGTTGTTGAGGTACATTGTACATGCATGAATTTGTAATCAAACTTTGTTTTCACTTCTTACGGGAATGCAAGTTGAAGGTAGTGTTTCCCAATATATCACGCCAATTGCTTCCAAAAAACACAAAGTCACTAATAGTTTTGTTGTTGTATTGTAAATAATTATTGGTAGTAAATTATTGTTATTGGGTCTAGTTTTTTTGTTGACATCTTAAAGTGTCTTTCCTTTTGTTTAATGATTAATTTGATTAATCTGTTTTTCATTTTAGAGCAAAGAAAAAAAGAAAAGGAAGAAGAAGAAGAAGAGAAGGAAGAGGATAGAGGTGAGAGGAAATGGAAGGATCTTAAACCCTAATGTGTACTGTATTATGTTTTAAAAGTTCATAAAAAGGCTTCATACGTCCTTATTTTTTACAACCAGTCATTAAATAGGATCCAGAATCTGTTTCTTTGTTTTAATCATGTTACTGTCCTGCATTTTAACATTTTAGACTAATTAACTGAATTTTAACTCCTGCAGGTTCTTTTTTCCATTTAACTTTTTGTTACAGAATAATCTTTAAGGTTCATTTAACATGAACACAGTATAAATGCCACAGTTTACAACGTACCTGTCATCTTGGCAAGTTCTAGACATCTTGGGTAACTGTGCTTGATGGCTTTACCCACATTGTAATTTACTGTAGTTTTTTCTTGCCTGTAGTTTGTTCAAGAACAGCCACATGATGTTGAGGAAACTGATGATGTTGAGGTGGAATATGTGACTGAATCCCTTAGTCCACATGATCCTAACTACAGAGCTTTTGCTAAGATATTTGAGGCATTCAAGGTAACGAATTTCATAAACTCCTTAGTTTTCTCCTTGTGATTTTATTCTGGTAATATAGTAATAAAATTTAGTGGCATTTTCTGGTTAGGACAACCTACTTCACACCGTAGATTTCTCACAAACTGTGCATGTAATCTGCCTTTGCAAGTTACTTTGATTTAAAAAGCAATGGTTTCTTAACTTTCAATTTCCAGCCAGTTTTTTAGCTCCGATGGTGTTCGCAATTTGTTACCAGACTGGACCATAATACAATTTTAACTGGTTATTTTGTGTTGATTCTCTATACCACAGTTAACTGACCCTGTCAAAGAAGATGCAACACAGAAAAAGGCTGACCAAAAAGAAGAAACTGTGAGTAAAATTTTTTTTCTTGTTGGCCTGCTTCAAGTGAATCAACCACTTCCAAATCAATGTCTAACTACAAAGACTCAAGAGTCTATGGTCCCTTTGAAAGGATTAATCAATTAGCACTGAATCAAATCATCTTTCATGGAAAGCACAATCAAATCCATCCAAAGCCCCTTGCATGGCACAAGGTGGATAGGGGCAGTTGGAGAATCAGTGGGAAGATAGGTGCATAAAAACTGATATGAGTAGTCCATGTTGAATAAAACTTTTATGAGTGTTGTGAAGTTACTGCCCTGCTTAGCTTTGTGCAGGAAATTCACAGTCACACAAAAAGAAAAGAAACTAATGACTGTACAGCAACATAGAAAATATTACAGGGCAAAATTAAATTCAGAGGTTGATTGTCAATCTCCTTTGTCTCTAATTCATGAATAAGGGCTAGGAGACCAAGGAAACTGAGAATCAACCCAGGTTAAAAATTTTTGACCTGAATTTAACTTTGACCTGTAACATACTGTTTATGTATTTGTAAAGATAGAAAACCAACTAAGCAAAACTGAGGTAGAAACTGTTAAGGATAGAGTTTTATTCTTTATGTATTCCTTCACATATTCACAGTTGAGGGTATCTGTTACAGGTCGCAGCAAAGAAAACTGAAGCAAAAGATCATAGTATGGATAAAGATGATGATGATGATGATGATGACGATGATGAAGATATGGTGGTAAGACAAACATGTATCTGATATTTCAATCAATTCTTTACATGTATTTTTCACAAATGTCTTTTTACGGATTTATCAGTTTCTTGACAGATATTATTAATTTTATCATGGTTATTGTGCATAAAAGGTTTCATTTTATCATTTGTCTCTGTCATTTGTGTATAGAGGGTTTCGATTATCATTTGAGATGTTGAGGTGCTTTTGTTTTTTGGTCTTGGCAGAAAAAATCTGAAGATGATCAACCTAAGCTCTCCAAGAAGAAACTAAGAAAAATGAACAGGCTTAGTGTGGCTGAACTAAAACAGGTTTGTGTTGTTTTGTTTGGAAAGCTTTATGTTGTAAAAGCATTGTTTGATTGTGATTTTATCGAGACAGAGGAATGATCCATGATTGGATTAGTGGCTGCATATATGACAGCGCAACATCCTTTTTTGCTTCTATTTCTTTCATTCATGTGCTTATGAATATTTTATTATAAATGCTACTGTTATTTTGTTTAGTTGGTTCCAAGACCCGATGTGGTGGAAATGCATGATGTAACTGCTCAGGATCCTAAATTCCTTGTATTTTTAAAGGTAACACAGCTAAGATGTTTTTATTGATATGAAGGTAGACAGTTCATGTTTAATCTCTGTAATAAAAATAGACAGTCTGCACCAAGGTCTCCACTATATATAAATTCTTTCTCTAGTTTTCTCTTAGAAAAGGGTTGATTGATTACTTGTAAGGTTAAGGCAGTCAAGAGTGAGTCAACAGGTGGCCCACCAATCTTAAATTCTACAACAAGACTCTGACTCCTAGGCTGTAGATGAGTGTTACTACTTCTCATGTGTTGATTTTAGTTCTACTGTTTTCTTCTTGAGTGTGTATTGTCCTTACATTTGCTTAGTTGCTTTTGTTGAAGCCTACAATTTATGTTTTCTTCAAAGGGGATTTCTTTAAATTGCCTTTACTATTTGCCTTTGACTGCTCCCACACTTTGAGATTCACTTTGCATTTGTTGTTAAGTGAAAGCATTATCTGTGGGAAGAGCACATTAAACTGACACAACTCATTCCTAGGAGAACAGAATACTCACTGAGCTTGTAGATTACAGTGTCAGCACATTTCCCTTAATTGTTCACACTTTGTTTGCAGGCTACATGTAGATATTTTTTTGATGACTGTTACATTCTCTCTTATTGCCTTCATTTCAGTCATGTCGTAACACCGTCCCAGTCCCCAGACATTGGTGCTTCAAAAGAAAATACCTTCAGGTACTGCACTTTATTTTCTTACCTTAAGATACTTTTTGAATAATACCTTTTCTTAACAAGTGCTTATAGAGTTTGAACATGGCCTGTGCCTACAATAAACTTTTTGGTAAGATACTCATTGGTAAGTTTCTTTGTTCAAAAACCATCCTCCGAGACCCAGGGGCAGATGAAGGGGGCGAGGGAAAGTCTAAACGGGCGGAAAAATATATATGGAACGAAGAAAAGTAAAGAACGGCGAGAAGAGCCCCTGGGGACAATGTCTTACCAGACCAGTTCCAAAGGGTCGCCAGGGGCTCTTCTCGCCGTTCTTTACTTTTCTTCGTGTCACATTTTTCCGCCCGTTTAGACTTTCCCTCGCCCCCACTATCTGCCCCTGGGTCTCTGAGGATGTTCAAAAACCAGCATGGTAGTTTTGAACACGTAGACCTGTTAAGGAAAATTCATTTTGCCGTGGTTCTCCGTCTACACTTTTAACAAGGAAAATTCTTGACAAGGAAAACTGTTTATTGTTAGAAAATAAATGAGCAATGTATTGGCTGCGTACATTTAGCTTTCAATACAAATGTAAATTAACGTTTGCAGAAGAAATTTTCATTAGACTGGCCAATACCAGATGCACGTCTTACTTTCTGTACAATCAATTATCATTTGTTTGTTCAGTTCCTTGCATCTGAAAACTAAACATTTGCATGTATCTCTACTTGCAGAATAAATATGCTCAGTTATTCCTGCAACTTACAATACCTGCACATGTATTTCAGTAAGCTCAGACCTACCTGGATATGATCAAATCCCCTCAACTGAAATAGTAATTTTTCTAGTCAAAGTTGACCTTGTTATTGGAGATGTTATTATTCTTATGCCTTACATGTTGTCATTTTTCACCATCTTTAAGGGTAAAAGAGGTATTGTGAAGCCACCATTTGAACTGCCTGAGTTCATCAAGGTTTGATTAAAGATCATTATTTTCAGAACTGAATTTTGTTATTGTAATACATGTAAGTTTACAGATACCTGTACCTATATTTTTTTTATGGTATTTGAGTGGAATGGAAATTTGTTTTTGTTTTCTGGATGACATGATTCCAACTCCCATTAGAATCACAATTTTTGTCTCTCCTGCTAACTTATGAATCAGATATGATGAAAAATAAACCGTAAAATTTCCAAATTATTTTGCTTGAAAACATTGGATGTGATGCATCCATTCAAAGAAAAAAACTACATCTAACAAGGGACAAACCATATAATTGCTATTATGGTAACTGTCTTAGCATTTTTTATCTTCAAATTTGTTTATGTAGACCTAAAATACATTGTCTCTAATCTGTGGGTACTTTTTCCTTTTTTTAGAGAACTGGAATCATGGAAATGAGGGAAGCAATGCAGGAAAAGGTATCTTGAATATTTCACTAGAGAGACACAAGAGGATCCTCCACTGGCCAGATATGCTAAAGTTCATTGACCTCATAAAGTCGATGCTTAAAATTACCACAAAATGACCCCTCAGTACCAAAACTGCTGCTCAGTTTCCTTAGTCAGAAGAGAAATTTTGCAAATAAGCCATGAACATTACATTCTTCCTTTTCTCAACTTTCACTGTGACAGTAAGTTAGTAATGTTTACATTTGTGTAGTAGATTATCATATAGCTCATACATTTGCTTTTGTTGTTGATCACAGGAAGACCAAAAGACCATGAAAGCAAAGATGAGAGAAAAGGTAGTGTAAACAATACTCAAATGAGGAGGTTTTACTATTCTTTCCACTAGCAAAAATTAATGGTGACACAGTGTATTTTTCCATGCAGGAATCACAGTATTACTTTCTCTTGCATTTGATTTTAGGTCAGACCAAAGATGGGAAAGATTGACATTGACTATCAGAAACTTCATGATGCTTTTTTCAAGTGAGTATTTTTTCTCATCTTTAACCTGTTGTTATAGCTTGTTGGGTAATAGCCAGTATAGAGGCTTTCATTATACATGGCCTTCTTTTGATAGTGCACCTTATACCTCACTCCAAGTACAGACAAGCATAGGCAAGAAGGCTTAGTCTAAGAACACAGTCCTTTGATTTTTTGTGAATGTAATGGTTGTGATCTCTTTTTGTAGATGGCAAACAAAGCCTAAGATGTTAATACATGGGGAACTTTATTATGAGGTGAGCTAGGATTTGTACTCAATGTTTTTTATTGCATATTCAATAAAATTATAGGTTAGAAACACAGCTGCTTCTCACCACTCTTTCTCCACCACTTGGACATATTGTGGGAGTGATAAAAGAGGTTACTGTATTCATAATCTTCACTTTCAATTGAATCTTCTTTAGGGAAGGGAAGGTTGTGACCTTAAAGCAAGGTTTCAAGAAAAACAACAAGCAAAGGAAAGTCCTGATCCTAATTCCTCTTTTTTTTAATCAGGGAAAGGAGTTTGAGACAAAATTGAAAGAGAAGAAGCCAGGAGACTTGTCAGATGAGCTTCGGACAGCCCTTGGGATGCCAATTGGCCCTAACAATCAGCTAGTTCCGCCGCCATGGTTAATTGCCATGCAAAGATATGGACCCCCGCCATCATACCCCAGCTTAAAAATCCCTGGATTAAATGCACCTATTCCTGAGGTAAGGATGGAAAAGCGAAACATGTTCATTTGTCATTCAATATGTTTTTTTATTTTATTGGCCGATAGGAAGAAACTTGCTGTCATGATCAAAACTGCAATACTGAAATGCTCTACTAAAACACACTCTGTATCAAGTCCATATCTCTCTCTTGTTCTATTGATAGTGCCATCACATTACAGATGCTAATAGTTCCTCTGCGTATGATGCTTAATCGCAAGCCTTGGGTAGTTTAAGTGGAAAAAAGTTCTGGTACAAAAGCAGAGCTTGTTTCAAATGTGGATCAATTTAGGTTTTTGGGATATGTGAGCACCTACCCCTCCCCTAAGTTAAAATTTTGCCCTAAGTGAGGAGTAAGTGTTTATGTTGACTTATGGGAGGGAAGTCATGTTTCAGACCGTTGTTGAAACTTTTTGTCAAAGACGATGAAAGTTTGTGTACTGTAACAGTAAAGTAATTTTGTATACAACTTGATGTGTCCAGGAATATTTGTTAAATGGTTGTTGTTTTTTTTTTTGCATTTAAGATACAATTACCCATGTCTCGACTTCCCATGTTATCAGATTGCACAAATCACAGCCTTGATATTTTTTGTTTTCCTCCTCAGTCTAGTTTTCCAATAAATCGTTATTGTTTAACATGGACCCTGTGTTTGTATGCTGTATTGTTTGCTGCAGGGTGCATCATTTGGTTACCATGCCGGTGGCTGGGGTAAGCCTCCTGTGGATGAACAAGGCAAGCCACTGTATGGTGATGTGTTCGGTATCCAGCAGCAGGAGGCTCCTGTGGTAGAGGAAGATGAACAGATTGAGAACCAACCTTGGGGCGAGCTGGAATCTGAGTCAGAAGAGGAATCCGAGTCAGAGGTATCCGATGGGTGGGGAGGGAAAGGAAACATGAATCACCTGTGATCACATGGGTGGGGAGGAAAAGGAAGCATGAATCACCTGTGATCAAGCTGTCTTGACACATGGGTGGGGAGGGAAAGGATGCACGAATTGCATCCTTTAAAAGCTGTCATGAGGGGAAGAGGGCCAGGCACCACCTTTCAGTTGTAGGCTTGTAAATGAGCCTTATGTTTTACTTAATCGCGGGCATTTCATGTTAGCTCGTGTTAGTTTTTTATCCAACCAGGGCATAATCAAGGCGAACCACAAGGACTGGGACAAATCTCTCAAGAAATGTGAAAAAAAACCTTAGTACAGTTTATTTATTTTTTCAATTAAAGGAAGAATCGGAAGAGGAGGAAGATCAAACAGGTCTCATTACACCAGCTGATACGTAAGTTTGTCAGTCTCCGTTACCGATTTCAGTTCATCAAGTGTTAACGTGTTTAAACAATAATTTGACTTGTTTGCAGGGCGAGAACCCAATAATTCCTCACGGTCATAAAGTATGAGCCATTTCCAGCATTTTTAAGGAGAGAGTATTCATAGATGCATTTAAGACAATGGGTCCGTCATACAATCGAATAATTTTAGAAAAATTTGAAACCGATCAAGGAAATAAGGTAATTCAAAAATTAATAACTTTTTGCTGTAGTAAAACCGAATAGCGCAAAAAAATATAGTAGAACAAGATAGCTCATTTTCATTTGAGGAAGCGAAAAGGGGATCTAAAAACCAAACTCTTTCTTGTCCTGTTATGGCTAATTAGCGCCTGTCTTAGATTTCTTCCCGAGCGTCTTCTTAGTGACTAATTCACGTTAGACGTTTCGCCGTGGTCTTGGTTAATCTGTTTCAATCGGTTCTTTGTTTTGTCATTTTGTAGTGGACTTATCACCCCGAGCGGTTTGACATCCATTCCAGCTGGTATGGAAACACCAGACATGATTGAACTACGTAAACGAAAGAATATCGAGGAAGCCATGGAGGTTGGTTCTGAACAGCAACCGCTGTACACCGTGTTACCGGAAAAGAGAATCAGCGTGGGCGCGGCTATGATGGGATCTGCGCATGTGTACGACATGACGTCGGTAAATATTAGTGTAACAAGTGCTGTTGTTCAACGCTGGTTACTTTGAAATGTAAATACAGTGTAGACTTTCGTTTTATCGAAAGATTAACCGTTGATCATTGTCATCATTTTTTATTATCTGAGCAAAACAATTTACTGTTTTTTTCCCTGCTCTATAGGCAGCTGCAGGTGCTCAAAGAAAAGTAAGTTCTGTCATTGACTGCACTTATTTGTAACGTGGATCACGTGCATTGTAACTTCTTACATTATTATGACCAATCAGCTGACTCCCTTTTTGATACCAGGCTGGAGCGCCTCTGACTGAGGGTGTCGAGGTGGCACTGGACCCGAGTGAGCTGGAGCTGGACCCGGCGGCTATGCAGGCCAGGTTAGCAGTTAAACGATTTTATTTGCTGAGAGCCCGAAGTTGTCATTTGACTGTCTAAATTGGTTTGCTGAGCCTGATGATTGGTTCACAGATCTCACGCCATTTTTCGGCCAGTCACAGTCAACTTTGACTCGCTAGCAAGCTCCTTTTCTCTGAACTCTGGTTGGTTCAGTTCTTTGGCAGGGTGTACAATTAATATTCTCGATTTGTTCTTACTTATATTTGTCGCGTTTCTCAGATACGAGGAGCAGCTTAAAGAAAGAGAAAGCCAATTACAGAAAGAAGACCTGAGCGATATGGTGGCGGAACATGCAGCTAAACAAAAGGTTAGCGACTTTTTCTTTTATAACCTCAGTCTTAACGTGTCCAGAATGGGTAATTTTGAATGGCGAGGTCTGTGCGTGGCAAATATTAAGCGCACGAACAATTTTCTGTATTTGTGACTCTCATGAGAAAACCGGTCTTATGAATTTTCACCATAAGCGTGAAAAGAAAACCACGGTCACGGGGCGTGAAATACAAATTTCACAACGTGAATTCAAATTTTTACGCCTTGTTCACTCAAGTTCAAGGTCATCTTAATGGAATGGATGTGCCTCTTCACAACTGCCTCCATTTGTAAAGGTACCGTTTGAACAATTTCAACTTGGATTGAACTGAGCTAATTAAGTTGGTAAGTAAGTAAATAAATGAATAATCAAAGTAGATAAATAAATAACTAACTAAAGATTTAGTGGTAGGCCATCCACTAAGGTTTTCTTCGTCTACTGTTCTGGATGGAACTGCAATTTCAAAATGTTGGTTTTAGAGGGCAGGGGGAAACCGGAATACCCAAAGAAATACGTGTCGTAGCAAGAACCGAGAGAATCAACAACAACACTCAACCCAGAGTATGGCTTCTTATCAGGAACCTGAACCCAGGCCTAATTGATGGAAAGCGTGTACCCTAGGCTCGATTACCAGCCGCTGTTCGGGAAAATGAGCCCACACTGATCAAAGACCGGACTCGGGAGATGGCGGAAATTGAGCCTACGTGTACCCTGACCCGCACTGTTGCTCCTTTAATTATACAGCGCTTGTCAGAGGGTCTGAATGGGGTTTAGTGTTAAGTGTTATTTGCCCATAATTTTTAGCGTGTGCTGTTAAATTGGCCAATTTTTAATGTTTACTGTTTGCGAAGAAAATACCGTTAAGTGTTTGGAGGGTTCTTCGGACATCTTCGGCAATGGTCGGACCTCTAGGTTGGTCTTTGGAAATCTTCGACAGTCTCCGGGAATCGTCAGTAGCCTTCGGAAATCTTCTGATATAATCCGGGATTGTCGTTAAATGGCCGAAAACTCCTTGATATACTAAACAAAATAAAATTGGCCTTTTTGGAGCTGTTTTTCAAAGAATTTTTCAATGTTAGTGTTAAAATGCTTAAAATTTGACTGTTTCATGTTACAAAGCCCAAAAATGAAGTGTTTAGTGTTATCGAGGTACCTCCATTCAGACCCTCTTGTCAAGTTGTCAATTATTTGGTGATCTGCTCAAACTGTCTCGATATGTGGTCCAACAAATGTCGGGGCCAAATTCTGTACCAGTTTTTATGGGTCTCGAACTGTATGAAGTGAATTTTATCTTTCGTGCTCCATGGTTAAGCACACTTTCTGCAAAGGAACGATGGGCTGCATCCTATCAAGGCTTTGATACTGTCTATGCTAGTGTAATAGATAGTTTAGGGTAAAGATTAGACACTGAAATTGTCACCTATTGCTTGTGTAGAAAACATTGAAAACTCTTAATATGTATGTTTTTTCTGGTTTCACAGAAACGAAAAAAAGCGACAGACAGCGGCAAATCTGCTAAAAAGTACAAAGAATTCAAGTTCTGAAGGCAGGGATGAAACTTGCTTACAACACATTTGTATGTAAATAGCAATATACTAAGCTGTACGAGTTCAGAAACTGCCGTGTTGTGATTTCACAATGCTATCCTCTTCCTGTAAAACGTACTTCAAAAGCTGTTTGTGTTCACTGTCAAAGCGTCAAGCTAGATATTAAGATTTATTTTTAACTCCAATATGTCAAGATTCGGGCCTCTTTTATATGCGTTGTACTAACGAACTCACTTACAGTCTTTAAATCGTGCATTCAGTGAATAAAATCCTTTCACAGTTCTTCTGGTGAAAATGTTCCGATTGGACTCATTGTTTTTGTTGGATTCTATAAAACATGCTGTAAGCACTATGGAGTATTGTTCATGGTTTATTTACGCAATAGACCACACTTTCTATGGGTTTTCTATGGGTGATGACCCACGCGGGATGTTGGGAGAAATCACGTGTTCTTCCAACACTCTAAGTGGGTTATCACGCCGGTAAACCCAAAGAAAGTGGGTCTATTGCTTTTATTAAATAACTTTAAGTTTTCTATGAGTTAACCGGCGCAATAAACCATATGTTTTTAGCCAATCAGAACAGGCGTACTATCTAGTTATTTTATAAGTTGTTGTTATTAATTTCATACCCTCTGCAGGGGTCTTCAGTATGGTGGATAACGTTATCGACTGGATAAATCTCTATTCCGTGGATAGCGCAATTAGTTTCCTCAATATTTATCCGCAGGATAGTGTTTTATCCAGTGGATAGCGCTATCCAACGTTTGAACAACGGGAGCCTGCAGATGTATATAACTCAACCGATCGACGCAACAGCACAGTTACTTCAAAAACAAACAACTTCATATATCTTAACGTCTCAACTGCTCCAATTACAACACTCTAAACATGTGGTTTAACAACCTTTACTGCCACTCATTTTTAACAAGATTACAATAGAATATCTGGTATAGTGATAGTAAACACGAGGAAAAAATATTATAGAAATACAACACGGCGAAAATTGCTCGCCCACCCAACATACCAGCCTATTATTCAACTCTCGTCAAACGAGTGAGTCCCTTCACCATTAAACTCTAGTTTCAGCCAATTATCTGGTTAACAGGCAGTTAATTTTTAAAATTGACCTAAGTTTATATTGTATTACATCGAATTTAAATTCAGTATTTGACACAGGTCCAAAATTGCTAGTTCCTTACAGCCTTGTGGTATGCCACGTTTCGTGATGAATACATGACAAGCCAGACAGGAAAGTCTCTAACTAGTTTCAAAAAGCTAGTTGTTCCACGTTTCTCTTTTCCCGAATCCAAGCTCAGAAGATTAGAATACTGTGCATGCGATTTTTTTGTTACTTTTTTTTCCTCTACAAAGTTACGGCAACCCCGATGAACTGAAAAGCAAAAAATGAAAAATATAATTAGAATATGAAACAGTTAGGAGCAAGTGTCACTCGCTAGTAGTACGCTCGTCCATGCACAGAAGACTTCAAGAAACCTGCTCTTCTGTAGTTGTAAATCGTTGAATAGAACGTTGCTGTAGTAACGAAGAAATAAGTTTCTCACTCTACCTACTCCAGAAATAGGTCGGGTTGGAGTATGGACAGAGCAAGCTAGTTACACGTACGCATAGAAAAGTTAATTATGATGAATTATAAAGCTACTAAACTTAATCATATTAATAAGCCGGCTTTCAGCTGCACTTGAGAGTAAGTTTTAACCATCTTTCATTCGTTCACCATTAGAAGCAAGTTTCTTTCAAGCTAAGCAGTTTAAAGTCCTCACCAGTAATTTTGTTCATTTTACAGTAAATGGTCTTCTAATCTTCTTTTTTTTTTTCGAATTAATGTACAGGCGAGCCTATAAGCTTCACGCTTAATTATACACGTATATCTACCATTAAGTTATTTAGGTAGCTCTCTCGCTTTATGCTATAGCAGCACAGCAAGAGAGAAAAGGGCATCTTTATAACTGGGTAGGTTCATTAGTCGTCAGTAATTACCAGGTATGCATGGATTACTTAGTCGTCGTCATGTAGTTTACAGAGTAACACAGGCACGAAGGAACTGAAAGGCAAAAAGCACGAATGATGAATGAAACGATGAAATAAGGAACAGATTCACGCATGCAGCATTTTAAACTTCAATAGTCACATTAAAGGATTAAATCCACCAAAAAATCAAATACTACATCTTCCATTCTCAACATTCGCAATGTGTTCTGATCAAGGTTCCAGTACAGCAGGCTCAAATTTTCAGTGATAGATCACTATGCAGTGCTTTTTCATATTTTCTCAGCTTGATTAGAAAGTGACCTAGAAATCAGAAATTAGAGGCTGGAACATGATAAATTGTCCACAGACCAAAAGACTACGCATCAAACAAAACGTACCACGCACCATCTTTCAACGAACGTCCGCTGAAACACTCCCAAGAATAAAGGATAAGAAACAATAAGGATGCAAAAAAGGGTCAACTTAAAGAACACTTCTGTTTTTGTTGTTGTTGTTGTTGCTTTTTTTCCTCACTTACTTCGTCCAACGAAAACTTGGCTGTCCCAGTTCTGTCCGCGTAACGATCAAAGTTATCTAAGCAAAGAAAAACCATAAACCCATTACAAAAAACTAAAAACCTCCGCTGAAGAAATGGCACATTCTCGAGCTCGCTTATAAGAAGGCGGAAAACTCGGCATTAGTAACTAGCCATTGCATTGACTTGAGTGAACTAATGTATAAAAATCGATTATAAAACAGTGAAGACACATTTAAGTAACCCAGGAAATATAAAAGTACGCACGGTTGAACGAAACTGAAGAAGTTTAAGTGTGAAAGATTTGAACATTAGTTAACCTGAATTAACGCTGAATTAAAACTCTACCGAGACAATACCCTGGGGCCAAAGGACGCGTTTTAATTTCATCGTAGTTATTTTTAGAGGGGACCTTTTAAGCCAGTCAGCTACGGTAGGGAGAAAGATTTGTTAGGACTGAAGACGATTTTGCTATTTAGTAGAATCTCTTCGCCAACGCTACGTTTCACAGTGACTAATATAAGTAAAACCAACATATTGTCAACAATGCATCCAAGTGTAATATTAGCGCAACCCACCAGACCCCAAGCCTGAGAAAGCAGCCGACATTTAGCGACGCCACCACTGGTTTCCCCAAGAAATGGCGTCCGAGAAACGAATGCAGAAATTCCATAATGATGACGTGTCACTACCCCGTAGTGCTTCTGATTGGCTGACAATTTGTTTCAACCAATCAGAAACACCACCCAAGTAGTGACGTGTCATCAAAATGGATTTTCTGCGCTCGTTTCTCAGACGTCACTTCATGAGCAAACCGGTGGTGACGTCGCGAAATGTGGCCTGTTTTCTGGCCCAGGGGAGATGACAGAGAGAGCAATAACCATCACATAACAAGATAGTGGTTCACACCTTTCAGAGAGTAAATACGACAGACAATTTGCAGGAAGTCATCAAAGGACAAACTTCCTTTCTTGTTGTTGAAGCGGGAAGCCATGGCATTTAAAGTCTCATCGCTGAGGTTAATACCTAAGAGATTTTTATAGAAGTCAGTAAAAAATAAGACGTCAGTTTGTCTCCCTTGACACTTAACGATTCATTATGTGCATGTATACATTAATAGCCCTTGGGGGAGGAGGGTGACTTAGCTATGCTTTTTGAGAAAAGAGAGTTAAAAAAGAACGCCCCCCTTTCCCTCCTTCACAATTTAATTTCGTAAAATGCCAAACAAAGTACCAAGTTAAAGTACTGATGAAGAGGGTTAATTTAAATGGTGAGGTTGTATAATGTACATTTTCGGCTACTCATTCAGGGTGTGTAGAGGCCAAGGATGACATAACTATAAACAGGATCACATGAAAGCACGTCACCATGCCTTACATGTAAATCATCACACATAAGCAATTTATTCACACTTGAAACATGGAACTAACTTGTACTGCATAGCAAACTGCATGACAAGTTTATTGTGAAATCCAAGCCGCACATGAAAGGACCGGCACAAGCACCTTGATGGTAGAAATCAAAGAAACATTACCCTGTTTTGACAGAGCCCGGCGCATCTCAAACATGTCCATGGTTCCACTGTTATCTGCATCATGCTCAGCGAAAATTTTCTGTGAAGTAAAGACAGCCCCTGTCATATAATGATTACAACATGTTCTCATTCTTGAAGTCCCTCTGTGATCAGAAACATGACCTCAAAAAATATGAAAAGTGCTTCCTCACCAGCAAATCTTTAACCATTTGCCACACTTCCTTAAATTCGTCATAATCCAGCTTTCCAGTCTTGTCATCCTAAATACTGTTAAGGATATACCAAAACAATACCTAATCCATTTGCTGTCATGCAAACAAATCACAAGAACAAAACCCAACATTTGGGCACCTGGTATTGGTAGGTTTTATTTAACAGGCAATTTCTGAGTTTGCCCGGGCCTCTGTTGAGTGCTCTGCCTTTGATATGGAAATGATTTTTCATTCTTATGCAAATTAAACACATTTTAACAAGAAAGGTTGTGCACTTGGCCTCAATTTGAAAGTGAGGGTTTTGGGAACATTACAAGGAAAAAAATGGAAAATCATTTAACCGTCAACCCCCCAAAATGTTGCGGTCTCTTACAAGAGGTTCCAACTGTTAAGCATTGACCGGGAAAATTTTGGTGTTTTGGATTGGTGGTTGCTTACGAGAGGTGGTTGCACATGGAGGTTGAACTGTTCAACATTTCTACTAGATCAAAAATGACCAGCAGAGGAAATATTGACTGTAATTTGAAAACAAAGCCAATGCCTGGTGGATAGATACACATGTACTGGTAAGTATTTCATATTGATTGTTCTTATAAACAAAAAACAGTTGCTATGCTCTAAATTTTTAAGGAAAGCGTTTATCACTAAAAGATACATCCTTAAGATCTATGATGCTCCTGAAAGTATTAAAAAAGACAACAGGCAAGTGTTAAAAAGAGAGACAGACAAAAGACAGGCATGTAAAAATTGACTACGGTTAACTCTCTCAGGCACCAAAATAGTGTCCGTCTTATAGAGAGTCAAATTAAGGGAGTAAACAAAGGCAGGGACCAACTCTTGGGTGTCCGTTTTACAGATGTGTCCGTGTTATAAAGGTGTCCATTCAGAGAGAGTGAACTGTAGCTTGTGGTTAAAGCTGATCAAGAAATGGAAGAATAAGAAGAATTTTATTTTCTACTTAAAAAATAGCACAGTGCTATAGTGGATAATCAAAAATGGTAACAAAAAATTGAACCTCGAATCTATGCTCTCTGCAGTCTATGCTTCAAAGTGATTTGTAGAAGCATATTTTACAGCAGACAAGCAGCATCACAGGTTTTTCTCTTTTCTCAAAAACATCCTTTTGATTTTTTGCTACTCTATTTTAAACTGCAATCTCAATGTGGATCTGTTTAAACTTCAATTGACACATAAGCTGCTGCATGTTTAGAAGGGTACTTAGCAAAAGGCACTTTGCATATCCCAGAGGCCGGTATAGGTCTACATAAAAGATAGGGCTACTCCCTCTACCTTTTGGGAGTGAAATTTTGGGGGTTGGTAGTGTGTAGAACTGTCATGATGCCTTATAGAAGCCTTTGAGGGCATGAAGCCAGAAAAAAAATGGAACTTCTTGTTACTCAACTGAATTTTTGGCTACCTCTGAGATTCTGAAATGTTTGGCAGGTGTTCTTAGTCTTTCCAACCCCCCCCCCCCCTTCAGCCTTTTTATACTTGTGTGCCCCATGCCATGTAAACATATAATCGTTTTACATGCAGACCATAATGTTATCTGGCTATATGAGGCTATGTAACATCATTTTACTGTAAGAAACTAACCTGCAAGCTTCTAAGCTAAATTCCTTGTCTCTAAGCACTGCATATATAAGTAATATAAAAGTCAACTCTTGTGAATCAATTTAAAGGACAAAAATCTTATACATTATTTTGTAACTAAGAAGAGAAGTCGGAAATAACAGCCACATGTAACTTATTAAAGTAGTATAATATTATTCTAAGACTATAACAACCTTTAGGGCCACAGCAGGTTGTTGTTCGTTACATACTCTTGGTGGGACACACAAAACAAGTCCTATTATTTGCATGTACATAGGCCAATCAAACTGAACACAAAACATAGCCTATTATTATTTTTTGCTATTTTCTGCTGTCAATCACCTTAGAGGACCTCTTACAAAACAGAAGTTAACTTCACCAAGTTCAAAAGGATTCAGGGAAGGCGGACCTGGGGGGCTGGGGGTTGCCCCCCTCCCCCAACACTTTTCCAGAGGAAAAATGTTTTTGTTTAAGTATAAGGTACATGCTGTAAGCACTAGATTAGTACGAGTCATTTTACACCTTATACAGGTTGAGTTTCATTTTAGAGAAATATCACATTGAGAATGTTGAAAATACCATTTCTGAGCCTCAAAGATTTCAAAATATTTTCTGGGGGAGGATGCCTCCAGTTCAAACAAACTCGCAACAAACTCGCATCTGTGGCATGAGTTTTCAAGCCCCCCACTAATTGAAATTGGGCTAATAAAGAATCTTAATCTGCCATGCATCCAACTCAAATGCAAGTTTTCACAATGTACCTTTCTTTGTAGCAGTTGAAAGGATCTGCTGAAGTTCAAATGCATCAATCTCTCTGTCCTGAAGGAAAAATCATTATTAGCACTAGAGTTCATCACTGTCACAACCAAACAAGTCCTATTTAATTCCTTTCAGTAACAACTAGATGTTCTTGCACCAAGTACTGTTATCATGTGATTCTTTGGCGCATTCAGTTTTCCTTCTTGCTAGGTTCTGTCAGCCATTTTCTTCCCCTCCCCCCTCCCCCTCGGCTTTGTTGGTTTTTTTCTCCACTGATGTTTTCAGTGTGACAGGTGCCTGTTCCTTTCCTTTCGTGTGGGGGCTCATGGCAGGGTTGTGCTGTTGTGCCAGCTATGGGGGCATTATTTCAATCTAGGGGCTGGCTGCCAATAGTGGAAGCCCCTGGATACTCCAGGCACCCAACCTCCATTTGAGCGATGCAGTTGTTAATAACAATATTAATCAACACTTACAACTCCAGCCAGTTTGAGGAACAACTGCTTGAATGAAGAGTCCACTGAATCACTGTCCTCTTTGCTCTGTTCTCTGTACTGCAACAGTGAAAACAAACAACTGTTTGCAACAGTCTAAAAAAGCTTAATTACACCTTAAATAATTTCTCATGTTCTGGATATGAAATGAACCACTGAGTCTTAAGTCCAGTGTAAGAATTCTAACTCACCGAAAATTAATATTAAGTAAAAAAACTACATACATAGAATAGTTATACACTAACCCTAGATCGACGTTCACCTCTGGACTGGATGGAGGTCTTTACATCAACTTTCCTGTGAAAAGATAATACAACCAAATATGCTATGATATGAAAGCCCATTAGGATAAAAGCTAGAATATCTATTGTTCACAGCAACCACGCCAATCAGCCTAGCTGTTTAATTTATTCCTTACAAGTGAACTAGAAAAAAGGCCTTCACGGCTTTCTGAAGATTAAATAGCTGAATTTCTGGTTGAAATTAAATGGAAGAAATGCAAGAATACACAAAACATATTACTCAATGGATGTTACCCCATCAACATTATTATGTTTTCAGGAGTACGGCAAGAAAAAAGCATCTGTTTACATGTATATCCTGAAACTATGCCTAGAAATACATAAAGACCAAGGCTTAGTCTACAAAGGAAGTAAGCTTTTTGAGAACTTTAAAAAAATATTGAATGAATCATTCAAGATGTGAAGAATTTACAAACCTTAAGAGGCTCACACAGTAATCCACCTTGGCCAACATTCTCCTAGGTATTGCATACTTCTTTACATCATTAACTCAGCCTCATTCAAATTGTTTATATTACATTAAACACAAAATTAAAATTTTGTTATTTTATAGTTCTTACTTTGAAGACACAGGCTTTTCAGAGTAGACTCGCACGATAAAGTCACCCTGATGGTTTGGTTCAAATGTGGTAGGGATGATGAGGTACGATCCTGGATCAAGAAGGTAACGACCAGTGACCTCACGACTGTTGATAAACACTGGAGATCGAGCAGTGGAGGCATGATAGGCAAAAAAATCTCTGTCAGCTCTACCACCCTTCAAATCTTCATCTGTAATCTAGAAAACAATAAATTAAGGAGAATAAATTTCTACTGAACTTTAACATGATCCAAAAGAATTACATGATAAAAAGGGGAGTTGAGAAGATGTTTTTACACTTTAATAAACAAAATTTTGCATTCTGCTCATGTCTGACCTTGAGCACCCGTATGTGTATATAGTTTCGACTCTTTTTATCCAATCTTTAAGGTGACTAATGTAACAAACAGCTGACCATCTGACCCTTTTAAAAGAGCCTCTAAAATTCAGCTTTCTCAGATGTAGTAAATACAGCACTGTGACAAAAGATGTTTGAAGACCCCTAGTGTACTATGTAACCTCCATCCTCCATCTCTTCTACGTTTAGCTGGAGTCAGGTACTGTGCTAATATTAATGAATACTGTACTAATATACAAAAGTAAAAGATACCTTGTAGATTGAAAATCCAATGGTTAGCATGGGTTTTCCTTCCTCTGCTTTCAATTTGCGGCGTTTGGTTTGCATAAGTGCCACTGTTAATGAGCATTTATCATCTTCATCATCATCAGCATCTTCCAAATCAACTCTAAAAAAACAACAACTCCACTATTTGCCACTAAATCCTTCTTGTAAAATGGAACAGTGGTAATTACTTCTCATACACCACTTAGATGCTCATTACTGATGCTAAATTACAGCTGCCCAAGAATGCAATTCAAGGATCCACTTCTTCCAGTTAAATGACCTTTCACATTTGGAAGAATTTCTTGTCAAAGTCAAATGATTGTTGGTATTTTTGTCTGGCCTGTTTGATTGATCAAGTTTACTTTAAACCATCCCTTTCCCTTGCACATGGTTGTGCATAGGCAGTTTATCCACAGGTGTGAGGTATGACCAAACTGCACTCAGCTACTCTTCCAGGAAAGGAGTGAAGGATTAATGATATCTTGGCTTTAGAAGAAGGTATAAAGGAATTTACTCACGTCAACCTTCAGTTACTAGTCAGGAGCTGAACAAACAGGAGGGAAACAGAATGGTCTTGTAGAAGGATTTTTTTGAAAAAAAAAAGAACGATTGTTTTACAAATACCTGTACTGAGGGTTTGAGGAAAAAGTATTAAGAAAGTTGCGGCATCCACCAGCAGATGAACCACGTATCCAAGCACCCTTCTCAGTGCGGCCCTCCCAGTTATTCGCTTGTCCTACTCCTGGTTTGGCACTGTCTGGTCCCAGGTGGCATATTTCAAGCTTATCAAAGTACCTCGTAAAATCATCAAAGGACATCCTGTAATAAGAAAATATTGGAAAAGGTCTTTAGTTGCCATTGTTTTAGAAACATTTAATGACTCTTGACCCCTAGAACTGCATTTTATCATCTGCAATGAATAAGTATTTGCAGAGTAATTGCTGCACTGTACTGCAATAAGAGTTTTGTGCAACTTGCAGTACATGGTATTGAAAAAACATTAAGTGTCTAATGGCAGTCAGCATTAGAAACTTACCAAAACTCTCCATCATCAGCAAAACTCAAATTCAACTTTCTTTTCTCGCTGTCAGACAGTCCTCGCCACTCTGAAGACCTTAAAACAAAAATGAGGAGCATAAGGAGAAGCTAGGAGAACCATCACTACTATAATTGACCCAGTTTTGGGCATTATTTTTAGCCTTTTTTCTGTCACCACTATCTTATTTCATAAGTGGTACAAGAATCATCAATCAGGTTCCACAAGAGAAAAATTATTTATAAAGTAACAGGATTTTTTTGGTCCGTTTAAATTACAGATCTCTCACTTCCTCCTCCACTGTAGTTACAATGTATCTTTAAACATCAAAACTGATGTCACAAGGGGCTACAAAAACAATGTGCAGTGTAGTACTACAAGGCCTCAGTTAGAAAAAACAAAATCAACAGGCCTCAGTCTCGGCAAAATGTAGCACGTAGCTTAAGTTGCATTAAGTGAATTCTCTTTTTTGAGATCTGATTTGTCGTAAACAGTTGCTTGTGGTGTTCGATACAAACTGACAGTCTGTTTGGTGTGCTCCAACATAACTTTGAACCATACATGAATGTAATTATGCTCATAATTTATACAGTCAAGGGGTTTCTTACTTGTCTCCCCATGGACCTTCCCACTCTCGATCATTACCCCAGGGGTTCCTCACACGGACCAATTGAACATCCCTGCCGTGGTAATTCACCTTAGGACAAAAGGAGCACAAAGTGTTACAATTACAAAACAATCTACTTGCAAGATTTACAAATCTAACAGATTAATGCCAGGACATTACTCAAAAGCCATATCTGTAAGCTTGCAGAAGGTAGACTACACCACATCCCCTTCAAATGGACAAGAAAAAATAAATGGAGGACACATGGCTAATTGCTTACATTGTTGCCCAATAACAAATTTATGAACCCAGCTAAGAGTCCGAATTAGCGAGGTTGGCTTTAATTTCTACTGGAATCTGTTGACTGAACAAGAAACAAGAGTCCATTGTCCACATCCATTGTCTGCATTAATTTTACCGGTGTCTGTATTGACTGGGTTGAAAGTTAGTTAAAATATAATGTAAGGGTTTTCTCAGATAAAAAGTTAACTGTCTGTAGTAACGAGATGCTCATATTAAGTGGGTGTCATCCATAAAGCTGGGTTTGAACGTATTTTAAAAACCTGTAGCAATAATGTTGCAAAATAACAAAAATATCTTAGCTTGTTCACAGGTGTTTTTAGGTTAGACAATCTCCAATGACAGAGACTCATGATGAGAATAATGGCCCATGTTCTCTAGGAACATATTTATTTTATTTAGCACCATTTTTCAGTGCCATTCAGGATAAAAATACATGCAGAAAAGAAATAATATCACATCTTAAATGGCCAATCATATTTTCACTTTATAAAGCTAACAAATGATAATTATAACTGAGTGATTTATGTTCACAAGATGTGTAGACTGACACTGATGAAAAGGGTGTCCAGTATTGTGTCTTACAAACAACTGACCAAGAGATATCTGTCAAGACGGCCCTGATGAAAAGGGTGTCCAGTATCGTGTCTTACAAACAACTGACCAAGAGATATCTGTCAAGACGGCCCTGATGAAAAGGGTGTCCAGTATCGTGTCTTACAAACAACTGACCAAGAGATATCTGTCAAGACGGCCCTGATGAAAAGGGTGTCCAGTATCGTGTCTTACAAACAACTGACCAAGAGATATCTGTCAAGACGGCCCTGATGAATAGGGTGTCCAGTATCGTGTCTTACAAACAACTGACCAAGAGATATCTGTCAAGATGGCCGGCCTTCTGCCATATTAAACTGTGCTAGTTCCAGTAGACTCATTTTATTTTGGCTCTTACCGTATTTGCTCCTGTTACAGAATATGCATGACCTTTTACCAATCCAAGATCCCCTTTGGCTTCTATCTGATTTGGTGCAGCCTGATATCAGAAATAATATATAGTCACCCCAATAAATTACACCGTCACTTATTTAAAACAGTACAGTTACCCCAGCCAGTTTAACAATCACTTATTAATGTTCGAAACAGTCTGCTGGTTTTAAATGCTGCAGGTTAGAGCAGCTTTTGAGAAATGTTTGTCATGAGTGTGCAACTGGTAATTGTGAAGAAGAGCTCCCCAAAAAACCTGTCGGTCAACTGTCGGCCGACACATTACCGACAGGCTACCGACAGCTAACCGACAGGCTATCGACAGTTTCCCAAAGAAGAAAATTGTTGAGAAAACTCGCATTAAACATGACATAGAAACGATAATAATCTCGATAGACATCACTTACTTACCGATCGATGGTAAAACGATTTCTTCCGACATGTTTATAGAAAGCTTTTGAAATGCGAAACGGATATATTATTCGCGAAAGACAACAAGGCAATCAATGAAATCAGATTTAGAGGTGATTTAATCCCAATCTCTGAAATCCTACAAGAAAGCTACTTTGGAAGCTTCTCAGTCGTGTTGCTTGGCTTCACGTACAAATCGCCCAACAATGCCTAGCGAGCGCTGTATGTCATGTATGTATCAATGATGTTTACCTTTTGACTAACAAAGTTCTCTATTTTTGCAGATTCAGACCTATTAGTCTTTCGATGACTTAATGTTAATCTTCCGAATTTCAAGCACAAATAAATTGAATTATGTACCCGCAAATTGTGCCTTAATTAATTAGTCTCTGTCATAATCCGATAATTTGACTTGGATGCATGCCGCGATAATTGATTTAGACGCGCGCGTGCCGCTTAACAAAATTATCACACAGTGTTGGCTTATGACTTTTTTTTATTTGGTGGCTCCTAAAGGAGCCGTTTGTTTTCAAACTAAGGAAACTTAGTTTGGTGGGCAGAACTCAGCGATGTCAGCGAGTAAGTTGTCGAAGGGATCACCAGGGTAACATTTCCGCCAGTTGTATTCGTCGAGGTAACTTGGAAGCTTGCTTTTCAGCTTTCTCTTGATTTGACTCCATACTCCTTCTATCGTGTTCGAGTGGGCACCTGTGAACGGGTCAACAAAGTTTTCTGAATGGTTAACCATGACATGGATGTAGCCGAGGCCGTTCAAGTTAAAGTACAGTGAAAACTTGTCAGAGATAATTGTTGTTCCAGGCTCGACGAATTGCTGTACCAGACCAGTCACCAAGGTTTCTCTCGTTCTGTTGGGTACTCGAAATGTTAGAGCTTTTCCAGTGCCTCTTTCGACCATGCCGAAAACCCATGTGCCTCGACCGATCCGCCCGCGGTTGTACTTGCGTTTATGGCCAAACATGGATTCATCGATTTCTACAGTTTTTCCTCGGCCGCCCAGTCTAATGTTGCCGTGTAGAATTTTCAGGGAGCAGATGTCTCGGAGTCTCTGAAGTGCCGTGACAGCCGTACGAAGCAACAAACCGGTTAGTAGCGATACTTTTTTGTTGGACTCATCAATTGACCACAAGAAGATGGAATCTTCGAAAAAAGAACCAGCTCTGATTGATCTTTGTTTTCTGCACTTGTTAACTGGACATTCCCAGTGATAACCATCATCAGAGTTATTATCTCGTAAAACCATTCGGTTTCCACAAGAGCACCTACGCCTGGCAGCCAGCAAACCACGATTCACAAGAAAGGTTAAAATAGCATGGCAACTTTGGATCAAGGTAAGTAACTCGTGATGATTCATGATGAAATGAGTTAAGACACACTTCTACTCAACCTATTTAATACCTATGGTCGGATCGAAATTAGTCAATCAGATTTTACAAAAGTTTATAAACCAATCAAATGTGATGTGAATAATCTAATTAATATGTTGTTATTGTTGACTGGACCCATGGCATAAGCCAATGAAAATGTTGTTATTGTTGATTTGATGCATGGCATAAGCCAATGAAATTGTGATTTGATCCACGGTATAAGCCAATGAAAATGTTGTTATTGTTGATTGGATCCGTGGCAGAACTTAAAAGCCTTGAATTTGAAGCCTTGCGATCACATAGATTTCGTTTTCAACTTCGATCATTCATTATGTCTCAAAGTACGTCTCAAAGAATTCTTAAGTGTACTGTGTGTGGCGGCGACCACTCTATTTTTCATTGCGAGAATAAGTGTGGCGTTTGCCATGGTGATAATAGGCACTGTTCCTGTTCTGAATGCCCACAGCAGAAAAGAAAGAAGAGCGCAAAGTCATCTGCCTCCGCTGAAACCTCGCACGACGACCTGAGGAAGATGTATGAGACACTTCAGAAGGACTTCAAAAGAGTCGGGCAGGCCTTCGAAAACCAAAAAGAGCAGAACCAGGAGCTCACAGAACAGTTGGCGGAACGCGAGAAAGAGGCCGAAGAGTTAGCGAACCTTGTGAGAACCAGAGATGAGGTCGTTAAAAACCTTGAGCGGCGCCTCGTGAATGCCAAGAAGCTCATCGCCGAACTGAGAGCGGAGATGCAAGAATTACAACGCAGAGGCCAACCCGCGCCACAAGAAGACCAGTCAACGCAGCAACCTCAGCAGACTGACTCTCGCGTCAGCGCCCACAGCCTGGCCAGCATACATGACCGGTATGACCAGGTTCTCCAGTGTATGAGAGAAAACAAATGCAGTATGGCCTGTGCCTTCCGTCTTGCGAGCTGTCCTCGAGCACACTCAGAGACCGTTGCCATAGCCGAACTTAAGAAGGTGGACTCCAGAGAACTAGACCTCGTCCTCCGTGACCAAGTGGGTTCCGTGCGTGCTCGAGGTTGTCTGCGAAAATGACTCGGCGCTACATCCCAGTGATGAACAACATGAGGAGGGAGGGGCAGCTGTTGCCATTAAAGTTTGATCCGTGCTTCTCACGAGTGAAGTATCTGGCATATTTCACCTCACAAAACGGCTCCTTTAGGAGCCACCAACACTATGAAAGTCAATGACCAACAATAAAGTTCAAATAAATAATGAAATACAGTTCAGTCCCAATTCCTCAAACCCTCAAATAAAAACAAAAGTAAATGACCGGCAATGAATAAAAAAAATATATTATAAATACCCGTTCACGACTTGACTCTCAGATAAATTTGAGAGGGACTGGGACATAGTTTACCTTTCCAACATGGCGGAAAGAAAATTCAAGCTGCAATTGCGTAAATTCTCTGGTTAGTTTCGGCTTCCGTGGCGCTAGTCTTGAGCGACGATTACCAAAACTAAGAAGAAAAGGCTATTCTTGTCAATGTATTACACATTTTGGATGTTTATGAAGCGAAAACCGAGAGAAAACATTCAAGTTTGTCATAACGTTTCACCAACAAGCTACCGACAGGTTACCGACATCTTACCGACACATTACCAACTGTCGCCCGACTGTCGGCCGACGGGTAGCCTATATTTCGGGCAAAATCTGTTGGCCGTCTGTTGGCCGACTGTCGGCCAACAGTCGGCCGACTGTTGGTCGACACACGGCCGACAGTCGGCCAACAGTCGGCCGACTGTTGGTCGACAGACGGCCGACAGTTGACCGACAGGTTTTTTGGGGAGGTCTTCTTCACAATTACCGTGCAACTTGCAAAGAAAAATCACTAGAACAACAGCAGGTTAATGTACAAAGTCTGGGCTTTCAAACAACACTGTTTTGTTCTGCTGGCTTTGTGTTTCTGATGGCACTGACAAATAGTTTTGTCATCATTCCTTTTCAATAAAGATAAAGAGATAAATTAAGAAACATCTTTGCATGAAATAAGCAGCTCCCCCAATTCTGGCAAGATATGCCCAATTTTTGGCTAGCTATGAACCACGGTGCAAGATTTGATTTCCGGCCTTGTCTATGCCTTTGCTTTCATTATCAACAATACTTCCTACTACCACTCTTAATATCAATTTTAGGAAGATCTAGAAAATCTTATACTGCACATACCAGTAAAATTTAATATTTATTGATAAGTTATGTATACTTACTGTAATTGAACAGCCCATAAGATCTCCTCGCCGTAATCCCTTCTCGATTATTTTGAATATACCTTTCAGCTCATCCGCTAATTTTCTGTCCTGTCGCATTTTTTTCATGTCAAAGTCCTCTCCCAAGCCACCAGTGAAATCTTCCATAGCTTCAATTGTTTGTCCACCTTTCAGAGCTTCATATGATCCATTAAGTCTGAGTAGAGAGAATGAAAAAACAAGAGTACAAATACATTACAGACTTGGTGTCATACCTGTCCATGACAAAAACAGAAAGTTGTGTTTGCGTTGGCTTGAAACCTTCGAGGGACGATGAGGGAAATATATTTTAAAATCTCATTCAAGTGCAAATTGGCGAAAAACAAGTAAACTTGAAAGCCTAGTCCAACTTCTTTTGAGTTTTTTGGGGTTCTTTGGAAGCTCTGGTGACTGATTAAACTCGCCTTTCACTTTGCCGTGATTAAGAATTGAATATGGTTGCTGAAGTAAAGGCCTCAAACTGAACTCAACTTAACCTTGCAGCTCTGCATGCATTCACTTCATAAGTTAGTACAGAGAAGCCCTACCTAGAAACAAACTTTTTACTTGCTTATGTTGGCATAATGGCTATGCCTTTACAACTGTAGCCACAAAAGATAATAAAAACTATTAAAAAAACACACAAATATATGCATGAATGGCTTTGAGGTTAAACAAAAACTTTTGATATTAACATACTTGGCATAGGCTTTTTCCAACAGAGCACACCAAAACTCATTTTTCTCTTTCGAATGCATGAAGACCAGCTTATTCCTGTATGTTGGCAGACGATCATCAATGATCACCTCAGTCCATTCCCCATCTTGCCAGATATTGAATTTAAATGCACCGCAATACCCAGGAGAGTCAAAGTCATCATACTCCCCACTGGAAAGAACTCTGTTCATCAATTTCTCTTCCTGGGTTAGTGAGGCAAGAGCTGCTAGAAGCCAGCAATCTCCCAACATGCCCTGGTTGATGTCCAGACGGCTTGCTCCTCCTACAACAAACTTAGCTTTCTCACGAACTCCTTGTCTGTCCAAAATTTCCTGAAAAAACATTATTGAGAATAGTTCTTCAGTCAGTGATCTTTCCTCTACAGATGCACAGAAAGTCATGTCCAATAGCCTGGGGCTAGTGGATTTTGCTATCGGGCTTGTGATTTTTTTTTTCGACAGGCAAGTGCTGTTTTGGGGGGAAATTCAAATTAAAGAAGGATAGTAATCAATCCTGCTAATCAAAAAGGGTTTGTGGCTAGTTGAAATGACTTGTGGGCTAGTACATGCTAGCTACAGCTTGCACAAATGACAGGCTGTAAAACTGACTTTCTTTGCACCCTGCTCTACCACTGAGCTACAGGACGAGCTAAGGTCATTAAATTAGGATCATTTCACAAACATCCTTCATACTGCTAGGATTGGAAAGGCTATAGAACAGGTAACATAACCATAAATTGGAAATTTCTAGCAAATAGACAAGAATGATGTTTCTTCAGTAAGTGACAAAGCCAAATCAGGAAAAAAAATATATTGTTAAACACTGTGTTTTAAGTGCTCCTAAAAACCTTTACAAAGCAAACATTTTCTGTTACTATCTTTGTTTTACTTATGTTGAACTATGATCAATATTTACTTAAACATCATATTATTTCATACAAAAATTTGCATACACCAGGTCCTATCCTTGACCTTGGTCCCTCGCGTACAAGTTTTATCCAGAGTACCTAATCCGTCCTCAGGTTTTTCTCTAATATTGATTGTGTTCTTGCAAATCCTTTAACCCACAGTCCCAAACTTCTCCTTTCATGCACCATGTGAGCATATACATGTATCTGATTAATCATCAAGTTTTCTCCAAAATTGTATTTTTGAAAATGTCAAAATTACCATTTTAGCCTTCAGTACCACCTAAAAGTACGTATTCAAATGGAACCGCCAAATCCGGCAAGCTTTGTGTAATACTGTTGAGTAGGAGGTGTTAACCAAAATACCACATACGTATAAAAACACCCAAGTTCTAAAATTTAGTAATTTAATACTCGTAATGAAGTAATATCATTTTTACAACACTGCAGGAAGAAAATGTTTCCATTAAGTACTAATGCTTTCAATAAATAAAGAATCAAATGAATGTCTAACAACTTAAACAATTACTGGTTGACTTGGTTCCAATTTGAACAAACGCTTATTAGCTTGATATTGCTGCCAGAACTGCCATCTTCCAGAGGATTCTCCAGGTTACCGTGCCTTTATTGCAACCGTGGTAAACTCGTGATAGAACAGTTCGCAAAATATAGTAAATATGTGCTTACACTTCCCCAGGGATTTTAAGGACGCAAGGTCATGAAATAGAGGCTTGGAAGAGAAAAGAATTTGTTTTACGTGTGCTTTAGTCAAGCATAAGCAAACAATGATATGATAATCGCCCCCATTAATTACTACCAGAAACTTCGGGGAATAGACTGCATCGAATTTCTAGAATTTACGGGCTGGAAGATGACAGTTGGTGCTTTTTGATCTTTTTGAATAAGAACTTACAAAATTTCCCATGATCAGAGTCATAACTCAGTAAGATGATTAGAAAACAATACATGCACAGTGTGTTGGTCCCAATTGTACACAAGCCGAATACTTTCTCATCTGCGTCCTCGACATTCAATATATTTAAAACAGTGTTTAATTGCTCCCAACAAATAAATATTTCTACCGGATCAACTTAAAACACAGGGATTAAAGCTGTGTGAGCGCAAAACAAGAAATGCATTTAAGCTTTTATACGCTGATTAACTTACCTGAGGTCGGAGCCATTCAAAAGACTGTCCTCCTGGTAGCACCCGCTTCTTAAAAACTTTACTGTCGATCGTTGGAAATTCAGGGTCCTCAAAGAGATCTCCGTTCCTACACTTGCGTTTGATCTCGCGATAATCCTCATGCCACTGTTTGTAAGGCATTCTGAAACTGAAAAAAACATAGAAAATGCAACACCCAAAATGCAAAAAGCAAAAAGACCAAAAGCCAAGGTAGACGCTATGGGAGAACAACGCCTTGCTTAGAGCAGTCACGTAGCTCGGTCACGAACAGTCAACTGTGTTAAATGCCGTTTTGTGTCTCTTTTACTGTAGTTCCATCAGTGAAGGTAGTCTCTTGTTAATTGCAGAGTACTTAAAATAATACTCCTACCTTCTGGCCGGGTTGTCACGGATCAAAAACACAGAGACACGCTGCAGACGATCGGAGATGATCTAGCCTAGAAATGAACTAGAAATGCCAACTATGTGACGCGCATGCACGCTTTGTAAACTGCCCGGCCCCTCCCATGCCTCCTTTGTGTAACTGTCGTTAAAAATGCTAATTTGATATGACCAGATCAAATTTTAGCATATTTTTGGGCGAATAACAACTTGCTATAAACTCGTACACTGAAAGATAAGAGCCGCAAATTATCGGGTTGTTCAGTTTTCTTGAAAATGAAGAACCATAGTTTAGAAACACCGTTTTTCAATGCATACTGATGAGGGACATTCAGGCGCCCTGCGATCAAAACACCAAGCAACTGCGATAGATCAAAATTACATACATGTAGCCGTTTACGCGAATCCTATGCTTACTGTTTTTGGACTTTTTGCAATTTATACATTTTGATTTTTAATTTTAAAATGTACAAAAAGGCCCCAAGAATGTTTGATGAGGGATTTTTAAAAAAACTTTTCGCACGCCTTCGGATTCTTGATGCTAAATTTGTCTGTTCGCAAGGTGGAATAATTTATAAGCCTGCTGTATATTTGTTCTTCGCCGCTTGAATATTCTGAACCTGTATTAAATAGTTCTCAATCATGCGTGAAAACGCTTTACACTTTATACGGGCTAAACTCTAATAAAACAGACCGGGCTTAAAGCAATTTTTATACGGGTATTTGTTGCCGCTGACTATTTTTCTGTCAGAATTCTTAGTCCGCAGGGGCGGATCAGGGGCGGTTTGGGGGGCTCGATCAAACGTTCAACTCTCTGATCTGTTTTTCTTTACCAACAGATAGCCGTCGAAACGTATTCCTTGAAAACGGGTACGAAAATGCAACTTTTCACAAACTCTCCAGAGTGAAAATCTTCTAACAGAAAAAGCAAAACGTCTATGATCGGCATGGAACTCCGACTCCGAAATATTAAAGAATGGGCTGTGAATCCTCGATCTTCACCCCTTAGGACGCAAAACGTTCCTAGCGGCGAAGAGTGCCTGCACTGACACGCCTTGACAAATATTCGATCTAGGCTGAACAAAACGCGATCTGTTCGTACCTCTTCAGGATTAAATATAGCTGACCTTTGGCTGACTGATTTAGATGTATACATATGTGCTCAATAGCCTTGAAATAAATGTCTAATGCGTGGTAATGCTTATCAGCCTAGCAGAGGCATGCACGCAACTCATTTCCGGAGGAACTTTTAACTTTCAGAGGCAATCATGCATTCTTCCCCGCTGAAATTTAGATAGAAACAGGTTGGAGGGTGAAACAGGGGGATGATCTAGGTTAGATTATATGTCGGCCAAGCGCCAGCTTTTTCAGGGTTTCGTGGACGCGCACGCGCGCGTCCCCTCGTGGGCTATTTTAAAACTAATCAAAAAATTAACCGGTGCGTGCATGTAGCCTAGGGTTAAGTTACATGGCCATAATCGATTGTGAATCCTGGAACCATCGAAAGAGTCCCAAGGATGACTGAGTACTTAATCGATGACTGGGCTCAGTCAATTTTTGGCAGGCAGCCGGGAGCTAAGAGAAACGGAGCAATGCGTGGGCCGGAACGATGGCGATATGATGTGCAAAAATCCTGAAACTCTTTCTAGATACTGATAGTGGTACGTAAAAGATGCTAGGCCCCGAAATATTCAACTTCGTCCCAGGGCGCTTTTCCATGGCTTTGAAGGTGGGACGAGGTTGCTAAATATTTGCCTCCCACGAAGACATCTTTAGGGGAGCCCGTCTTTCATCCCTCCCCTAAAAAAGACGAACTCCCCCGGAAAAGTCTGTGTGGGAGGCTACCTAAATATTGAAAGTATAATGAACTGTTCACTCAGGAAGTCATGTGAATTGTCACCTAAATAGCAGATGATCTGACGGACGGCCAAGGGTAGGTTCATTTTCACCATGCGTATAGCTGTCGCATTTTTTACCGTTTTGAAGCTTAAAGTAGTAATCAGGGCCCAGTTGTTCGAAGGCCGATTAGCGCTTAACCCGGGATTAAATTTAACCCAGGTTTCTTTTTCTTGTGTTCAAAAGCATTTTCTCAGATAATTTTCTTTGTTATTTTTAGAGTTTCCAATCATCAACTTGTAGACAAAAAGAATTAAAACGGAAATGCTTCTTAAGATGTCAAATCTGAATTCAAATCTCGCACTAACCCTGGGTTATCTTAACCCAGCTTTGAACAACTCGGCCCAGACTTGTAATCACTGATTTCTGATCAGGTGACTTGCCAAAAATGGTACTGCTGATCAGGTCGCCACCAACGCTAATGAGTTTGCGCGGAATATAGTCAGCCAAAAGCAAGTTGGCATAATCACAATCTTAACTACAGCTGAGCACAACCAGACGAAGAAAGAGAATAGGGCCGTTTATACGAGGAAAAATGAGACGCGTCTTACATAAGAGGCGAATTGTGCCATTTGTACGAGCATGTCTTATGTAAGACGAAAACAGCTCGCGCAAATAGTTCGCGTCTTATTTCTGTTCTTCACTCGTTTTCATGTGAATGCTGCCCGTAGCAACGGCAATCCAAAATGATGCGCCAAAAATTAACCCATGCGTACTTTGCCTTCGCGTCCTATGTAAGACGCGAAGGTCATTCATACGAAGTTTTTCTCGTCTTAGCTAAGATGCATCTTTTGTAAGAACAGGTGTTAAGGGCTGTTCTAAAACAAGACGCGTCTTAGATGTCTTATTTTAGACGAAATGTGTCGTTTATACGTAAAGTTTATACATAAAGTTCGCGTCTTATGTAAGACGCGTCTTATTTTTCCTCGTATAAATGGCCCTGATGTGGGCGATGTCAGGAAAAGGGCGGGAAAGTGGGCGCTCTCCGCTTCTTTTGCACGTGCCACGTCACATGTAGCTCTTATGCTTATGCTTAACAATTTGCTTTAAAATAGAAAAAAATGGTTATCCTAGAACAAATGAAAAATGAACCCGGATTAAAATTGAACTGCCGCCCTTAGGATCGTAATTGGCGTTTTAATAATTGTGCCCCGTTGGAAGAACTCGAATTTTTTCACTAGGATCACATGACATATTAGTTATTTCAATACGTGCTCAATACACGACGCTACAACGCAACTTTGCACCTCGTTAATTCGTCGCTAGAGTTGCATATACTTGTTCCGCGTTATAATTTCATAATTATGGTAAAGAGATAAAAATAGATTAGTGTATTTGTAACAAGTTATGGTTTATGAAAAAAGGAAACATATTCCTGTCTATTTATGTAGCTGCAATGATAACGGAAACTTTTTCATTAGAGCAAGTGTTTTATTTCATTTGAGCTCATCAGCATAACAAGAAATCCGAATATGTTTGTTTATTTGTATTGAGTCTTGATTCATTTCCCAAACCGCGATAGCTCGTTAGAGATCTTCTTTAAGACCACTCATTAAAAATTTAAAAGGGATCCCTTTCAAAGCACTGGCCAATTTGAAAAATACGTAACAAGGGAACATTCTCCACACTTTTCTTAATAACACAGGAAAAAAAACATGCCCACAGTATTTTCGTCGTTTTCTTACAGAGTCCCATTGCTTGGAGAAAATTTGGTTTGTTCATTCGCACCTAGTCGGCAAGTCAGTATCTGATTTTTTCACACATCAACATGGGGGATCGTAGCTTGCTAAACAACGATGCACGTTCTTCTAATATCCTGGTAAAAGATTCAGCTATCTCAAAAGATGTTATTACACTTCAAGTGCCTCAACAATTGTACACTGGTAATAACTCTCGTACATTACCTGCATTACCTGATCCCACGTATAAAGAAGGACGATTGATGCAGGCTCCCTCATATTTATTAGGAAAGCCCCTCTATGATTTCGACGCAACGGGAAACGTGGTAAATATAACCAACTTAATTTTAGTTTAGTCAGAAAACTGTACTTCTAGCTAATGGTCTAATACTACTAGGTATGAGTAACTTTTTCGCTGCTAGTTTACTGTAATTTTCTTACTATATCATGGAAGGAAATATATTTTTTTATTGGACAACCCACTATTTTATGGAAGGAGTTTGCGCATTAATAATAGTTTTACAATACATTCACTTAAATAACATGGTAAACTGTTGGAATCGATGTAGTGATAAGTTTCGCGATTTAGAGATGAGTGTTAAAGAAAAGCTTATCCATCAATTTTGCAAAAAAAATTGTCATTTGATATGATAAGGTATTATTTTTCTCAAGTTATATTTGACTGATCTTGGCAACCAAGATTAATTTGATTCAAAAACATACTCATTAATAGACCAATCTATAGTAAATTATTAATGACTCGGATCGATAAACAATAAGCTTAATCATACTCATAACGAGAATAAAACCAAAACCAAGTAGATTTTTATGTTTGACCCTTGAATGAAACAATTAAGGATCTCGTTGCTAGGTTACTTGGTTACCACACTAGTGTATTTTGACTTCCGGGTCTAGTATTTCGAGCGTTTTTACCGGACTGTCGGCTGCACGGAAAAAATCGACCGTACGTGGCTAGGAGTTCAAGGCATATCCGCTGGGCGCGATCCATTCAACCAAAATTCAGACCGGTCTGACCGGGAAAAGAGGACCACCTCAAACGGTGGACCAGTTTTTCCGGAACTTTTCCGGTTGGAACGAACCGATTCATTGAGTTTTGGACCGAAATTTCCGGAAATTTTGGTTGATGGATCGTGCGCACTGTGTTTAACTTGGTATTGGACATGCATGTTATGGTCAATTGACAGCTGTCAAAAAAGGTATCCGCTTTGATCACGGGCTCAGGTCCATTTTTTAAGGGTAGGCATTCAGTTTGCCCTCTCCTTGCGGCAAAAGTTGAATTACTTGGGAAAGAAACTTCTAAAAGATCACTCGAGGGCTTCGCTATTGGCCTTGGCTAAATCTATGTATAATTTTATAGTCACCAGCTAAACCATCCAATGACACATTTTTGGTTCTAAGCCGGCGCTCCACTTATGACCAAGCCCACAGATTCAACATGTCCAAATCCTTGTTTCTGTTTGAGCCTCTACATCCGCTCAGGTTATTTGCTATCAAGATAGTAACTCATCAGTATCCTTTGGCAGGTTATTATACAACTTAAGTCAGAAAAGATATAGTAAATGTTAATGGCAAGCAACTGCGTACAAAGGGTAATCCCTGCGCACTATCACAGGGCCAGTAGCCCGGTGTGTGTGTGTGTGTGTGGGGGGGGTACTTGGGTTGATCTTTGGTGGGTATGTGCAGCTGGCCTCTCAGAGCCCCTACCCCATTATAGTCTATTCTGTGGCCAATTATATACCCCATCTTAGTCCCCTTTGGGCAAATGTGTAATTTTCGCGATCCCAAGTGGGTCACTTTCTATTTTTATGAATTGACCCATTTTAGACTGAATGAAGAACACTTTGCTTTTCATCTGTAGTACAAACATTCTCGTATGTTTGCTATCCGTAAATATGAAGAACTGTCTAACCCAAAAAACGCGAAAATGTGCGATACCATTCTAGTAACTCTATTGAAAATGTGACCCCATTATAGTCAATCCAGTCGTGAAAATGAGACCCCATCCAGCGGCACATCCCAATTAGCATCTTATAAGGAAGTAACCCCCTGGAGCTAGTAGTCTAATGGCTACTGAAAGATGACTATTGGCTATAGACAAATGTGATAGTTATTCATACACAAAAAGATTGATTGTTAATTCTTAAAGAAGGGGCCTTGGAGATCTAGTTGACAGTCAGTGAGAAAATTGTTGCAAAATAACTGTCTCCAGCGTCCACAAAGAGACTGTCTTAACACAATAAATAACAAGAATAATCACTTTAGGCTATTGCAATATATATTGAGCACTAAGTAGTGCGAGAATTTAAAAAGGAATTGTTGCTCAAATCAGTATAATATGGCACTTCGCTAGGGTAGCTGCTTAGTGAGAGTGCAACAAGCTTGGCAATGAAAGAAATATCTTGAGTTGCGTTTACGGCAAACACCAGTTAAATGTCCATCTTGACTGTACTAAGTGACCGAGTTTTCTTTTTGCTTGTTGCTTACTCAGTTATATATCATGATCATGTTACTTTATCCATAAGAAAAATTACTCCCGCTCTTCTACCTGTCCATTTCCTAATTTGAGAAACTGTTAAAGTGTAACGTGAATCGGGCGTAAACGTGATTCTTAATCTAAGTTGTGATGTATTCCTGTAGCGGGAAACCATTTAGACAGCCGGTATGTTTAGCTAAATCCTTAACTCATTTGCAACAGATATTTTGAATTTTTTGTCATTTTTATCATTTTGATAAATTGCATCTGTCTCGCGTTGAATCATCCGCCAGAAGAAGCCGAGTAAGTACACCTCACCTACCTTAATATATCCGTATATTGATGAGTCCGTTTGGAAAGAAGCAGAGTTTGTTTGACCTGCAAGGACCCTTGACACTCGTGTCATGAAACCGTAACCTATCTCGACCAGGTCGATTACTGCCTCTCACCGGAGGGATCATGTTGCCTCATCACCACAGTGAGTCACATCGGGTATACGCCCCTTCTCTCCCGAGTTTCCATGCGTTTTATTTTCGCGCCGTTGCGCTTTCTCAATTCAGCGGACCCGTACCCGACTATCTCGGAGCCTGGAAAAGGCCAAATCGGGTACATCCATCACCGTGTGGTGAAATGTCTTCAACTTTTGTTGGCGATTTAACGCAAATTGTAATCCTAAGTTTCGCTTCAAAAGACAGCACCATAAATTTGAAGAGACCAGTAGAAAGGGACGAAATAAGCACGTTAATTTAAATCATCCGGCCGGACTCTACAGTTTTACGTTGGTGGAGATACCCAGCTACGGTGAACTAGCAGTTACACCTAGATGGTTAAACCTCATTACATAGTCGCAGGATCCAAGATAATATGAAATCAAATCAGGGCTATTGTAGGTTCGAGCGGATGGATGATAATTGAGCCTAAGCTTGCTAAAAGGATTTTTTTAACTGATCGCTTTACTTGCTTCCTCTACTACGAACCTAACTCCTAGGCGCTTTAAAACGCACTGTAAGGATATCTCAGACTATCTTTGCCAAATGATTTTTTTTTAGAGGAACGAAAACTCGAGCTGTATTGATGAGAGGGAGTGGGGAGGGAGGAGGGGCGCAGTAAGACCTTTGAGATCCTCCCAACTTTGTATGCTAAAGATTCTTACGTCAATTTTTTTCAGATACATATTTGCTTTTATTTACACATCTGAAATGTTTCTTAAAATCATCGCCAGAGGATTTGTTCTCAATTCGTACACGTACCTTAGGAATCCCTGGAATTGGTTGGACTTCACTGTGGTTATAATGGGGTATGTACTTTTCTTCATTTCCACTCAACAGTATCCACTGATGTTTTGACGACATATGCTTCACCATGTCCCTTTTAAGAAACATGTTGTAGGATATAGTTGCTGGAGCGTAGCTAGAAATTTTACAGGTTTCACACATACAGTTTTCCAAACAGTAATCTGCCAGATTGTTTTTGCGTGAGGTGTGGACTTCATAGCATTTACGTTTTTGTCTGTGTAAATACAGGCAGCTTACATAAGTGAATGTACAGCTTTTCACCTATCGTACGTTTTACAGGTAGCTACATCCCTGAACTGACTAACAAATATGTTGCAAAATAAAAATAAACCTCAGAATTTATTAACAGTCTAGGTTACTAAGCAGCCTTTAGCTTATATGTAATAGAAAGCGATTGATCGAAATTTGTCCTGTCTTCTTAGGTATGTGACGCTCTCGCCAAATGTTGCGAACTTTTCTGGGATACGGACAGTTCGTGTTTTACGAGCTCTGCGAACAATATCGGTCCTAAAAGGTGGGATTCGTCTTGATTTATCTCGACACTAACTTGTTGTAATATAACGTTTACGTCCTTTGGGGAGCAAAGGTGGTGCAGTGGTGAGAGTACTCGCCTCCCACAAATGTGGCCCAGGTTCGAATCCTGGCGTCGACGCCATATGTGGGTTGAGTTTGTTGTTGGTTCTCTCCCTTGCTCCGAGAGGTTTTTCTCCGGGTACTCCGGTTTTCCCCTCTCCTTAAAAAAAACCAACACTTTCAAATTCCAGTTCGATCTAGAATGCACAGACACGTTTCAACGAGTTCTTATGAACTCCTTAGTGATCCGTGGGTAAACAAATTACAATTTACAATACAATACAATTTTTAGAAAAAGTGAAAAGGGGCGTAGGAAGGTGGGATTTTGTGGCCACTTTTAGGCAATGTAGCATTAACTTGTCTGCAGTTTTGAATGTCTGTAAAATTGAAAAGTGGCTTAACTCCCAAACCAGCGGAACTCAAACAAAAACTACCACAAAAAGTTCTTTTTCTGTCAGTTCACTCTGATATCTACTTTGGTGTCAATTACATGGTAAATAATAATAATAATTATTGTAATAATAATAACTAGACAAAGAATGATGATGATGATGATGATGATGATGATGATGATGATGATGATGATGAAGGAATACAAGTTCTTACGGATGTCAACTTACTTGTAAAGCTTGGTGTTTCATTCTCAGCTGCATGTGTCTTTTCAACAGTATTATGAGTCATTTACTCCTGTTTTTTAGGTTTAAAGGCGATGGTGAACACGTTACTCCGATCTCTGAAGCTGCTAAGTGATGTACTAGTTTTGTTTTTGTTCTTTCTTGCTGTAATGGCGCTTATTGGAGTGCAACTTTTTGTGGGCCATCTTAGACAGAAATGTGTACTAAACAACGACAATTATCATCACCTGTCGATGTCAGACCGAGCGAAAAATAAAAGTAAGTACTTGTCCTAGGAGTTGAAATGCTTATGACCTCACGTAAACTGAGGCTTGTACAGTGGTTTCTATCCATTACAAGACTAACCTTAAAGCTATGTCACGCTGGTGCCTATTTACACACCTGCTGGAAGTCGCTTTTCCTGAATTAGTTTGTAGTCATACTAGAAACATCAACGTTGACTGTGATTCTGACACACGACATTTTATTTCACCAGCCGTTTTTACGGCATTATTGGACTATTTCGTATTAGCTGTTTATTAGCCCCGTTTCTAGCTTCAAATAAACAAAGCAAGACCAAGCTTTTCAGACAGTTGATTGAGTTGTTTGATATGTTCCCTCTAAGCAAACAAAGGGATCCGAGCTCGTGTAAAAATAACACAGCATTTACACCGGTTCGTATCCCAAAGGTACTAACATGTTGGTTGAGTTTGTTGATGGTTCTCTCTCTTGCTCCTGCTTCTAAAAAATCCAGTTTCTTAGTGTATCACGGATAGTAAACAAAAGACATAAAAAGTTAACATTTTGACAACGGTCTTTCAGGTTTTTGGTTTTATGAAGAAGGTAACCCAGTCATTTGTGGGAACAGCACCTCAGCAAGGTAATCAAAAGGAAATTTTAGTGGCTTCTGTTCCTGTTGCCTTGTCGATACCAAGACTGAAGATGATGAATACTTCTGAAAAAGAAGCAGTTTGTAATAAGATATGTCGAAGGGTCATTTCTCAGTGCAGATCATGTGATTTTTCCCCAGAGAACTGTTTCTTTCTAATGTCCTGCTATCAATGTGCGTATGTAAGCATTATTTGGCTGAAACGACAAGAGGCAAATCCCCCTGAGAGCATCACGTGGCCTGATTGTGAAAACAAAAAATACTCGCTAATAAGGTCTATTAGTCAGATCACTCCAAGCCTCGAGTTGGTGCCTTCGTTCACAGGAATTCCCCATTACAGAAACTATAAAGAGGAATGGGAACAAGCTTTCGGCGCAACGATTCAGAATCGTTTGGGTGGACAAGCCTTATTTATGATTGGTTAATGGTTGCCTTGAATACCATCGACCAATCATAACTAACGCTTGTCCACCCAAACGATCTCAGATATCACTGCATCCAGAGCTTGTACCCTTTTCCCTAGACTTGCCCACAAGTCGAACTCAAAATTTTTCTAGAGCGCAAAGCGCGAGTTAGAAATTTTTCGGTGGCAAAGCGAGCAAGAAGCGAAGGACTTTGAGAAAGACTGCCATTCCACTTATAATTTATGGAGTGGGAAACGCGGTAACATATTCGGTCTTTTACACATGTCTTTCTTTTTCTGTTAGAACAGTAGAGTCAAAATGGATTTCATTTATGATAAACTAGATTACTGTATCACAGTTTTAAATGCTCTAGAGGTCATGGATAAACCTTACAAATTAAGGTGTACCTTGTTCTTCGCTCTTGTAGGTCCTGTCCAGTAAATTACACTTGTTTACCGGATGCAGGTCCCAATCCTGACCACGGGTATACAAGTTTTGATCATATGGGGTGGTCTCTGGTGATGTCATTTCAACTCCTTACTATGGACTTCTGGGAAAATATCTACAATAAGGTACTACGTACAATCATAGTTGTTCTTGTTATAGCCTTCCGCTTTCAAAGAGATATACAGACATAAAAACTTGATTGAATTTCAGCGATGTTGATAATAAAAAGTCCTGCAATGATTGTTGAGTGCTTCACACTCTTGTATTCTTTTTGTTTTAGGTTCTTGCGTCCAGTGGCGTTTGGTGTGTGGTTTACTTTCTTGGAGCCATATTTTTCTGCTCATTTTATCTTCTAAATCTGGTTTTAGCTGTGGTAGCCTTATCTTATGAATTGGAAATCAAATCTGTCCACAAGGAGGTAATCCCTTTTTCAGTTTTCTGCATCACGGTTACAATTGCATTTCTTATCTCTCTCTTACACGTCTTTTAAGTGTCTCATCCCCTGAGTGTTTAGTTTTAGACGAAGTAAGTCCCGTTGCCCAGCTCCAACATTGACGAGGGGTTGGGAGAGAGAGGAAGGGCTATAATAAATACAGAGTAAAATTAGTCGTTATTTGCTCTTTGAAACACCTGTCATTATATTGGTTTCTAAAGGAACTAATAAATCCAAAGAAAATCATCGAGTATAAAACGCAACTTAACTATAGCAACTGCGAATAGAAAACCTGAAAAAAATTCAGGCGTGCGTCTGAAACTGTGATGATCTTCTTTGCAGTTATTTCTTCATTCCCCGGTTCCAATGTATGAATTTTATTCATTAAACGATCTATTAAATGTTAGGGATACGTTTCCAAAGCATATACAGCATTCATCTTCAATGCCTTAAAAAGCTATTACAAGAGAAGCGACTTTTTTTGAACGTATTTTCTTTTATATATGTTTACAAGAACGAGAGACGAAAGCGTGCAAACAAGACGGCCATGTCATATCCTGCAGACTCTGACACAATGGAGCATCTCCATCCTTTGACCACTAGAGTCCAGGTTCTCATCAAAACCATTCACGCAGTGAGGACACAAAAGAAAATTGAGGAGATCAACTTTCGAACTCCTAAAGAACCCGAGCCTCCATCATTATATCGTCTTATTGGGAGCAAAAACTCGTTTAAGGAAATCCTTGATGAGAAGCTTAAGGATGAAACATTTCGAACGGAAATGACGTGGAAACGACGCTTGCAAAGAATGATGTGTAATATTCTTGGTCACCCATATGTTGAGATGTTTATTATGGGATTCATACTTGCAAACACCGTAGTTCTTGCTTTGCATCACCATGAAATCGACGCAAAGTTCAAGAAAATCCTCGATGCCTTAAATCTTGTAAGTAATTCAGAATCGACCGACTCATATGCATAGAGTTTATTGGAAACTGAAAATTATCTGCAGCTCAATATCATTGCCGGCTCATTTAAATGCGCGCGCATTTGTCAACAAAAAGTAATAACTTATATTCAATATTTTCCAGATGTTTACCGTCATATTTACTTTGGAAATGATAGTGAAGCTCGTGGCCCTCGGACCGTTGTATTACCTGCAAGGAAGATGGAATATATTTGATGGTATCATTGTTATAATCAGCTTAGTGGATACAGGGCTTGAGTTAGCAGACTTCAAGGAATCCTCTGGAACAAGTGTCTTTAGAACATTTCGCCTGGTAATAGAAGTATAAATGCTTCAGTGTAGAGTTCTGTAAATAAGAAAAAAAAAACAAACTTGGTCATTTCAACTTTCGCAATGCTAGACGTTGCATCCCAATTTTCACCAAATTGACCTTTCATCCCTCCACTAACAACGACTTATCAGCGCACCAGTTTCGTAAAAGGTGGCTGGCAACAGTTTCCAAAAATTGTTTTTACAACACTATTTCCACTTTACTGTTGCAGTTCAGGATCTTAAAGCTGGCTCAGTCCTGGAAGACGATGCGCAGACTGTTGGCAACAATAGCCAACAGCGTCGGACCAATCGGAAACATCACTCTCATCCTGGGTCTTGTGATCTACATCTTTGCTCTGATGGGAATGAAAATGTTTGGCAAATCCTACACACCAGACAAGTTTCAGCCAGATGAAGTCCCTCGCTGGAATTTCAATGACTTTTGGCACGCGTTCATGATGGTGTTCAGAGTGTTGTGTGGGGAATGGATCGAGCCCCTCTGGGATTGCATGAGGGCCACAGAAAGTCCCGCCGCTGCGATACTTTTTTTCATTCCAGCCGTCGTCATAGGAAATTTTGTTGTAAGTCATATGGTAAATGATACTCAAAGAAATGTACTAAGAATACACCAAATATTCGCTTCCAGCACTACGGAAGCCTGATAAGACGGGGGGCTGACAAATCCTGAAACTGAAATTCGCGTAATTTTCTACCCGCAAAAATGGTTATCCACGAAATTAAACTCTCGCAAGCATCTAATGTCACAAGGTATTTCACCACTTAATTAATTTTGCTACATCACACGTGATTATCAAAAGAGCATCATGGTAACTGCTGACCGAATTGTCACAAACAGTTACATTAAGTTTAGACCCGCAAGTTTCAAAGGATTCTTTTACCTGTTTACTACTTTAACTGTAACCTTAGTTTCTAAAAGTTAGTTACAGCGAGAACGTCTTCGCAAGTACAGTGAAACCTCTATTGAGCGGGCCCCCAATTAAGCGGACACCCTCTGAAACTGCAAAAGCGTAAAGTCTCTTGGCCTTAATGACAACGCCACGAACCAAGTAAGAATGAAGATTTATTCAGTGCACATACAAACGGCGTGGGTTGAAACTAAAACGGTAAAAAAGTAAAAAAGTTACAAGTTGCGACTAAAGTAAATAAGAGTAAAGAAATAACAAAACTGCAAAACGAGGACTGTGAAATACACTTACATTGTTTCGGCCAGAGAAAACTGCTGAAGCGGACTGCGAATAACGCGAAGCTACGGACTAGCAAGAAACTAAAACAGAACTGCGCTAAGCGCGAACCAAAAATGAACTGCCCAAACTGTACTGCAAAATTACGATATATGAAAAATACGCTAGAACATGCGGAAAACAAAACTATAGAAACTTAGAAAGGCGCTAATGAAGATGAAACAGCAAAGAAACGCTAACGAGGGCGCGAAAACTGACAAAAAGGAATAAACACCTAAATTAACGCAAAAAAAAAGACTAAACAAAAGGACGAAAAGAAGTATAAACTAATTTGCGTACGCAAAGGAAAAACAAATTACACAAGAACGAATAATAGGAAAAATGTTACACTTGGATCTTACATACCGGCCCCATAAGTGAGGAGCACACGCGAGGCACTTAAATTAAACAATTAAAGATCTAAGTGTCTTTCTAAGAGTTCTTAATGTTCTCTTCTCCTGAATTCAGAAAATTGCACAGAAAATAACTCCAAAGGGAAAGTTCAAGCTTCTATCAGCAAGCAAAGTTTGTCAATTGGCCTCTCCAAAACTGCTCCTTTTACTTTCACCCTGGTACGGTGCACCAAACCTTTCTTGTCGGCGAAGACTTCTACCACTCTACCAAGGGGCCATGAATTGCGAGGGGAATTTTCCGCGCTCACTAGAACAATATACCCAACGGCCAGGTTCCTGCGAATCGTCGTCCATTTCTGCCTACTTTGGAGCAGAGGCAAGTACTCCTTAGACCATCTCTTCCAAAAGATATGTGCGAGATATTGCACTTGTCTCCATCTGCGTCGAGAGAAGGAGTCTTCCTTATAGAATAACCCAGGGGGTATCTGAGGCTCCAAGCGTAAAAGAAGCAAATGGTTTGGTGTAAGGGGCTCCGGATCATTGGGGTCACCTGAAACAGTGGTGATTGGACGACCATTAATAATGCTTTCCACTTCGCATAGGAGGGTGACTAAACCTTCGTCGTCAACAGTTTGAGTTTGAAGCAAAGCTAGAAGGACCTTGCGCGTTGTTCGAATGCAGCGCTCCCAAACACCTCCATAATGGGAGCCATAGGGGGATTGAAGTTCCACTTGATACCCTTCTGAAGTAGAGCTTCGTGAATCTTGTTGAGATTCCATGCGTTGATGGATTCCCTGAGCTCCCTCTCTCCGCCGGTGAAATTGGTGCCATTATCGGATCTGATCTCCTTTACCTGGCCCCTCCTTGCTATAAACCTTCTGAGCGCCATCAGGAAAGAATCAGTTTCCAAACTGTGCGCCACTTCAATGTGAACTGCGCGGATAGAAAGACACGTGAAAATGACCCCATATCTTTTCACAAGACTTCGCCCACGGCGTACCTGAAGAGGACCAAAACAATCAATGCCGACAGATGTAAAAGGTGGCTGACCTGGGGTAACACGATCCACGGGAAGGTCAGCCATTTTCTGCTCACAGAACGGGCCTTGACGCCGCCGGCAGCTAAAACATTTCGAAAGAACTTTCCTGACAACAGAACTTGCGTTTACGATCCAAAACTTCTCGCGCGCAAGACTGATAACGTACTCTCTTCCAGAGTGACCGGAGATCTGGTGGTAATATTCTACTACAAGGTTGGTCACGTGATCCTTCTTGGGCAAAATAATCTGATGTTTGGCCTCAAATGCAGTGGACGCTAAACTTAACCTCCCACCGACACGTAAGACGCCGTTCACTAAGATTGGATCCAGACTTCGAAGGCTGCTGCTTTTCTTGACTTGCGTACCGTTTTCAGACTTGCTTAACAGCTCAAGCTCATCCGGAAAATTAAACTGCTGGACGTTCCTGAGGATTTCTAGCTCCGCGATCTCCAACTCCGTAACGGTAATTGGTGGTAAAGAAAGGAGGGGAGTTGAATGGATCGGCTCTCTCGCTTTTCCGCGTTTACTTAACCTTTGCAAGTTTCCAAGGTACCGTAAAAACCATGCAACTGACTTCTTCAATCGGTGCCAGGAAGACGCGCGTTGAAAGTACTCAACCAAAGGATGCTCCGACTCGGTAACAGAGGCGTGACAAACTTTATAAACCATCTTCACTTCCGGGTCTCCGTCTTGAAGACATCCAAGTGATGAGGGGTTCCTAGGCCAATCTTCTTCTGACTTCCAGAGAAACTCCGGCCCCAGTAACCATCTTTGGCAGCTCAACAATGCATTGGCAGTCAACGCTCTTGAAGCGCAATCTCCAGGATTCGCTACACCTTCCACATAGCGCCATTGATCTGGACTTGAGCCCTCTCGTAGCACAGCAACCCGATTGGCAACAAACGTGTGGAACCGCGTACTTTCGTTCTTCACATAACGAAGCACTGACATGCTGTCTGACCAAAACACGGATTCGCAATTAGGAGGCATCTCCAGCTCTTCCTTGAGCATCTTGTCTTGTCGCACAGAAACGGTTGCGGCCGAGAGCTCTAAACGAGGAATAGAAATAGCTTTCAAAGGAGCAACGCGTGATTTTCCAAACAGGAAGGAACAATGAACTCGGTCCTCATGGCTAACCAGTCGAAGGTAAGTCACTGAACCATAAGCAGCTTCTGATGCATCAGAGAAGTAATGCAGCTGACTGGATTTAACGGGACCAAAATCCTCTGGCTTTAAACAGCGACTCACAGCAAACTCCGAGAGCTTTGGAACATCTGCTAGCCAATTTTCCCAACGTGCAGCGTACTCAGTCGGGATCTCGTCATCCCATCCAAGCTTAATGCGACAAAGATCTTGAAGGATTTCCTTCGCGGTCAGAACGAACGGTGCCAGGAATCCCAACGGATCGAAAATAGCACTCGCTAGAGACAAGATACCCCTACGCGTTGGTGGACGGGAGCTAATGTTGACTTTGAAGCGGAACGAGTCGGATTCTACACACCATTGAACTCCTAGGGCTCGCTGAACAGGCAACTCGTCCTTCCTTATGTCCATGTCCTTGATGTCCTTTGCTCGCTCCTTCTCAGGGATGGCTTGCAGAACACCACGGCTATTGCTGACCCATTTGGTTAGCTTGAAACCACCACGTGATAGTAAAGTGCATAAACTGCCAACATGCTCAACGGCTTTCTGCTCGCCAGGGAGGGACTTCAAACAATCATCAACATAAAAGTTTCTTTTAACTGTGTTAATGACGTCAGGAGGGAAACTGTGACGGTTATCTTCTGCTGTCTTGCGGAGTGCGAGATTTGCGCAAGCCGGTGATGAAATGGCTCCAAATAAGTGAACGACCATCTGATATTCTTGTAATTCGCTCGCCATGTTGCCATCCTGCCACCAAAGAAAACGCAGAAAGGAACTGTCAGGATCGGGAACTCTCACTTGGTGGAACATGGACTCTATGTCCGCCATAACGGCCACTTTCTCTTCACGAAACCTCAACAGGACTCCTACAAGCGAGCTGGTTAGGTCCGGGCCCTTGTACAGCATGTCATTGAGAGACTTTCCCATAAATTTGGCCGAACAGTCAAACACGACGCGGATCTTTCCTGGCTTGCGAGGGTGGTAAATACCATGGTGCGGTATGTACCAGGCGGTGCCCTTCGCGGGGCTCTTCTGATCAGGGGACACTTTGCGTGCATATCCTTTGGAGAGAATGTCTTCCATAAAGGCCTTATAATCTTGGTACAACTTCGGGTCTCTTTCCAGCCTTTTCTTCAACCAAATGGAGCGCTGCCAGGCCTGAGCCTTGTTGCTAGGTACAGGCGTTTGGCGATCCTTAAACGGTAAAGAGATTTGATAATGCCCGTTTCTCAACTCCACCGTCTGTTCGGCGATTTGCATAAATCTACGTTCGTCTTGAGACATCTCTGTCTTGCTATCAACGGTGGGATCGGTAAAATCGCGATTGTAGAAGTCTTCTATCATCTGTTGGAGCCGGTGATCGACTTTAGCAACAAAAGTGGATGACCGTGAACTATGGTGACGACGGCCTAAGGGACCATTTACCGCCCAGCCGATTCGAGTTCTTGAAGCATAAGGACCACCGTCTTGACTGTGCTTGATATCAAGTGGATCGAGAGCCTTGGGAACGTCACTAGCAATCAAAAGGCCAACCTCAGCGTTGAGACGAGGCAGAAAAACTCCTTGCAAGTGGGACCACTGATCAACGTCGTCCTGAGTTGGAATGTCGCTGCTGGACACAGGAATCTCCGGCCTGGTGTAAAGGGTCGGGAGGCTAATCCACTCGTTCTCGTCCAAATCGGATACAAGAAGATCGCGAACCAGGAAGCTGTTGGTGATGCTGTTTTTCTTCTCAAGAGTATACAGGGATATCTTAACTTGCTGACCATTAATCCCGAGCTGCTTCATGAGCGATTCAGTACAGAAACTAGAGTTACTACCGTTATCCAAGAAGGCGTAGGTGATGACGCTCTTATCACTATCTTTCGCTCTTACTCTGACTGGTATTATGGCCATGCCTGTCCTACGACCCTCTCCTGAAGTCTCACTGTTGGCACTGGTGCCCGTTTTTACCATGTGACTACAAACTTGAGTGCTGATTACGTCTTCCGTGCCCACTCCAACGTCGACAGCTAGTCTCTCACGAGGGCTTGTATGTAAAACAGCAGGATGCCGACCTTTACAGTTCGCAATCTTGCAATTTTTCCTCTGCGGGCAAAACTTTGCGACGTGTTCGGTGGATAAACATCCAAAGCACAGCTTTTTGGACAACAGGAATTGAATTCTCTCTTGGTAGGGTTTCCACCGCAATGACTGACAATCCTCAAGGGCGTGGTTTCTGCTACAATAGAGACACCGATTTCTCCCTTGTGAGGGACCCTGATCGATTCCAGATGGCTGAACCTTACGAGTCTGAGGTCTCTGCTCTCCATCGGCGCGTCGACTTGGCTCCTTTACACCCTGCGGAACCGTTTCACTGGTATGACCTTCACTATCGCCTACATGTGCTAAGAGACTGAGATTCTTGGGATTGGATGTCCTGCCACCAGAGGACCGCTGACCAGGCGCCGATCTTACGGTATCGGATATCTTGCCAAAGACTGGGTTGGTTAGTATTCTTGCTTCGCGATCAACAAAGGCAACGAAGTCACTGAACTGTACTGGCCTTAACTGTCTGTCCATGATGTCATCAGCTAAGCGACGCCATCTTTCTCTCATGCTGTAAGGAATCTTGAGCACCAACTTTTGAATGTTTGCTGGCTGATCAAACTTAGAAATGTACTGGCTACCTGCCAATGCGTTCTTGCAACTTGCGAGAAAGACTGAAAAACGATTCAAAAGCCACACCATCTTCTGCCTTTATGCTCGGCCAGTCCAGGGCCTTCGTCTCGTAAGCGGATGCTATGCGATAATCGTCACCATACTTCCTTCTCAAAAGCCTACGAGCCTCGTCGTAACCTTCTTCCGCTGGTAAATGATGACAGGATCTTACAAGTTCCTTAACGTCCCCTGCGGTGAACTGCTCAAGGTAATAGAGTCTATCAGTACTGCTAAATGTTCTGGATTCAACCAAATTTTCAAAAGCGCGAACGAAGGTGCGGTACTCAATAGGGTTTCCGTCAAACACAGGAACACGGGGCTGCGGAAGTTTGTTCCTATTCTGATTATGCGCTAGCAATTCCATTATTCTATTCTGCTGAAACTGAAGAGCAGTCTGTTGCCGCTGCAAACCAATCGTTTCCTTTCTCAGATCCTCGCCGACTGTACACGCTTGATAATCAAACTGGCCGTAAGGAACAGAATCCATGGACACGCCCTGGCCTGGGTGATGCACCTCGCCTGGAAAAGACCTTTTCGCGCGGGGGCTGGTACGAGGGGGATTCTGATCCTGGAGCTCTGTCTCCAATTTTAAAGGCTTCACCTCCGGTAGAGAAGGGGAGGTCATTGCTGCGTAGACCCTCTCCTTAGCTGTTGTCTTGACCATTTCGGCTTCGAGGTTAAGGCGTAATTCTTCCTGCTGTAAACGAAACTTTTTCTCTTCGAGTGTTTGGCGCTTTTCGAGCATAGAAATTTCAGCTTTTAACTCGGCAATTCTTGCGGCTTCTTTGGCTCTCGCGACTGCAACTGATAAAGCACGACCACCACGTGAACTTGCTCGACTTGAATGTTTTGAAACCTTGGAAGCACCTGAAGGAATTGGTGTGCCAGCACAACTAATTGAATCCTCGGGATTCACTGCCGAATCTACTTGAAGCGATTCTGCTAATAACTTGTGTTCAATGTTAGTTATCCAATCGACAATCTGCTGACGGAACACACGAACCTTTCTCTCTTTGTCTTCAAGATAGCGTTACCCTCATTAATGGCGTTCTCATCCAGAATTTCGCCGACATAGTCGCGATGGGCCTCTATAAATCTTTCAAAAGCGTTGTCCAAGTAAGGAAGCTTCTCTTTAACCTCTTGAAGATTATGATCATCAGTAAGCAAGCCAGAAATTTCATTGGAAATGGCGGTTACGGTAGATAGGTGACCAGACCTTGAATTTTTCTTTAAACGAAGTGTTTCCAGGTTAGACGCTTCAAAATCCAGCGAACGGTTTGGTTGTCGTACGCGTGTTCCAACTCGCCGGGCGACGGGATCTGTAAGCTGCTTGCGGCTAAAGCTCATGACGAAACGACATGTCACCAACAATTTTCAACGATGAAACTGCAAAAGCGTAAAGTCTCTTGGCCTTAATGACAACGCCACGAACCAAGTAAGAATGAAGATTTATTCAGTGCACATACAAACGGCGTGGGTTGAAACTAAAACGGTAAAAAAGTAAAAAAGTTACAAGTTGCGACTAAAGTAAATAAGAGTAAAGAAATAACAAAACTGCAAAACGAGGACTGTGAAATACACTTACATTGTTTCGGCCAGAGAAAACTGCTGAAGCGGACTGCGAATAACGCGAAGCTACGGACTAGCAAGAAACTAAAACAGAACTGCGCTAAGCGCGAACCAAAAATGAACTGCCCAAACTGTACTGCAAAATTACGATATATGAAAAATACGCTAGAACATGCGGAAAACAAAACTATAGAAACTTAGAAAGGCGCTAATGAAGATGAAACAGCAAAGAAACGCTAACGAGGGCGCGAAAACTGACAAAAAGGAATAAACACCTAAATTAACGCAAAAAAAAAGACTAAACAAAAGGACGAAAAGAAGTATAAACTAATTTGCGTACGCAAAGGAAAAACAAATTACACAAGAACGAATAATAGGAAAAATGTTACACTTGGATCTTACACCCTCTATTAAGCGGACACTAAGCCGGGTCTCGAGACGAGCGTCTTAGATTTCCCTTTATAACGAACCCCTATTCGGCGGACACCTCTATTAAGAGGACAAAGACACTAAAATAAATTGTATCTGGCTAATTTCTATTGTTAAAACCTCTATTAAGCGCACCCCGGACTGAATTGACAACAGTAGTATTGGATTACGTCCTTGAATACGTATTGAAGTCAGTTAATGTTCTTTGCATTTACAAACAAATTAAAGTTGGTAATGAAAGGTAATGAACTTGAACTCTGATAGCAGTTCTTTAATGAACTTGAACTCTGATAGCAGTTCTTTAACAACATGCAACTTTATCACAGTACAGAGTAACAATTGACTGTTGATCGTTCTGAAGGTGTCAGCTTAATAGAGGTTTCACTGTAATTCATTTTCGTCCTTTTGTGGTTTATTTCTCAGGTACTTAACCTTTTTCTGGCTCTTCTTTTGAACGCTTTTGATAACGGTGATGAGGATGATGAAGAAGAGGAAAACGACGATGACAACGAAGAAGCCATATTTAAAAAATTCCTCACTAAGTTAACTCAGACAAAGAAAACAGTGATCTCGGTAACTGATTTCTCTTTTCGTCCGGAAACTTGCTCTTCTTCGCAAGACATACAAACGATTGTAAAAGACAACGAAGGCAAGAACTCAGGGAAATCAGCCTGTAGAGCAGTAGGTATGTAATATTTATTATACCATATTTTTGTTGAGGTTTTAAGTAGTATAGTAGGAATGAAATATACCAGTTTTTTGCGGTGGAATACTATACATTAACGCTGCCGATAAACTTGTATAATAATCCTATAATGAAACAACTACCGGATTCTCAACTCCTTACTGTTACATGATTAGATTCTGGGCGATCGGATATTTTCCCTTGCTTGTTATGTAATTGCAGCCATGATAGTACAGCCTAATCACTGCGTTGCTGTTTGATTCTGCCACTTTTTTAAGTTCGATGAAGTGGAGGAAATTGAAACTAGGAAATTCTCGAGCAAAACCTTCGTTTGGAAAAAAGGTGGGCGTTGCTCCTATGCTCTAGAGTACTGCAGGTCCTTCGGATTATGTCACGATAAAAGTTTTCTCTCTCAAGTAAGAGAAAAGTACCTCTTGCAGTTCACCTATCTGCTGATAAATGTGGAACCCCAATCATCATGTTGCAAAACAAGCGACATCTTTGAATTCAGTCTGTATATGTGCTGTATTTCAGTTAACATTAACCCCGGAAGTCGTCAATTACAAGACCTATCACAAGCCGCAGAAGTTGAGGACTGTTTTCCAGAATGCTGTGTTTCTCCTCTCACCAGCTGTGCCTGTTGTAAGACTTTTAGGTGTGACAGGTGGCTGAAGTTTCGCTGGCGCACGCGAATGCTGGTGGAGCACAGATACTTTGAGTGGTTTATTCTTTTCACTGTGCTGTTAAGCAGTTTTGTACTGGTGAGTGACTTTTCCTAGTACGCTCAACATGTTTTCATGTCATTTTTTAAGGCTGTTTTCGCATTCTTGGTCTCTGCCAAATTTGCGACAACTAGAAAATTTACAACTCTCCTCTCCCCTGCCTGCCCAACCTTGAATTGGCTTGATATTAAAAAAACTACACTATTTTGTATCTTTTGCCTCAAGGTCTTTGAAGATGTAAACCTTCCGAGCAAGCCCATGCTTGAAAAAGTGCTGGATGCCTTGAATTACCTGTTTGCTTTTACCTTCGCTGTAGAGTTTGTTCTGAAAATCATTGGCTTGGGAATAGTTCGCTATTTTTCTTCTTGCTGGAATTGCCTGGATGCGCTGATAGTTGTGGTAAGTGCTGCTATCTTTCAGTATCGTTTACACGAAGTGTTTATTACAAACAGGACAAAGATATGTCGATTCCCACCTTAATTAAGTGTGAGGACTATGCATGGCGACCACCTGATCTGATCAGCCTGATGAGCCGACCATTTTTTGGTCTCAGTATTTGAGATAAGCCCTCAATGTTTTGTGTTAGAGAAGCTTGTATCGCCAAAATTAAAAAGAACAGTCTTGACTTTTTCTCGGCAGTAGCTTTATTTGCAATGTGGTAAGTACTTGATCAAGTGTCGTCCTTAGCGGGATAAGTGTAGTTTCTACTGAACGAGATTCATTTCTAGACTGGACTAGATTTACATGTCTGCCAAGCGCATAATCAACAGCCATATTACCTGCTTCTTCTTGTTTTGAATTCAATTTCAGATTTCACTGGTTTGCGTGTTTCTAGACACCGATTTAACATTCGTTCGCTCCTTACGAACAGTAAGAGCTTTGAGACCTTTAAGAGCAGTGTCTCGCTTGGAAGGTATGAAGGTAAGACTGACCTGCGTCGTAGAGCAGGAAAAAAACTAATCATTTGAAGCTTTGCGAGAGACTGAGTCGGGTGTTGTGTCAAATTATACTATGAGAGTGTTTCTGGGATGAATTTGGACCCAGTCTTCTACCCAAATGTCGCCAAGATAGTCTACTGACTTGAAAGAAACATAAAAGTAACCACTATAACATTTCAGAAAGGTTTAAGCAGAATTAGAGAAGAAGGAACAGAGGAAGAAAATCAAAAACGATTAATCCATAGAGGTTCTGTTGAATTTTATTGATGAGTCATAGCCTAAGAGTTGTTAGAAGTTGTTGTTTGTAATTTTAAGTATCGTTTGGGAGACACTTGTTCGTCATGAAGCTGTAATTCTGTAGTTTACTGGTAATAGTTTCGTTAACGTCAAGTTCTATAGCGAGTTTAAGAGTGAGTTATTGGCAAAAGCTGACGGGATGGACTAGATTTCCGTAACACACCTCTTAGTTCCCCACCTTGGGCAAGTCCTGCAGCGTTTCACTGGTAATTAAACTCCTAAGCACGAGGCCATGACTTTGATTAGAAACCTTCACCCCTCAGCTAATCAACTTTTTTTCCTTCTTTAAGGTAGTGGTAAATGCGCTATTTTCCGCCATCCCAGGAATAGGAAACGTCCTGTTGGTGTCTATCTTGTTCTGGTTAATATTCAGTATTCTAGGCGTTCAGCTTTTTGCGGGAAAGTTCTACAAATGTGTGGACCCGGACGGCGAGCGTGAATCGGCAGATATTGTGCCTAACAAAACAGAGTGCCTCAAACGTCCAGGTTATCGATGGATAAATTCAAATGTAAACTTTGATAACGTCATTAATGGCTTCTTGGCTTTATTTCAAGTAGTAAGTATTCAAGAACTACTTTCGTGCTTTGAAGGTAAATTTCACCTATTTTACGTTGACTATTAAAAAGGAGATTATCCAAACTCCAAACTTTCCCCTCGATTATTTTGACTGTTTATTTTACCCTGTATCATAGGCTACATTTGAAGGTTGGATGGAGCTGATGGAAGATGCAGTGGATTCGAAAGAGGTTACTTGAAATTTTATGTGTCATGATCTATTTCACTGTAAATCCCTTGTCGACTTCTGGTTTGCGACCCTTAAGATTGTCTCATCTTTTAAGTGTGCCAAATTCTAGAGGCACTGAAGAAAATAATAAAGCCAGCAACGGGGCTAGACAGAGTCAAAAGAAGATGATGGACCCACTCTTTTCTCTGGAGGAAATTCGGCGATCTTGACATGGGGGGGGGACCCCAGATTGGTGAGGTAACATGTATTGCGGCTCACTCCACATAGCTTGTAAACGTGATCAAATTAAAATGAGAGATTATATGGACAGGCGGGTTACCTCACCCATCTCACTTACGTCCAGAAATGCATGCAATGGCGATAATGGCGATAATGGCGAAAATCGCCAGACAGCTGGCAATTCAAATTGGATGAAACTTGGAGAGTGGGGATTTTGATGAAAATGGGAGAAATGGCGAAAAATCGCCAGAGGGCTGGCGAGTTTATGGTAATTGTCTTTGTTTTTCTTGTCCCAGTGTGTATCTTGCTTACGAGCATGCATGGTTTTGTACCATGTGAATGATTAGCTGCAAAAGGCCTATTCTACCTCTAGACATCAATTGAAAAAATTATTTTTCCTGCTGTTCTGCTGTCATTTTTCCTCTTAGGTGGATGAGCAACCTGAGGACGAAAGTTATCTCGGGGCCTATATTTACTTTGTCATCTTCATAGTTCTTGGTGCCTTCTTTGTCCTGAACTTATTTGTTGGAGTCATAATTGACAACTTCAACAGCTTGAAGAGAAGGGTAGGAAAAAATTCAAATAAAGTTTTTAGCGTGAATCTTCTAAAAGAATAAATCAATCAATCATAAATAAGAATTACATTAAAGAAATCAGCTCCATGATGAGTTGTAGAATAACGAAAAAGTTTGTTGATCTTTTGAAGATACTTCAAACGCTTGAAAGAGTGTTACTAAGCAGCTCTGCTTTTATTTTAAAACCAATTCTAGGTGTCTGGAAAACAGAGGAAACACTCCCTACTCATGTTTGAGAGTCCTGTTAGTCTTTCTAAAAATTCAAACAAGCCATGTTTCCTCTTGCCCTTGATACAACCTTTTGTCCAGGGTGAAACACAGTAGCGTTCAGTAGTGTAGCCACTTGACATGTGACTCTTGATATTTAAAGGGAAACAGTGCGTGAGAGACAGCTACGTACTAACCCATACATTCAGAACAATTGTAGCCAAGGATAATGGACTAATAATGCATCTGGATGTTTAATTTTAGTACGATGAGCTAAGCTGCATGGGAATGCTCCTGACCGATGCTCAGAGGAAGTGGGTAGACATTTTGAAAGAATCAGCTAAGAAGAAGCCGTTCGATCACAGCATCAGACCAGAGGTTTGATATATTCCAATAGACCTTTTTACCGATATGGGGGCCATATTGAATTAATTAGATTTAAGGATTATCATGGGATGCCGAGGGGCCAAGAGCAACAATCCGATTTACTCGGGGAAATTCTGCTTAAAGTTTTCCTAGAATAAGATTATAATGGGAAAAAAGATCGTTGTGCCGTGTTTGGATGTAATAATGATCGCCGTTTTCCTGAGAAATATATGATGACAGAACATACCAGTTTCTCCGAAGGTACGTTTCTGCTCTTGCAAGGACCCAAGGCACTTGGCTACTTGGACAAGAATTCTGAGCCGGAAGGGATTTAAGGTGAACAAAAACACAAAAATAATGAAGTTTACTCAAATCATTCTAAATTGGAAGACCATTTGACAGTCATCCTCTTCCCACGCTCTTTCTGAAGGGCTATGATCGGGAAATAGTGACCCGTAAAAGAAAAGCTCCCATGGACAAGCTTCCAGTACAACCAATTAAAGTAAGGAGAAGAAGAAGTCAGATACTAACCCTAAACAGCACGAGAAAACTTGAAGAAACAATTAGTATTGAGGACACGCCGAAGAAACTGTCTTTCACCGTATATTTCTCGGGAAAACGGCGATCATTATTACATCCAAACACGGCACAACGTTTTTTTTTTATCATTTACAATCTTATTCTAGGAAAACGTTAAGAAAAATTGCCCCGAAAAGCGCGCGTAAATACTGAGAGAGTATATCGGATCGTGCTCATGCCCATGAGCATGGTCTATTGTTTTGTTTTGTTTTGTTTCTATTAACATTTTGGTATCATTCTATGCATCTTGAACTTGAATTCCAATTCAGTCACGTTTCATCGTCTCATTTCATGGGAGTAGAGCCACAGTGTACGGTGTCTCTCAACTCTTCTTTTTCTCTTCTTTCGTGCACCGGGATGTAGATGGTCTGAGGAGCCGAAATATATGCACTTGACAAGTGGGACGGATACGTAATAGTCAGTGAATCGAAATTTTAATTACTCTTAGGAACACCTTATGTAGCGCGAATGGCTCCAGTCGCCTACACCCTTTAGTCAATCCAGGAGTCGATCATAGAGGCATGTAGAGCTCAGATGCAGTTCCAGATTTTCAGTCATTTAAATTCCACGCTGCCAGCATTGACATGCAGCATTCATATGGATCGTCTTTAGCAGTATTGTGGCATGTTTCAAGAATGTGAAGTTCTAACGTTTGAGTCTACATAAGTATGCACCCTTCTTTATAGGCCGAGAAAAAAAAAAAGGTTTTGATGCTTATCGCATTTACTCTTCCACAGAACAAGATACTGCGTATTATGTACGACATTGTCACCAATGAATTATTTGAAATAGCAATACTGGGGATTATCATGTTAAACATGTCAATTATGATGTGGCAACATTACGACCAGCCTAGAATCATCAGTGACACACTTCATATCCTTTTTAGTCCAATCTACTACTTTATATTAAAGCGATCGTAATCTTCTTCATTAAATATCCATTAAATATTTTTAATAAATATTACTTTACAATAAAACAGATCGAATAATAAATTAATTATTCAGTAAAACAATCTTTTTCGACACGTCGCGTTTTTATTAAATTGCCGTGCTTATATTTTAAGATTGCTTCTCTCTATGCCATTTAAGAGCCACGTTTTTGTGAAATTTTGACTTTTACTACTGCAGAATATTTTTTCTTCATTTTGGCAAGATTTTACAGCTTGCTTTCCTTTTGGCAATCCTTCATGTCCCTTCCATATTTTTACATGTAGTTTGAAAGCTTTTGTTTCTTTTTTATGTTAGCTTATCTGGCTTATATGATGTGAGCATGTTTTATTTGAATCTTGTTTCCTTAACAATAGCTGCGATCTTGTGTCCAGCAAACAAAGATATTTAACTGGTTTTTCACCGTTATCTTTACCTTGGAAGCTGGCATCAAACTCGCTGCTCTGAGGCAACATTACTTTAAAAAAGCCTGGAACATATTTGACTTTTTCATCGTAATCAGTTCAATTATTGGTAAGTGACAACAAATGATCCTTTTAAGTAACCAATAAAGAAACAACCAACAAAACAACAACATAAATAGAACAACAATTTTATTCCGATGTTAAATTGCAATATAAGTCTTGACCTCGCCAATAGTCAGAATAAGTCTTTAACACCATAAGCTTTATTTTAAGAAACTGGATGCCAGTGTTATGTAATAAACCATATTCATATTTTCGGTGGTTGCGTTCTATAACTTAAATAATGTGAGGAAATGCTTGGCTGTAATTACGTTTCCCTAGATCAGTATGCGTAGATTGTTCTCAATAATTTGTTTTTGGTGCGATTGTCTTTGATCGGTCACCGAATTCGAGTATCTGCCACCTCCATCTCATATGCTTATATTCGTCTCACTCCCACGTTCTTTCAGTATCTAAGAAAAAGATGCCAGACTCCTAAACTCGGAGATCGATTTCGATGACGGCTGGAAAAATGGGCAGATGGGAGCTACCATAAATGCGTTTCGTCAGCGATAATTAATTTATTGATAACTTGGAAGAAATTTAGGGATCTGGTCTCGCAGTTGAGTGTGACATAAGCAAATAAACTTAAGGCCATCACAATACTGTAACCGCTACTGGTTCCAAACGGAAAAACAAACAGGAATCTGAAGGTATTTCTCAAATCCGAATCTCATTTTCCTTTTCATTTTTTAAAGGTTTGGCCATGGATGAACTCACCACTGATGATAACAGCATCATACATCCCAGTCTCCTAAGGGTTTTTCGTGTCGCCAGAGTGGCCAGGTTACTCAGGGTCCTACAGTTTGCCCAGGGTATTCGTCAGCTTTTGGTCGCGCTAATAATTTCGTTACCAGCTCTTTTCAACGTTGGCACGTTACTATTTTTGGTTATCTTCATATACGCTATTATTGGAATGTCCACGTTTGGTCATGTTAAAAAACAAAACAACATAGACGAGACGGTTAACTTTGAGACGTTTGGTCGATCTATGATGCTATTGTTTCGCTTGTCGACTGGCGCTGGCTGGAATGATATTCTTGAAGCTCTTATGCTTCGAGAACCCGATTGTGATCCGAATTATGGGGGATTCCCCAACGGAAACTGCGGATATCCCGTGGGAGCCGTCATCTATCTTGTTTCATACATATTCATTGTTTTCCTTATTATAGTGAATATGTACATTGCTATAATCCTGGAAAATGTTTATCGATCGCAAGAGGGGAAACTGTTCATTACAAAAGAGAACATCGATAGTTACTATCAGAAATGGTCCTCCTTTGTCACCGACGGTAAGCAATACCTTCCAGTTTGTCAGCTCTCTGATTTTGTGGCTTCGCTGGACGAACCATTAAAGATTGCCAAGCCAAACGAACAAGAACTGGTGCGAATGGGAATCAGCGTGAGAATGGGGTATCGTGTGGAGTGCTTTGATCTCCTTCGATGTCTGGTGAAGTATTCTTTGGAAAGGAACGGTGAGTCTCCACGCGCCTTTGAGGAAATCGCTTCCAAATTGGAAAGCCGTTTTCGAAGACGTGTTGTCAGGAAAAAGGGCAATTCTCCGATGGGTACATCTCCCTCCGTATCCAACGAAAGCCAAAATGAAATGGTTGACATTGCTTCGGAAATACAACCAAGACCTATTTCCTCACCAAGCATTACCAAGTCTCCTGATAGGAAATATCCAGCTCTATTTTCTAAGGCTGTTATCCTTCGAAGAGCCCTGAAAGGCTTTATGGACAAACGTAGTACTCGTGGGGACGTGTCGTTTAAAGCCCCTAATAACATTTCCAGCGATCGCGTTCGTAAATGTTCATGCAGCCCACTGTCCTCTGTCTCCAGCAACCAAGAAATCTCTGATCTTACACTGGGACTGGACTATACCCCTAGAAGTAGATCTCAGGTTTCTGTGGATAGTGGACGCAGCAGTACAACTGTCTCTCCAGACTGTGTTGCATCTCCAGAAGGCTGCGCGTATGACCCATACGACTCTGAAGGGGACAGCGTGTAATAGAATATAATTTCATGCAAGTGGCAGGGTGACTGAACGAATGCGAATACCCATACTAAAATGAAGTAAATAGAAAAGGAAAGATGGGTGAAATGCATGTTATGCTAGGTTATATGCTGTGAGAGGTTACAACTGCAGCACTGTTTGCAGCTGGTGAATAGTCGGGACGTGAATCCAACATAACTACAAAGTTCATCAACAGATGAAATACGTTCACTTTCGGCAAACTCCAGTGCACTCGTCTAGCGATGGCATATTTGTAAACACCACAAAAAAGCCAGCCAAGGGACGCCAACATGGCGGATGTCCAAATATGAAAAGGTCTCTGACGTCACGTGCAAACCAAGCATCAGTTCTTTTATTACCAATAGGAGATTAACTAACTATAAGTTGACTGACACAGTGCTAGACGTCATATTACGTTTTAATATTAACAGTTTAGAATCATGTTTATAGCGTCAGTTTCAAGTTGACAAATTTTAAAAATAGGAATTACATAGATAAACACTGTATCAAATGATTCTTATGGACAAATTTGACTCGAAACTACTTATTTCATGTAGATTTATCGAAAAGCAAACCCCAATATTTGGAAAACTAGGTCACGCGGTATTAATTGACGTTTGTCGTGTGCAGTTTGTCAACGTGATTCTAAATCTGTTTAATAACACCCTGGAGGCCTCGGCTCCAAAGCAAATTCGATCAGTGCACAGAACTTTCAGGTTTTATACATTTTTTCTGTAATTAGAAAAACTCAGGTGTTACGAGAAGGCCAAAACCACTGGGCACTCCCTCAGGTCCATGTTAAGTTAAATAATAGGTATATTCCTACCTGAATTTAAAAATCAAAAGGCCAAGAAAACATACTTTTAGGACACTATATTTCGAAACCATAATATAATGGGTGTTGTTCATATTGAATACATAACTTGCTTAAAAAGGAAATGACAACACAAAAATGAGTTTTACCTATAATGATGACAATAATAAATAATTTTTCATATCCTGTGATGACAAGAAATGGAAGTTATATTTACCCAGCTTTATTAGAATTCACAGCGGTGATCTGTTGGTTTCTATTAGCGTCTTCTATACTGTCACGGTAGGTAAGTGTTGTCGTTAATCTTATTTTTTATTAATTTTTTTTCTTTTAAAGAATCGGTCAATATTGTTAGTATTGATCCATTTTAATTTGCTGTATCTTTCTGAAAACATTTTTGGGTCTGTCAGAATCTAAGAGACCTTTATTGTTTTATTTACTTTGCGAGAAATTGTGGGCGATGTACCGTAAGGTCGTGGCTCGATGGACGCGACACAGACCTCGTGTGGTATTATTATTCGCTCTTGCCTTGATCTCATATATGTTTCTCATTTCCAAACTATGAGGTTGATGTCTCTTGTCCACCTCAAAAATAAGTTCAATTAAGAAACGCGTCAAAACGCTCTTGTTTGAACAAACCATCTCATCTCAACGGGTTGATTTCCACTGTCCCGTAATTTTTACATGCGTACGTGCGTGAAATTTTCGTATCTTGCCTCTATTTTATTTACGTGATTTAAATTTACGTGCGTTAACGTGCGTTAACGTGCGTTAACGTGCGTAGCGAAAAACGCGTCAGAGGAAATCAACCTTCAAGTAGAACATGCATCACGCGACTTCGATCTGATTGGATTATTGCTTGCTGTGTTATATGCATCATAACTTTGCCGTTTTTGTTTTAAATATACAGAGGAAAACTCGCGCATACTTTCTATACTTTGCTGGCAGGTGAATACTGCCTTCCACGTTCTCTGATTGGCTAGTTTAAAGATAAATGACGTTTGTAATTAACCTTTTCCCCGCAAATAATTGTTGACCATTTCACCAGCCAATCAGAGTACTTAAGATAAACTGTACACCTGTTTGGTGAATATTGCTATTTTCATATCCTGAAGTGCTCAACGTTGCAAAGCCATTTTCACAGTGTTGGCAAGTTTCTCTGTCAGTTTTTTCAGAGGCTCAATATCGTCGCAAAAGGTGGGCAATTTTTGGTTTCTCTTTGCTTTGTCTTTGTCTCGGTTTATGACGACTAAAGATCGCCTTCGTGTTGACATCTTATTGAAAATCTGTCTCCATTTTTCAAACAAAGTCCATACACAAGCGACAGTAAAGGGTATTTAATATGGACATTACCTTGAAGGAACAGGTCAATGCCAAAAATTTGATCTCATAAAGGGCGAGGATTATCTTATTTTTCGCTAACTAGGTGTGTCAATTTGTCCGATGGATTCGTTGGCCGCAACATCGCAATTATATCTTAAATGCTAATTCAATATCCTATTTTACATTAAACCTGCTATGCGTCGTGATATTGCAGTACAGAGAGCTGCATTAATATGTGTTACCTTGCTTGGTTTCTTTAGATCTTCTTATTCATTACTCTTCCCTTATAATATTCTTTATGAGTCTTGTGAGCCATCGCGGTCGCAATTGGTTTTATATGACTTTAGGGGCTAATAAAAACATATCAATTATGAAAGATCAAATATTCAGTTTTCACTTTTGTAGTGAGTCTCTTTGGTCCTTTGGTCTTTGCACACTTAAGCTCACTTAGGCGTATGAGGGGAACGTATAAAATGTCATTTATACTAAAACAAGATGATTTGCCTGAATAAATACCTTATAAATAACACTGAAAATGCAGCAATTTTGAATTGGAGGATTGAATGTACCTCAACATTTACTTGCGCTGCTTTGCCGCGTATTGTTCAAGAATCGATAAAGGTATTAGCAAACAAGAGGAAAGCCAGGCGATTATAAGGTTTACAAATAATGCGAAGAAAGCAAACATTTTTGTTGGAAAGTACACTTTGTCACCCTTGCTTTAAATAGATCACAAATAGAATGATAATAAACTTTTATTGATAGGAAAAAATCTTGTTTGTCGTTTATGCGCCTGGGAGAGAACAGTTGACACTTTGAAATCATTCTTCTTGAAATTATTAAAATTGTATTTTTCTCTTTATCTTGTTTTTTGAATACCTGCTATTAATTTTTATTTACTTTATTCTTATTTCGGGGTGGCCTGACTTGGAAAAAATGCGCCGTTTGGTGGTCGCCCAAAAGGTCAAATAAAAGTAATGTCCAGCTGCTCGGTTTCTGCTCGACGTCGCCTATAAATTAAAATTTTCCACTAGATTACTTTCATATTTTGTAAAAGATCGTTGATTATTGATGATGTATTTTAATTTTGCAGCTGACATAACAGTTCAGTGATCCTCGACTGTAAATTGACCAAAGGTAACCATGCTGCTAAACAGCTCTGACGTCACTGACCCTGGTCACTCGTCCTGTCCGATCGCTGTTTCTATATTTTTCTCAACAACCATGGCTCTTATCACCTTAGCAGCTTTTATTGGCAACATTCTCGTGATTGTCTCAGTTTACAAGACACCTTGCTTAAGGACAACTGCAAACTACTACTACGTCAATATGGCAGTTTCTGACTTTTTTTCAAGTCTTGCTACATGGCCGTTGTACCTTGTAAACGAGATTGTAACGACCAAAGGTAGTCTTTTTCAAGGTCCTTGGGCAGATGTTGGATGTAAATTAGGAGTATTTGTAAGGCTGTCGTCTTCCTCTGTATCGATTCTGAGTATGGTCCTGATTGCTGTAGACAGGTTCATCGCCATCGTGCTTCCCCTGAAATCCGTGCTCCTCACCGGCAAACTAAGGGCTGGATTGCTGCTTATAACTTGGGTAATATCGACATCGACTATTTCGCCTACTCTGTATTATAACAAAGTTGAGACGGTCGGTGAAGAAACATACTGTAGATTTGCCTGGAATCCTTTTTCGATCATGATATTTTACATAACTACCATGACAATGATTAATGTTATACCTCTAATTACAATTACCATCCTGTATTCTCGTATTCTACGTGTTTTACAAAGTCCCAAGGAAGGACACCAAACGGAAAGCACCCTTTCAGCGGTAAAAAAACGTCAACAACACAAAAATATCATGAAGATATTCAGGTCTATTGTCATAGCGTATTTCATTTGTTTTTTTCTTTTTTGTGTTTACTTGATTTTGAAAATCACTTTCGCCCAACTTTTTGTCAAAGATAAGTGCAGATGGATCTTGGGGTTTGCGTATTTCGTGTTGCCCTCGCTTAGCACTGCAGTCAATCCTGTAATTTTGTTTCTATACAGTCGAAATTATCGTCAAGCGTTGAAAAACTTGATATATCCTCTTCCCCTTTTCCAATATTGGCATTGTTACAAAGGCAGAAACGCAAACATTACGACGGAAAAAGAAAATATACCCCTGGCAAGGCTGGCGAAATACAGGCAGACTGCACCTTGTTAGCAAGTGAAATGCTGTCACTACTGAAAACATTGAGATTGCACTTTGAATACCACATAAGAGTAATAGAACGGCTCACTATCAAACACTTCTGTCTACAGCTGCGAATTAATCAAGAGAATTGGCAAACGAGAGGTCTGTCAAGCTACATTCAGATCTCAAGGTCTCTAATCGGACAAACGTTTCAACAACCTAGTGTACGTGAATGCTGTCTTATAGACTGACATGTGTAATGTATATCGTTAGTTTCATTCTGTTGGTCCATTGCTGTTGCTATCATATGCTGTCATATGTATGATAGGCCTTGACACTAAAGAGCCATCTTAGGGGATCCTTGGAAGGGGGCGTAGCCAGGATCTTTCCAGAGGTACGCACAATTTTCAAAATATATATTATTCAAGATTCAGTTTACCAATGAATGACATCTCTTCTCTGGAAACACACATTCGGTTGTAAAAAAAAGTCGGATGTTTCAGAAAAAATATATATTTAAAAGGAACGAGCAGAATTAAATGATTTGAGAAAAAATGTTGGCTTTTCGATTTTCTTGATCTTGTTTTATGTCATTTTAGTTCCATTTTTTTACCTTCGACTTTTTCAGGTACGCACGTGCGCATGGTGCGTACCATGCGTACAGGTAGCTATGCACCTACTTGGGCAATTGTAATCCTATAATTGTCAGTGTAATTTTGGACGTTCTACGCTGATGATCCCCCCCTCCACAAGATGTGCCAGTAAGGAGTCTGGAAGTAATTTCTGTTAAAAGTATGTAAAAAAAAAGAGGAAAATTTTCGAATATCAACTACTTGGTAACAGTGAGTATCGGGGCAGTGGCAGTTTTCTTTGTGGACAACTGGGAATGTTTTATTAAATGGTGTAGCTTATCTGCCGGGTCTCAGTTTGCTTGTTAAATAATGTGCAATTCTAAATCAAAGCTAATCGAACAATCAGCCAAAGTAAGGGTGGAAAAATGATTTCAATTACATACTCTATACGCGCCCTTCCTTTTATCTTCAGTCCGCAGTCCACAGTTCGCAGTCCGGTTTTTTTTGGGCTGGCTCGTTTAAAAGGCCAGGTTATCAGCTAATAATGGCGGTCGAAGTGGTGGAAGCAGTCGGCAGAGTCGGAAAAACCTAACCTGGATTTTTGCAGTTTTCTTTAACATTTGGCCGAGTGGTGGAAAATTTTGTGATGTGAGTGATTTTGACGTGCAAAGTATCAATATCTGATATTGTTTTGCGAGGTCTGCGCCACGAAACCGACATAAACATGAAACATTGCAGGATGAAGAAGGTAAGCTAATCGCGCGCCCATTTTGTACGAAAATGATCATACAATTTAGGAGAGTTAATCTGACCTTATCAGTTTTCAGAGTTGCCTATCGTGCATTTCCCCTTTGTCTTAATCCTGCAAAAGACGCTCTTTTCATTGACAGGTCTGCAAATAGTGGGTGACCTATCATAAGATCGGATGGATTTTCTTACTTTTTCTTCTTCACCCCATACATTTTACTGTAATATCGGCGGCTATTTTTAAAGTATCGTTTTCAATCGCTGACGACATTTTGTCCGCAATTTCTGGTAATGAAAGTATCCAAAGTATTCAAAGAAGTATTATTTTTATGTAAAACTACAACGTCTTTTGTACTAAGAAGTTTAGGAGAAAAATAAAGCGCATTAAACTACATGCCAGTAGTCAGCCAGACGTGCCGTGTCTACCATTAATTTAACAGTTAATGACGTCTATAGATTTAATTGATTGGGTACCGTCTAAAGCAGTATTTCACTCAAGATGAAGAATTCACTCGGATTCTCAAGTTTCACCACACTGTTGTCAAGACATTCAAGGATCCTTGAGCCATCGTAACCTCACTCTGTTTTGGTCTGAACAACAATCAAATGATAACCTTCTTTAGGCGCTATTATCATCTCATTCTTTCTGGAAGACACCCTAACAATAAGGAGCTCATTTTGGGGGTCCATATCCCGCACCGTGTTGCTGGCCAGCATCGTTAAGTTCCTGCATGCGGAGGCATACTGCAGTGTATTAGCATTGTCGAGGTCCGTTTTTATTGGTATTCCATCAGCATTAACCACTATAGTTCCTACCACTCCTTTGTGTGATTGTATACGCTTTAAACAGGCTTCAACACCGGCTGCAGACATGTTTCTGCTGAATAAGATTCAAAAGTTAATTACGGTAACATCATAAAGGGAGTAAGGCTGGCTCATTCGTGACAGTACACGCCTCTCACCAAGGTGGCCTGAGTTTGAATTCCGGAGGACACCCTCATATGTTAGCTTAGCTACAAAAGGTTAGGGTGATTTCGGGGCGATTTCTGTACCGGAGCAAGGCTGCGCTGCGCTGCTCTCTAAACTGAGTGGAGAGTCACATATTGGATAGGTGATCCATACTACACAGGAGAGCTTATCGTGCCGATACGAAAATCTATCTAGTATGATATGAACAGAGCCTAAAACGTACATGGGGACAGAAGTTGCTCGTGGCGACCGGCCCCTGAATCTATGTGGAACTACGGTGTTACAAGCTGGTAAGAATATTGTTTTTGATTTGTTCTGTCTTTGATAAGCAATCTATTCTTGCAGCGCTTACTAGGTTAAAAGACTACTGTAGGTCAGGGGCGTCGTTTGATAACAGGTTTTGATCAGCTGATTTTTTTATGTTCTGTCCACTTCTTTACTCGTGTTTTTTAGATGTAATACAGTCTGAGGTCACGTCCACTCCAATCCTATTTTTCGTGTCAGCGAAAACTGACGCATCGAGCCTCACGAGCCTTAATTTTCACGGTGTCAAATTTTTATGCCAACATTTAAATTGATGGATGATTTTTTTTAAAAAAAATTGGATTTGGGGTTCAGCTTATTTTACGCTAAAGAAATCTGAAAAGGATGACGTATCTTTATAACACGCAATATGTTTGTTTTCTAAATTGTGATAAAAATTCATAATGAGGTGCAGGTATTGAATCTTCAGTGGTGGGTTTGATTACTTCGCTCTCACGTCGATTGCTTTCCTGAGAAGTTTTGCTATTTAATTCAGCCAAAATTTGGTTGCGGAACTTATTTTTGAAAGGGAATAAACAAGGATTTTATCAAACAAAAGCGTAAGACATAATTGTACGCACTTCATAGTATGGTGCCAGAGGCCTATTCAATTTCAATTCCGCAATTACAGGAAAAGTTAAATATGTAAATAAATTAAACCTGTTATTTTTATCACGGTTTATCCTGAATTTTAACTCAGAAAAAAAAAAACCTCAAAATCTATGTAAAATTTCATCACATATCTGCTAGTACTCGGAAAGATCATCTAAATTGTTAACAATAATACATGTTGTTCTAAAAACTCAACAGATATGTCTTTTCTGAAAAGTTGCTATGGATGAATGCGCTTATCCGACACAAAGTAAGGCAGTGTTTTTGACTGCAAGACTAAGTTGACTGCAATCCACCATTTGAAATAGATGCATGCTCACGGAATGATGATAGTTTTAGAGCTTCAAAGATAAAACATTCACTCTTGCAGCCCGTATATGCGATTACCGCAATTGTAAAATGTCCAGCGAGACCGGGCTTCACACACCTAAGAAAATTGAACCTAGGCAAAAACTTTTCTTCCGACTCTCTTTCTTTTCTTGTGATTCGCGCTTGAGCTTACCAGTTTTCCTTCTGGGTCCAAGTAGAAACGACTCGAATACAAGTGGCAAAAACCGTGAAACGCGGCGTTCACCTGATGCTCAGTGTTATGTCTGCAAGTAAGGCACGACTGAAAATTTATTTATTTACGATCACGCTATTACATAAGGTTGGTTGCGAATTATTTACTAGTACAGGATATCTTAATCACTGCAGATTACATAATACGCTACTCCCATATGGTAGAAAAATCTAACGAAGTCACCTTTGCTACCAAAGAAAAATTGTTTTCGAAATGAAATCAAGAGCCGGTCATGAAATCCGGCCTTGAGGACCAATCAATAATCATGATTGTTGCTTACCTGTTGTGAATAATAAGCGCGATTTTCACTTCAATTCAAATTTGACACGTTAATTTCAAGTGCTTGCAAATCTGTTGCAGTTCCTTCAATCTTACCGTCTTTAGATAAAACTGATGTGTAACTGTACTGAGTACTGTATATCGCAGTAATCAGTCACTTTACAAAGTGTTGATGAATGAAACTCTGCTATTGTGACAATACAAAAGGTTGACTTAAGTAGGTCGCTATGGAAACCCTGACTACTAGACTGTTTCAACTTCACGACACAACAGACAGGAAAACTAATAACTAGCGAGAAAACTGAGTAAGTGTCTGGTGTCGTCGTTACGTTGCTTTCCAAAGACATGAAATATTATACAGCGAGACTGTAGTATCTGTCTCGAATGATCTAAATGTACCGAAAAAAGTTAAGAGAATTAAGTAGTCTAAAAACAATTTGTAGGAATAAAATGAAGTATTTGTTGTGATTAAAACAAAAGAAATGTCTGTACTTGTCCTTACCTTTGCCGTGTATTTTCTGATATCTTGTATAACATACATATACTTGTATTTATTAGGCTACTTTGACTCTTTAGTTGGATAGTAAAATCAACTTTCAGATGTTTCACACTTGTATTTTTGATAGGGGTTTATACTGCTAATTACCTGTTTATATACCAGTTGATTCTCTATGTTCAGCTGATCGATCTTTAGTCAGAATAGATAAAGGTTATTATTATTATTATTATTATTATTGTTGTTGTTTTTGTTTTCTATGCTGTGTTTTATTTTTCTGCCACACCCCAGAGGTTCGCTACTCGGATGGATAGGTTGTATAAGTGTACATGTAGGTAAAGATACGACGCGACTTTCAAACTTACGATATTACACGTGGATTGGCGTTAAACATGAAAATGGTATTTGTACCAAAATATTCAGTTTCTTTTTTCCCAAAATCCTCAGTATAGGTGAGAGACTTGTGAAGAGAGGGCCTTGAGACCTGGCCCCCTCAGTGGCGCCGCCGTGTTGTTCATTCATTACTCCATCAGAATGTGGACTTGAACGCAAAAATTAAATTCCAGGTTGATATCACTGTTTAAGAAATTCTCCAGTCGCTGAGTTATAAATAAAATGCGAGAGCATCAGCTCTTTGAAAGAAAAAACAAGGGCTTTTGAATAAGCCTTTTTGTTCTACCTCTTACTAAGCCCATTTGTTCGTGCTATTACTGCTGATAAGATCAATTATTCTTTCTTTAAACCATTCCATGTAGTTCTGAAATTTCTTCCAAAAACTGATCTTCCCCAAAACATAGAACCTTTTAGCGAATAACAATGGCACGTTTGTGTTTGTGTTTTTGTGTGTGACAGGGTATTTTTTCTGGCTAATTAATTTCGTGTTTCCTTGTCAAAATATATTTTTCAAAACCCTTTTTGTGTTGATTTAACTCATCTTCTGGTAGATACTTTGGTTTGTTTGTCGTTTTAGATAATGCCTGCAATAAATAAGATAAATTGTTACCAGGGCGACCAAATCGAATCACGAAATACACATGTTAGTGTTTATCTATCAACATGAACACAATTACGACATTTTAGCGGGAGACAAAACTCTCAAAAAAGACATAGGGTGTTTGCATTACTTCCCCCTAAGATTCTTTCAGTGAAACCACAAGTACTCATAACACTGTTAAACAGATTAGATTAGATTGCGTTTAGATTCCGTTAAGTGATCGAGTATACGTAACTGGGAAATTTAGCTTGATCATAACATTCAGAAGTGCTGGGGAAATAACTCACAAGGCAAAAAAATTTGTGATTAAACTTAATTTTGAATCAAAGATTTTCCAGGGATTTATATACAACACCTGCCTCGAATACAGCGGGGTGTCGGTCAAGCTTTTAACATGCATTTGTATTTAACAAGTGAGTTAATTTTCCGCCCTGCATCATCATCCAGGAGTGTTTGAATCTTCGATTAATTGTCAGAAGCATGCCGCAAATGAAATTTTGAGTTTAATTCAGTGTGCAAAACTGTAATCTCGTCGTAAGAAAGAGAAACGACATGAAAGTGGACACAGCTTCAAAATTTACAAGAAACTTTCGGCTCTCATGTTTGCATTGTACTCTTTGGAAAGAGACACTCGAGTTAAGGAAGCTGCTATGAATATTGCCCATAAAAGAATGGCAAATAGGAGAAAATTTATGAATTTAACATCATGGATGATTGTTTTGGTGAGAAATATTAAGTTTTGAATCTCCCACTAACGCTTTACAATCAATTTGTTGTAATTGTGCTATTTAGGCCGTTTCATCAATCTTCTTTCATTTCTTTTCAGAACATTTTCTTATTTTATGCGTCAAGCACTTCAGGTACGAATTTTGTTATTGATTATGCCTTATATATTAGAGCAGATTGTAATCTGGTTTCGAAGAGCGATTGCAGATAAGATCAATAAGACTTAATGAAAACGACATTCGTGCGGACTGTTCGCGGACAGTCCGAATTTCCTTTTTCGCATATATATATAGTCTAATGCTTCTTCTCAGTGGGATTTTTCTACAAGCTGGAACTTTCTTATCTTACAGAGTATTAATCAAGCGCTACAGGAATGTTTTATGAATTGCCATCACTTAACTGTCACAGTTTCATCCAAATACGCACAAAGGGAGTTTTAAAAACCACTTTTGATTCCATACTTAACAGTAACATCAGAAACTCGGATAAAACGTGTTACAGTTTTATATTACGTAACAGCAGCGCAAACCATTAATTTTTGAAATGTGTGTTCGCCAAAATGTCACAGTATTTATTTAAATGATTAATCTGGTTGCTACAAAGTTGTCGCCCTCGAAATGTTTACGATAAACTCACAGCACGAATCACATGTGTAAAGATCACCGTTGCCATAGTTACATAATGATTCGCGCCTTTTGCAGCAAAAAAATTGTTCAAAAGTGGAATAGTTGGGCATTTCATTGGTGTTTATATAATAAACAGAACTTTACATGGCCGCACGAAGACACGAAATTTCTCTTCACGTGTTGGAATATTTCTCAACACTCGGAGATAAATTTGAACAAGCAAACTATGTACTGAATGACCTTGTTTTCTTTGCTATGTAGAAGACATAAACGGTCTTTATAGCGCGGCTGACCATTACTGGAACTTTGATCAATCACAAACGTCGCAGATTGCTGATCAGAGGACTGGGACGGGAGTTATCTCACACGGATCGCCAGAACTGAAAGAATCTCCAACAAACAACGCTCTCTATTTATCAGGGGCGTCTTCAGTGGATCTTTTGGAGGTTACTAATTCTTCTTGCCTCTTCGATCCATCAAATTGCGTTACCGGTTTTTCAATTACTATGTTTATTAAATACCGACCAAGGGGATCCTACAGTATCAACGGTACACAAATGTTCTTTGGCAACAGGGAAGGGATACAGTTGAATCAAGGAGTATCCATCTACTACGACGAAACATCTGTGCATGTAAACGTTACAGTTTTTGGAAGCAGCAATTATTGTTTCGGCACATTTGGTAGGTACAACTGTGTAGGTAATGCTTAATATCAAACGACTAAGGCAGATACATAGCCTTGCTTTTCAAGAGGTGAAATACTGCAAGTAACATTGATACACTCTATTATTTCATTCCTTTGCTTCACAGAATTAGTTATGAGGTCCTGGACGCATCTTCACGTTAAGTGGCAAAACACAGGCGACTTGAATGTCTTCTTAGAAGGGGAAACTAGTTCTATCGCCAGTGTAATCTGCGGTAACATAGTTACGCCTCTTCCTACAGCGAGAACATATAGCCTCGGAAAAGTGTTTTTTCCGATTGTTTACCTGGACAATTTAGCACTTTGGTATACAAACAAATCTCCGTTCATTGAACCTTGGAATCAAATTATAGGTAAGCTGAACTGTGCTTCTTCTACGACCGGACGGTATAAATGTATTTAGAGGAAGTAATATATAGATTTAGCCAGGGCTAAAAGCGAAGCTCCCGGTAACATTTATAGTTTGCTCAAACAAAATAATTATAAAATCGTGTAATGCTAAGCGGCGAAGGCAAGGAGAAGGGTGAAAACACAGCAATAGGTCTAATAAGCAAAAAAGCAACTTTGCACGTACAGCACACTTTTTTTGTACATTTCTTTGTCGTTGTTTTGCACGACTACAACGTGAAACTTCCAGAAACTTCCTGGTTAGTTACACGTTTCATGGAGGAAATAACGTACGTGTTCTTGTCCACTTTTTGTTCACTGCTGCTCATTCTCACCTCGGTGGCCGGTAGCATTTCTCATTTTCTCACCGCCGCTACAAAATTGTCATGTTGTTCTTCCAAAAAAAATGTATCCTTTGTTTTTTATCTCTCGCTTTAGCTCTCTGTAGCTCTCAGTTTTCTCGTTGACTTCTCTGGTCTATCTCCTACTTTCTCTTTTTCCCTGTCTCTGTCTCTCTTTTTCTATATTCCAAATTTGTGGACATGGCAATTAATCTAAGCTTAATACTTCAGACAACACGGATACAGAAACAACTTCCGCTTTCCTTTTTCGTCTTTATTGACTCTTTAGTTGCCTCTGCTTCACAATACTCGGGTGGCTATGCGATTTCCCGCCAAAATAACCTCGAGTTGCATTTGGGTTGCCATACCTGTTGATTGAGTTATTTGAGTTATTTTACATTAGTATGGCTGTGGTGCGGACGGACGGTCGCTCGGTCGGGCGTTGTAGCCTGTAAAGTAGAAAGTTTGAGATATTTTTAATCGTTTCTCTGTCGAAACATCTGTGAAATTGTTAGAAAGAGTTAATTTAAAAGTATTTTAAGAATTTTTTATTTTTATTTATTTATTTTTCTTTAGTGTTTTAATCTAGCGTTTTTTAAAATTATTTTAGTCAAAACAATTGTGTAATTATATATTCTCTACACGACCCCTCAAGCTACCAAGCTTTAAATGTCATCGTGTATAAATAACAGTTTAAATCGATTTGCTTTGATTAAATGGTATCACTGATTAATGCCGAGTCTTCTTGTAAGTAGACACCAGTCCTTTCATTGGCCATGTTCTGAACGAGCACAGAACTGGTACGGCTTATGACCGCAAAGGCTCTAGGGATCGTTTGAGTTAACAGCAGGTAGCCATCGTTTTGTGGACAGCAGCAAGCCACTAGTCAAAGGCACGCTAAAAGTTTTCGTGACTGAAGAAGACATACCTGTTGCATCAAGGTCCTTTGGAATTCTGTAATAGTAAAGATTAGTTGCATTTCTGAAGATTTATTCCACTGTGAAACGGCCAGCAGTTGTAGTGCGCCATGTACGTTGACCTTTATTCGGTCCCTCCAAACGATCCCAAGAAGCTTTTTGACCGCTCATTGCACCCAGTTTCCCACATGGTTACATCATGGCCAATTATCCTGGCGTTAGTTTTTGCTGGGTGCTTAATTACCATGGTAGTGTCGATTGAATGATAGTTTACCTCTTTGGCAGATTTTGGCGGCTCAACCACACTCTTATTAGAGATTACACTTTGGGATAAAGCTTGGCATGTAGATCTAAGTACTAACGAGTCACAGCAGTTTCAAGACTTAAGAAATGATTTTATCGTTCAGGTAAGTATAAGGGGAACGGACGAAAAATGAATTTTACGAACCATTTGAAACAATGGCCTTAAATAGTTATTGTACTGGAGAAATTTGGCGAGGGCGGAAACACAAAACTTGCGGAAGTAAAACAAAATGTATTTGGCAAGAATAATTGGGTCGGTTCTGGAACATTAACCCCTAAGAGGACTTTAAGTCTTTCTCAGTGTCTAACCATGACAAAATGTGCGAGGACGTGTCCCATCAAGTGACGTCAGGGTAATAATGGGGGAACATCCTACTACGCTTTCGTCCTTCCCGAATCCCCAACGTTCCCATTGTTCTACCCAGTCTTTTAACACTTGAAATAACAAATACTAAAAATAGAAAAGATGACGAGTAGGAGAGTACTTCCCAACTGGGCGGCTCCTCCCTAAAGCGGACCTACTTGTTTTGTGTTAATCAGTATGGAGAAGAATAGCAGGGAAACCAAACTGATGGCCGTTATCAAGGCCACGATATTTTGTTGTTGTTGTTGTTTTTTTTTTTTACCTGATCGTTGACTCCATCATATATTTGGCTACTTCCTTCACTCAGTTAGTTGTCCATGTATTTTGGGTTTTTTCATTATTTCAGATTCAAACAATTTATAACAGTAGCAGGAGCAACAACCAGCCCAGTGAAATAGACGTTGATCAATTTAGGTAAGTAATTTTAATTTTTTTCTTAAAAAAAAAAAAACCAATTATGGTTCTCGTGTTTTCAAGCGTCTTCTGAGGGGCTAGATATCGGATGTAACTGCAGGCTCGTTCCCAGGCTCCTATTCTACTCTCGTCCCCCTCTCGCTCCCTGGGGGACAAGTAGGAGGGGACTCTAGGAACGAGGTTGATGTCACTGAAGCAGTGTCTGCTGTTTGATATGTTACATAATAAAGAGGCTTTTGATCTTTCTAGAAGTGATGCTGGCATTCAAGATAGAGTACGGGCTGATGTGAAGATAACATTCTCTGGCAAGACAACCTGGAACGACACCTTAATTTTACAGGACAGTTTTGAAAGAAACAGGTTCCTGGAAAGTTATGCCAGTATAACAAATTGCTCAGCCGACGATGGATGTAAGTAGCGAACAAAGATTTCCATGATCGATACAATCCATGCAACGTGTCGCCCATCATAAAACAAACAAAACAACAAAAATTTAAAAACACGGTTTACAACAATGTAATTTCTTATAAGCGGTAAGACTCAATACAATAGACCATTTCCGAGTTTCAAAAACCCTCACTTTCAAAACGAGGCTAAGTGTAAACCTTTCTTGTGTAAATGAGAATGAATAATCATTTTCATATCAATAGCTTCGCAATTAGCCTCGCTTTGTAACAGAGGATTTGGGCAACTCGGAAACAATTGAAGTCGCGGCGGTCATGCTGATGGGCAAAACCAAAAGCGTTTTCCCCTTCTGGTAAGGAACGTTTCTTTTCATGCTAATTCTGTGAAGAAAAAAAACTGTATAGTTTTTTGAAGTAACATGGCCGCCTTGTCACGTGATTGCAAACGAAGAATATTTTTCATCCGTTTCTTTCTAGTTTTTTGCAGTGGGCTTGAAGTCATTACAAAAGGAATTTCATCAACCTCTAACTCAATAGGAATAGAGTTCAATCATGTTCCAGGGGTAGACGATAGCCCCGATTTAATGGGATATAAAGTACTGTACAAACAAACGGACAACGACGAATGGTGGCAAGAAATTGACAAAAGAGGTGGATGGTATCGACATCATACAATCTCAAACTTGGCGCCATATACAAACTACTCTATTCGTGTCGCTCCGTATTCGTTTAAGGCCGGAGGATTAGCGGGACCCATACAAGTTAACGCAACGGCAGAAGGCGGTGAGGGAACTTTTAAGATATCATAAGAGAGAAAATTATTTGGTAATATGCTATTTACAGGCAGTCATTACAGCTTGGAAGGACTGGTAAGGAATCTGAAAACTTGGACCGATTTGTTCGTCCCCCTTAAACATGTCATAATCCATGGACCCTACCTTTGTTAAAGCCTACTTTCTTCTTAGCCGAGAGATCCCCCTGCGTAACTAATTTAAGTGAGGCAACCTGGTTTCAGCGTTACTAAAATTCGTCCTTGCAAACCTCTATCTTATCTAAAGAAATACCGTCAACCTATTGGTTAGGTACCAGAGCGATGTGCTGTAGTATACTGGATAAAAAACGGTTTGTCACGTTCTCTACAACCCTTTCTATCTAAACATAAATGTTTCGCCTAAGAGTATGTAACAAATTTCACAAACCAACTGTTGGTCAGTTTACCTTGTAGTTTTTGTTAATTACTGAAAAGTTAAGTTAGCAAAAAATCCTACAAAGGTAGTAGTATATGACGCAAATAAAAATCCTTTTCTCTCCTTTTAGTTCCGTCCCAGGCTCCCACTGATGTTCAGCTCTTCAATACAAGCTCCACCTCTTTAAAGGCCATTTGGGGCCCAGTCCCCGAATGCTGTCGTCACGGTGTCATTCAGGGATATCACCTGACCTTAAAAACAAATGCGACCTCGGAAATTGCGCATAATGAAAACGTATCAGAAGGCCAATATGAATTGGAATTTTCGGGGCTGTTGAAAGGTTACCCCTACAGAGGCTCTGTTTTGGCTTTTACCAGCATGGGGATGGGTCCGTCTAGCGAGGAGGTGGTCGCCACGACAGAGGAAGATGGTAAGGGTACTTAAAGTTACACACCTTAAAATGGAAAAAAGGATCGTAATTATTGAGAAATATGCTAGATATTACGTTATTATTGTTTATTTATCATTGAGCTATGACAGAAAGATATAGAAGCACGAAAACAGAACTGTTTCACCCTGAAAGACAGGAGTGTTGTAGAGATTACAAGGGTAGTAGGAGAATTGCAGGTTAGCCAGGAACTAACAAGGTAACAAGATACCTATCAACGTTTAAGGTAGATGCTTATTATATTAATTTTTTTGTTCCCATCAAAGGCCAGTTAAGTAAGCAATAATGCAACAGAGGTAGTTTGAGAAGCGAAAATTATAATTGATTTTAAAAAATCCTTTTCTTTCCTTTTTAGTTCCGTCCCAGGCTCCCGCGGATGTGCAACTCTTCAACACAAGCTCCACTTCTTTGAAGGCTATCTGGGGCCCAGTCCCCGATTGTTGTCGCCATGGTATCATTCTCGGATATCGCCTGTTATTGAAAAATAAGACTGGGGAAGTTGCGGGGAATGAAACCGTTGCAGGCGGTCAATATGAATTTGAATTTTCGTCGCTATTAAAAGGCTACCCCTACAACTTCTCTATTCTAGCTTTCACCAGTAAGGGCGACGGTAATTTAAGCCAGGAGGTGGTCGCCATGACAGAAGAAGAGGGTAAGGGGACTTAAGAATTAACCATGCATAAACTAAAACTAAAGAAAAGCAATGTAATTATTAAAGGAATATTCCATATCCTCTGTACTAATTTAGCGATAAGGAAACAACAGTTACATCCAAACTGCACAGGAGCATTTAATTTTTACTTGAAAATTAATGCACTCATTCTCCGTTTTCTTTCGAATTCCCTCGCAGTAACGTTAAATATTGAATATTGGAGAGGTTGAGAATTGTCCTTTCGGCAAACGGCAAAAGTCAGATTGAAGTTGACAATTTCTCAAAGTAGGAGATGAACAGATAAAAACTGTGCAAAATAATTCTTATTCCTGACTTGAAACTACTTATCTTTGTGTGGATGTAAAGAGCAGAAGTCGATATTCATGTAATACACACTGATGTTTGCCTTTCGGCGGCGTCAGCATCGCTATCGCTAAAACATGAACAAATAAGTAAGATACAACATCTGTAATAATAATTTTAATCTTTTATCAGCTCCTTCCCAGGCTCCTGTCAATTTGCAACTCTTCAACACAAGCTGTACCTCACTGAAGGCTGTCTGGGGGCCAGTCCCTGAATGTTGCCGTCACGGTATCATTGAATTTCGCCTGACCTTAAAGGACAACACCTCCGGGGCAGTTGTAAGGGACGAGACAGGAGGCTTTGACATCGGCGGAGAATATGAATTTGAATTTTCAGCTCTGTTAAAAGGCTACGCCTACAGTTTATCTGTCTTAGCTTTTACTAGAAAAGGCGAGGGTCCTTCAAGCGAACAAGTGTCTGCCGCAACAGAAGAGCAAGGGAAAGGTAAGATTGCTTCAACTTTTCATTCACAGCGAAGAAAAGAATATTTTGATAGCTTTTCTGCTTTCTTTCATCTACCTTTCTAGAAGTCCTTGAAATGAATGTAGTTCTTGATAAAATACTATACGAGACCTAGAATGATAAATATAGACTGTAGTAGAGAAATAGTCACGGTAGATCCTTAAAAACCTACACCCGTCCCCGCCATTACCTTCGAAAGGGTGTTTTATGGAAAAGAGTGGGAGAGATATTTTTTATCAAATTGCAAAACCTGTGGGTGTGAGTTTGCTTGTCGAAGCCAAGAAAGAATTACTCAATATCATCTTGAGGGGAAAAACCTTTTCTGTATTTACCTTAGCCACTTTAATCTGCATACGCGATTTAAAGAACCAGTTTGTTTGATATCTCTTCAGTAAGATAACCGACCAACGATGTGTAAGATCAATTGACACATACCCCATTTACATGGAGAAAAGTTATCCCAGTTTGAAGGGTCATCCAGCTACCCGAGCTTCACTTGATTCCCTTGGCGGCCCGCCATCCTACGTTTCATTCATTTCTTCACAAAACGTGGCGAACTGTTTACATGGGAAAAAAAACGTTGGCTCGTCTAGTCGTCTTGGCTCCTTTATAGCTTTACTTTTCTCGCCTTTTTTTTTTGTTGCAATTTAGGAGACATAGGCTGTATTTTGTATAACGATGCTGACCATTACTGGAGCTTTGATCAATCGCAAATACCGCAGATTGCTGATCAGAGGACTGGGACCGAAATCACTCTGCACGGATCGCCGGAATCGAAAGACTCTCCAACGAGCAAGTCTCTCTATTTGACAGACACGACGTCAGTGGATCTGATTGAGGTGACTGAATCCTCTTGCCTCTTCGATCCATCAGTTTGCCCCACCGGTTTTTCAATAACAATGTTTATTAAATACCGACCAAGGGGATCGAACAGTGTCGACGGCTTCCAGATGTTCTTTGGCAACAACGATGGCATAAAGAACATGAACCAAGTACTAAGAATTTCGTGACTGTTTTACAGTGACAACGAGAACATTTGGTAAGTATAGTAGTAGTATAATTGTTTTTAAGCAGTGTTTTACTGTTAACATCCGGGACTGGTTTATTTTTTTTGGGTTTATCAAGCAGTCTATTATTTTATCACTGTCTTTTTGTCTATTTAAAAAGAACATTTACACGGCGGCTTAAAGATATGAATTTTATTTTCTCGTGGCAAAAACAATACTTTATAGTATTGTTTTAGTATAATTGTTTATATTAGTCGAAAAGGTTTTATTCTAGCAATACATGCGTGTTTTGTCTTATTAAGAAAATGAAAGACCGTCAGTGGGCTATGATAAAATTTATTAAACTAGATTCTTCAGCGGTGAGTACCCGGCTGCTTTAGGTGAATTAAACAGTTCTCTGGTTCTTAGTACTATCATTAAAAAACAAAACAAACAACAACAACAAAAATGGTAAAAAACGTTGTGGGTTAAACTGCGAATCACAGAGAGAACCCTGCTGGCAGCACGAGATCATTTTATTCAAACTCATCGAAAGAAAATGGATTAACTGTTAAGCACAAGGTATATGTACGGACTGTAATTGATTGGCTCGCTGTTGGGATACGTTTTGGTTTAAGTAAGACGTTTTCCGCGGTCTCGTTCTTTTCTGTCTTCCATAGGTTTAGCTTTAAACTCCTGGACGCATATCCATGTTAAGTGGGAAAACCACAGAAACCTTAGTGTGTTTCTAGAAGGGAGAACAACCAGTGTTGGCCAGGGCAAATGCGGTGCCGTGACCAGGTCCCTTAATACAAAGAAAATATACAGCCTTGGGAACGAGTTTTTCCCGACTGTTTACTACGACGATTTGGCCCTGTGGTTTACAGATATACCTGCGTTCGTCCAACCCTGGAATTATATCACAGGTAAGGAAGTCTCCTACCTTTTCCCCTTGTTTAAAGTTACTCGTATGCCAATTGGACCAGACTTGCCCCCATAATTCCCACTCTTTAATTCAGTTAAAAAAATTTTTAGCAAGTGTACTAACAAGGTCGCGAGCGACTCGAGCGACAAAACAAAACCACCACAAAGAACTTTTTGAAGTCTATTATTGGACGAGATGAAAGCACTAGAAGACCTTATCACAATGCCCGCCATGTTAAAATGTTTTTCACCGAACAAAAGGCTAAGAAACATAATAACAACAAAACCAACAACTCACGATTCGCTTTACTGCAAACTTTTACCGTCTGAAAGGAGTAATACATGTGGAGAAAGAGACTGCGAAGGTGACAAGGCCGACTACCGCAGGGACTACTGCTGTAATCAGGCACCTTTTGTTTACCATCTAAACTACACTGGCACTATTCTGGCATTCCTTTTGGCTTGTTACTCAATTGCCGAGAGAACTTTAATAAAAAAATATTTTACTCAATTTGCAGATCATGGCGGCTCAACCACGCTCTCACTAGAACTTAATCTTTTGGACGTAGCATGGCATACAAACCTGAGTGACAAAGGGTCAGTGGAATTCCAAAACTTAACAAATGAGTTCATCAATCAGGTAACGTCGCATCGTCAATGAGAAAGATTTGTTGTAACCAGTAATTTGATAGACTACGAGCAGTCTCTCGTTTTTCTTAGTCCGACGAGTGAAATGCACGAGACATGAAAGTGAACACTCGCGTGATGGAACGCGGGAGACGGGGGAGCTGCCGCCCTCGTTTCTCGCGTAGCTTCGCCGCTCGACGCTCGCGCGCGCGTGCACTCTCCTTACTAAATCTGAAGAAAAGGAGAGACTACTCGCAGTCTAGTAATTTGAAGCAGTATGAGTATGAAATGGTATCTATTCGACATTTTAGTTTAATTGATGCATAAGACAACTTTCTTTTTTTTTTTCAGATTCAAACAATTTATGCTGATAGCCGTAGCAACAACCAACCGAGTGAAATAGACGTAGATAACTTTAGGTGAGTTTAAAAAACCCATCCAGTTAGGGGTTTTAGGACACTACCTGTTTCTTCATTTCAAAAGGCCATATCAGTGAGTTTGCAACGTACCACTGAGTTTTCGGATTTTCAAATGCATTTTAACCAGTTCACAAGTCGTTTGATTGAATCGTTAGAGGTTTTCAACAAACTCAAAAGTGAACAAAATGGTGCTCAAGACTTTGTATTTTGTGTTGGTATCATAACATAAAATAAGTAACAGGTTTGTACACACATGTTACTAAGCTTTTTACTTGTTTTAAACAGGATATTTCAAATTTAACAATAGAAAACAAGTGTAATGTCCCTGTATATTCTTATTTCCTGTAACTGAAAATTTTCCTTGATAATCAATTCACCCAAGAAGGGATTATTATATAGAATTTTTTCCTAGAACTTTTCTATGTTCAGTGGTGTAAATATCATACTAAATAAGGAGACAACATGAGCGAGTGTCTTTTAATCTGTCTAGGGACAATCCTGATTCCCAGGGTACTGTACAGGCCGATGTGAGGATTAAATTCTTAGAAAAGACAACCTGGAAAGATGCCTTAATTTTACAGGACAGTTTAGAAAGGAATGGTTTTTTGGGAAGTAGTGTAAGCATAACAGATTGCTCAGCCGACGATGCGTGTAAGTAACTCAGAACACTGAAAGTAAGAAGAGCGTGATGGTTTAGATGGTACTTTGATGTAACAATAGTAATCCCTGTGGAGTAGGCGTAACCTTTTCCAATATGGTTGCCACTAAGTAATCACTTAGTGGTTCTCGTGAGGGACCGTAGATTGATTACTTGTGATAGGTGCATCACGAATCTCAATCGATCACGGTGTGACCAATAGTCCCGTTCAGTTAATATACGCCATTGCCAGCGGTACGAATCAAAACGTCGCGATCAAGAATAAATTGACGATAAACGATCCTATCATGCACGTTCCACGATCGTTAACATTAATTTATAATATCTTTAGTATCTTTAACTTTATCTTTTTTTAATATCTTAAACGGTATATTTTTTCTCGTAGTTTATTGCAGTGGACTTCAAATCACTATAGAGGATTTTACTGTAAAGCCCACCACAATAGCAATTACTTTCAACAATATTCCAGGGCTATACCATAGCGCTGATTTCATGGGATATGCAATTCTGTTCAAAATGACAGACGCGGAGGAATGGTGGCAAGTTAGGTACAAGAGAGGAGGCTGGGGTCGAACTTATACATTTAAAGAGTTGAGGCCTTACGTCAACTACACCTTTCGTGTTTCTCCGTACGCATTGAAGGCTGGAGGATTAGCAGGGCCCCCACAGACAATCCAAACAAAAGAAGATAGTAAGTGATCTGTTTCTGGTAACCATGCAATCCTTTTTCAAACCTCAGATAACTATCAAGGAAACCTGTATCGAATTATCATGCCAAGAGAGTTGAGCATGAAAGACTGTCTGATCATGATAATATATAGATTTAGCCAGAGCTAAAAGTAAGCTCCAGTTTATTCAGTGAAATCAGTACTGGAAACCTTAACCGTTCAATATATTCGCAAATTCTATATTTCTCGTAAGATACTTTGATTATGCGTTTGAGCCAAGCGGAATGAAAATTTTACTTTTTTACTTCTATTTTTTGTGATGGTAGCTGGAGTGGGGGGCTGGGCCGGTGGACAAAGTGGACTGATCGCCGTGACGAATTGGAGAGTGCCACGGGGGTTTGAGTCCTTTTTTTTTTTTTTGAAAACGCGCCAACATTATAGTTAAGGACTTTTCTCAGTCAGTTTTTGGGCTATTAAAGCCACTGAGTTATGAGTAAAGAAAACATATCAGCGCACGTTTAATAAGTGGAGTATTTAAGGCGGAATGTAAGACATGGAAACATCACTCTGACTTTCTTAAGCTCTGGTATTCATGCATAATAAATATTTATGCCATTATCATGGATATTTCCCTTGCGATTGTTCGTTACGTATTTCAATTACCAGGGTGTTACTTTCAAATTGATGTAATTCTAGGAGCGATAAATTTCATTATAAACACTGTTAAGGCGAATTTAATTTCCTATTGAGTTTTAGAGTATGTTGAACTTATTTTTATGTGTGTTAGTATGTACTATATATGTTAGTATGTTATATATGTTAGTATATTATGAATGTTAGTATGTTAGAGTATGTTGACTTATTTTTTTTTTAGTGCCGTACGCAGGTCCCGGAATTCTAGAAGCCTATACCATTAACAGCACTTCCTTGTTTGTGAGATGGAACAAAGAAGGCATCCCTGAGGACAAATGGAACGGAATTCCGAGGTCATTCGCAATACATGGAGAAGGAACCAACTGTACGGGCTGGAAGATTCATGTCAAATATGTGTCTCTCAACGTTTCCTCATTCATTGTTACCAACTTGACAGGCTGGATAAAGTATAGAGTTAGAGTGAGTGGAGTAACAACACCAGGAATTGGACATGCCTCTGAGAAGATTGTCCGGACCAATGATTCAGGTACAACTGAGTTACAAGGATAGTGCCGGAGGCGAGTCATGGGCTTAAGTTTCTTCTCTGTAAGGGTGTATCTCGGCTGCAGTGGCTTTGTTCAACCTTTTTTAATCGCAGAGTCAGTTAAGAGGACTTGAAAAGGAGGTTATTCTTTTTTTTTTCGTGACCATTCTAACGAAAAAAATTCATCAACACTTTCACCAGTGCTGTTTTTTTTCTTTATTTTTCTTTATTTTCCAAACGTCCCGCCTCACGTACCTTACAATCCCTATAACCCTTTCTCGATTGCCTAATATTAAGCTCTGCTATGTAAATTCTCCCGCTTCCAACAATTTTAGAATTCCCAGCTCTTATCCTTTCGGACCTTTTCTCTTCCGCTTCCCGCACCCCTGGTCTCCTGGCCCCAAATCCCCGTCCTAGAGTTGAACATTAGAGGCAAACACTAACTGTGGGATCCCTGTGTGTAGATACACAACCTTGACACATTTACTTTTATGTATTTACTTTCCTTTCAGTTCCAAGTCAGGGTCCGGAAGAAATCAATGTGATGTATATTAATAACCACAGTCTGACGGTCACGTGGAGTGAAGTGCGTTATTGTTTTCAACATGGCATTGTACTGTCATACGAAGTACAGTTCCGTGATGTGGAAGGCAACGCCCCGGATTTATTGCACAACATAACAGTCCTAGCTGACGCTGAAAGAAGGCTTAACTTCACTAATCTAAAGATATATTGGTTATATGGCGTCCGTATCAGGGCCTTCACCCGACATGGTCCCGGAACACCGAGCCAAGAGGCTACGGGACGAACAGATGAATGGAGTATGTAACTATGAGGGAACAGAATGTCTTACGTCGTATAAGTTTATTTGTCACACTGCTTACTGCGCTTTCCAATACCGCGCGAACTCTGCCGGAATTTCAAAGGATAAATTCACAATTGCGATTTGCTGTCAATCATAATTACGGTCACAAGCAACGAAGTGAACGAAACTTCAAGCACAGCAGACACAAAATAAATCGAAATCCACCAAGCACAAATCACAAACCATGAACGTTTGAACTCGCTGACCTAAACTTCTGTTTTCTAAGAGATGATTGGCGGCTTCAAAGAACGCAAACGTTAGTAGAGTTCGCGTGTTATTGAAAACCACATTAACTTGTAGAATTTGCACTGTCAGTTGTCATTTTTGGTTGTTTCCGTATTCAGTCACCTTTTTTTGCTCAAGATCTTTTAGGATCTGTGGCATGTGCACATCTAGTTAATCTCCCGCGTATCACAGCTTTTTTAGATGTGGCTGACATACACATATTCTCTTAGAGCCGGGGCAGCCAATCAGGACAAAGTATTCCAGGAAAAAAATAAGAGTGGGTGACCCTGTGGGACTTATTGTTACCATTTCCAGAAGCATTTCAAATCCCCTCCTCTGATTGGTCAGAAGGTATTTTTTGCCAATAAGATATGGTGTATTGAGAATCTCTTGTGTCCTGGTGCTCTCCAGTTCATGTAATTTATTTTGCCGGCGGCGAATTAGTCATTTGTCTCCGAAAATGGCAGACACTTGAATTGAAAAAGAAGTTTATTGCACAACCAATTAAATAACAACATCACCGTCTTCAAATAAGTCATAATAGAGGGCGGGATAATACTCACCCTTCATTCTCCGTAATTATCGCACTTTTTTTATGCTGTCTATAATTGCTTCCTTAAAAAGTTGACTCCACTAAAAGGGAATGTCTACGGAAAGTAGAAAAGGAATAATTATAGCATATGGAATGTCCTTAGCTTACACAGAAACTTGTTTCCAGTCCCTATTGTAGCTCCAACTAATGTCCAGGCCTCCGATCCGGAAACCACCAGCATAAAACTGTCTTGGTTTTTTGAAAACAATGTGCGAGACGTCCTCGGTATTTTGACGAGCTTCCGGATCTTCTATAAACTCTCCAGCAACAACTCTGCTCCTGAACAAGTTCACGAAGTTGGAGCTGATGAGAGGCAAGCACAGATAACAGAACTAAATATCTACAGGTTTTACACGTTTTCCGTCGCTGCAATGACAAGTAAAGGATATGGGAACATAAGTGCAAATGTTTCGTTGCGAACTTTGGGCACAGGTTAGTGGCTAAATATGTCAAGCGAAAATGATGAAAATAGGCGGAATGGGTACTTTCTCTAATGACCAATACACGGTGGCTCTGCCCTGAAAGTATCGATTTTTCAGGCCTTAGATTAGTTAAAAGGCAGTGATTTCACGCGTTGAAGTATATAAAAGGTTAAGAAGTAGCATTTTTAATGGTGGGTATACGAAAGAGTTGACGTTTCCGTGAAAAGTGGTTTATAAAAGGGTATAGGTTTGGAACATCTTTCGCAAAGACATCCGGGACTGTTACTAGGAACAGGGAAGAAATTGGCCAATAGCTGACCAGTGAGTCTCCAGTAACTATCCCAGAAACAATTGCAGGACGCCTTTTGGTTCCAGTCCGTACTCTTTCCTAAATTGGCGAATTGATATTTGGAACACAATGTTTCCACTTATGCTGCTAGATAACATTCAGATTTGAATATGTGTGTCCGCTGGTTAAATGAGCAGCAGGTTCTTTTGCTCCGCTTTATGTTCAATAAATTATAAAGTGATTTATTTGTTGTTATTTCCAGCCCCAGGACATCCTCCTGTTCCAATTGAAATGTCAAACACAAGTTCCACCAGCCTTAACGTGACCTGGGGCGTGGTTCCACCAGCTTATCATCACGGTGAAGTCGCTGGGTATCATATATTTTTAATGGAGACTGGTAATCCTTGGGTTGATTTTGCTAACAGGACATTTTCACTAGGTGAAAATAGCACGGAATTTACCGGGCTCAAGAAGTTCACCAGTTACACCGCATATGTTCGAGCATATTCACTTTTTGGTAAAGGACGTTTTGACATCGTCATCGCATTAACAGATGAAGACAGTTAGTATTATTCTTTCATAATAACATTCGACACTCTTAATAAGCAAACCTGCAAGAGCCAAAACTGAATGTTAGGCTGGCACTATGGCAAAGGGCTGATTTACTATAGGCCAATATTTCGGCTAACAAAAGTAGCCTTCCTTAGGGCCAAATCTCTTTAATTAGAGATCCGGCAAGAGGAACCAGTTAGTTTTATTTACGCGTTGCGTGGACCTATGCATTCAAGCAGTTTTTCTTGCACGAGCCAGCCCTTGTATATTACAAACTGGTCACAAGAGCCTTTCATATTAGTCACTGTTTAAACGACGTTTCATGATGCTGGTTGCTTGTCCCTTACGACGAGCGACAACTTTTCTTTCTTGTTAACTTTATTTGATTAATAGACAGACTCTTGGCTGATCAGCATTATTGAAAAAATTCGTTCCACTCTGGTTAGTTCCTTCCCAGGCTCCCGCTGATGTAAAGTTATTCAACACAAGCTCCACGTCTTTAAAAGCTGTCTGGGATCCAGTCCCTGAATGTTGTCGTCACGGTATCATTCTCGGATATCGCCTGTTCCTTAAAGACAACACTTCTGCCTTGAGTGTGAGGAATGAAACTACAACAGCCGATCAATATGAAATCGAGTTTTCCTCCCTGTTAAAATTCTACGCCTACAGCTTTTCTATTCTAGCTTTCACTATCAAGGGGGACGGTCCATCAAGCGAGGAAGTGGTCGCCATGACAGAAGAGGATGGTAAGGGTACTTTTAAACGATAACTTAAGTGTACAATGTATTCTAGAAGGAAACATCAGATGCATCTAAACAACCATTTTTGTTTAAGAATTTACAGTTGATGTTTGATTTAAAGAATACGTCAATTTAACTATAAGCATCTTAGGCTTGTTTCTTATTACGAACGGTACGTATTAATGTCGTGACAAGGGAACTACTTGAAACAGCATTCATGCAGATGTTTCAGGTCTCTTTGACAGTGTCTTTTGTCATTTCAATTTTGTTGACCATAATCATTTATCCTCTGGATTTGAACACTTGATAGCGAAAAATGTTTTAGTCGAGAATGGTTCAAGACATTGTTCATGAATTAGAGGCGATTATAAGGAAACTGCTAATGACTCTTTACTTCTTGGTTCCCAGTTCCCATTACATCACCATTCAACGTATCTGGACAGAATACCAGTGCTTGGAGCTTGTTGGTAGAATGGGACTTTGACGATTACGTTCGTCACGTGCTCGGCGTCCTGCGCGGGTTTCGCGTGTATTACCGAAACATAAACGACAGTGCTGCATCATGGGAAAGTCAATACGTTAGGGGTCCTCTATTGCGTCAGACAGAAATTAGTGGCTTGGAGGAATACAGAGATTATAACATCACAATTACAGCATTTACTAGGATTGGGGAAGGTGTTAGGTCTCCGTTTATTGTAACAAGAACTGACGAACACAGTAAGTTTTATAACTATAATTAGATACAAATTGAGAGGACACTATTTCACCGACTTAACAAAAGAATTTCTCGTCATTTATAACTCTTCAGAATGCAACATTATTTTTATTGATTTCATGATCCATCCTGGGCAACTTGCTAACTGAAATTTTTGCTCTTGCTTTTGCTTGGTTAGCGTGGGCTGGGGTAGTTGATTTTTTAAAATTTATTCGCTGCTTATTTTTATTTACTTTTAAACTGTCCGATATGAAGTGTCCAGTTACAAAAAAAAGGACAAATGGTTGCCGCATTTCTACTCTAGTGTCAAAGGTTAGCGAAGTGTGCGACATATTCAACGCATTAAAAAAAATGCGTTATGCGTTACGCGTAACGTTACGCGTTAATGCGTTATGCGTTACGTAATAGTAAACACGTTTCATTTATCTTTTCAGCATATTAAATTTCTAAAAATGAAAGATTGTTTCTGTTTTTCTCCCTCCCCTTCTTGTAACCTTGGCTCTCTTTACGAAATATTTTCACAGTTCCCAGAGCTCCTCCTACTGACGTCACCGGAATAAATACCAGCTCAACAAGCCTGCGCGTGAACTGGGGCGAGGTCCCCTTCGCAGACCAACTAGGAATTATCCGAGGATATAGAGTTTTATTGTGGAGAACCAATCAGAGTGAGCAGATCTTGCAGAACGTGACGGTTGCGTCACGCAACGTTAGCTTCATGGGACTGGAAAAGTACACTAATTACAGTATTCAAGTTTCAGCGTTTACCATAAAAGGAGAAGGAACCCAAAGCGAGGCTATAGTGGTGATAACTGACGAGGATGGTGAGTGACTTAGTCAGTAGCGATTAAGGTTCGTCACGACTCTAACGCACGGGCTTATCTAGCGAGTGTAGAATGTTGCAGCCCAACTAATGTTAAATAAACCTGTTTTTGCGGTAGAACATATAAACGCCGATGACGTCATACCTTTTGTTTTTATATGATGAATAAATACGCTGGAATCTCATTAAAATAATGTCATGTTCTATTTTTCGGTGGTTTAGCCATTTAGACAGGTTTTTTTTAGATATTTTAAGGTCGATGAATTTCTTAGTTTTTAGTCAACCAATCAAGAACCAAGACATTCATCCTCTTAAAAATAACTAAACAACCTGCCCAACCGGTTTAACCACCTAAAAATAGCACATGACACATGTTAACGAGATTTTACTGCATTTTATTCATGAGATAAAGACAAAGACGACGTTAATGTATTCATCCGTAAAAGCAGGCTAATTCGGTCCCTAACAAGAGGATTTTCGATGATATATCTCCAGCGCTTTTAAAACCTCACTGACCACCCAAACATGATAGGTTAATGGGCCATTTTACAGTTATGTATGGAACCGAGGCTGGAGTTGACCTTTGTTTGATACAAACCTTCCTGCTTTACCATGTAAATCAAGTTATTCTTCTGCTAACCAGTATTTTTCAAGGACAATTTCCATAACACAGCAGAGGAGGTTTGTATCAAAACGAGGTCACCGTCAGCCTTACATTCACTCGAAGGCTAGGGTGCTTAGTGCACAACTGCAAAATGGTCTATTTTTGAAATTTCTCCATTTTTATCACGTTCAAAGATATCCATGTGTTAGCACCTCCCCAGCTCGTACTTTCGAAAGAAAAGCCTCTTGTCTTGCGCTCCTCTGCGGTAAGATTAAACATAAACAAGCATGATAAAACGTTCGGATAATATTATGTAACTGTCGATAGACAGACAGGTGGCTGGTAAAGCTAATGTCAGTATAATTAAGAATTTTTTTTTTTCACTCTGGTTAGTTCCGTCCCAGGGTCCCGCTGATGTGCAACTCTTTAACACAAGCTCCACTTCTTTGAAAGCTGTCTGGGGCCAAGTTCTACAATGTTGTCGTCACGGTATCATTCGCGGATATCGCCTGTTCTTAAAGGACAACAGTTCAACGGAAATTGTGAGCAATGGCACTGTAACAGCTGGTCAATATGAATTTGAATTTCCATCACTTTTAAAATACTACGCCTACAGCGTTACTGTTCTAGCTTTCACTGTCAAGGGCGACGGTGCTTTAAGCAAGGATGTGGTCACCATGACAGATGAAGATGGTAAGGCTTCTTATCTTTCACAATCATTCTTTCTCAGCGTTCATCTGTTCTCTTGGTCCCTTTCTAAAAGGAAAACAGAGAAAACAGACCATTTAAAATGACTGTCGCCTGTTCATCTGGACACTTAAAAGTCGTGTCTTCAATTAGTTTTTGTGTGCTAAATACAAGACAATTCCCCCATCTTTTTTTTACCAAATACGTCTTTTGCCGTTTCCACTTTGTTTGGTTTAATCATGATTCCAAACTTGTTAAATTCTCTTATTCACAGTTCCCATTACATCACCATTCAACGTATCTGGACAGAATACCAGTGCCTGGAGCTTGTTGGTAGAATGGGACTTTGATGATTACGTTCGTCACGTGCTCGGCGTCCTGCGCGGGTTTCGCGTGTATTACCGAAACATAAACGACAGTGCTGCATCATGGGAAAGTCAATACGTTTGGGGTCCTCTAATGCGTCAGACAGAAATTAGGGGCTTGGAGGAATACAGAGATTATAACATCACAATTACAGCATTCACTAGGATTGGGAAAGGTGTAAGATCGCCGTTTGTTGTAACAAGAACTGACGAACACAGTGAGTTTTTACAAATGTATTTAGTTCAGAAAAAAATTGAAATGAGAAGTGTCCGAGATAACGAAATAATTTGTAATCTGTTTGTGTCCCGTCAGTTTGTAGCTTTTTTTTCATTGTTTTTACAATCAAGTCCAATGTGTTATTGTCGTGTTCTGTTTGTTATTGATTCTGATTGGTTAGAATGAGCTTGGGTAATATTCATGAACTGTTTAACTGTCCGATTTGATCTGTTCAATGATAAGCTGCTTGCAATTGAAAAAGTTATCACTACAACTGTACCCTAATGATATTGATTAGCAAGGTGGGTAACACATGCTCTGCATTTTTAATGTATTACAATAAAGACTGTGGCATCCTCCTTCTTAAGATGTTACTTTTTTAACCAGTTCATGGTGAAATAAAGGCAGTTAAAAGCCTCAAAGATACGAGTAATATTGAAACGTTGACTAAAGAAACTCTCTGAGTAGGTACATGCAAAAGTTGCTACAGTCAAGCAGTAGAAATGTTGACTAGAGTATACCAGTTTCCCACGTCGCTTATCAGTGACGCTTGGGTAGAGTAGACGGGTAGAAACCAGTCAAATTGTGTCACGTTTCTCGTCTCTCCTTCTTGTCATATTATAACTTTCTACGAAATTCTTTCACAGTTCCCAGAGCTCCACCCAGTGACGTCACTGGGATAAATACCAGTTCAACAAGCCTGCGCGTGAACTGGGGCGAGGTCCCCTTCTCGGACCAACTGGGAATCATCCGAGGATATAGAGTGTTATTGTGGAGAACCAATCAGAGTGAGCAGACCTTACAAAACGTGACGGTTGCATCACGCAACGTTAGTTTCATGGGACTGGAAAAATATACCAATTACAGTATTCAGGTTTCAGCATTTACGGTGAAAGGAGAAGGAAACAAAAGCCAGCCAATCGTGGTTATAACGGACGAGGATGGTGAGTCACTTAGAAGCGACTTCCGGAAGGATCGTCAGTACCAAAGCTAACGGAAGTATCTGACCCTCAAGGCTACGAACTTGGGGAGTGGTGTGATTGTTAGCTTATGATGTCAAAGGGAAGATATGTAGTACTTGGTTCTTTGATTTGTATAATATAGGATCAAATGTGAAAAGGATATCCACAGAATCAGCTACTGTTAGTTCACGCATTGCGGGTCACAAGTAGGATTGATTGCCGCAATATTTTACTTTTTGAGTTAGATTTGCATACTAACTAATCTAGCAAGATTACAATGTTGCAGTCCACCTAATCCACTTTTACGTCAGGTTTTTCGATCCGTATGTCTCGCGGGCGCGGGTGCTTTTAAAACTTTACTCGTACCCAGAAGGTATACGTTAAGTTTTGAAATTATTTCGTTATTATTATCTTTAAAAATATTCGTGTGTTAGCACTTCCAGGTTTGTACTTTTGAGAGAAAAGCCTCTCGTCTTTCCTTTTTCTAAGCTGTTAAACATTAAAAGTAACATGATAAAACGTTCGGATTACATTTTGTAGCCGTCGATAGACAGATAGGTGACTTGTGACGCTAGTGTCAGTATAATTAAGAAAAATTCTTGTCACTCCCGTTAGTTCCTTCCCAGGGTCCGGTTGATGTGCAGCTCTTCAACACAAGCTCCACTTCGTTGAAAGCTGTCTGGGGCCGAGTTCTCCAATGTTGTCGTCACGGTATCATTCGTGGATATCGCCTGTTCTTAAAGGACAACAGTTCTACGGCGATTGTGAGCAATGGAACTGTAACAGCTGGTCAATATGAATTTGAATTTCCATCACTTTTAAAATACTACGCCCACAGCGTTTCTGTTCTAGCTTTCACTGTCAAGGGCGACGGTGCTTTAAGCAAGGAAGTGGTTGCCATGACCGAGGAAGATGGTAAGGAAGTTCTTAATCTTTTATATTCAGTTCTAGTTAGTAATAATTGAAATGTATAATTTACTCGAAGGACGCTTACTTACGGCCAGATAATAACAGAATCAGTTTTGTTCTTACCCAGGGTCCTCTGTGTTTTTCCTGAGCACTGTATTGTTACTTACAGTAGTCCCAAGAGAAATTGAAAACAATGCTTATGCAAACTTTTTGAGGGAAAACAGAGAGGTTTATGGGTTTTTGAAAATGGGCTTTTCGCTTTTAATATATTTTGTTTAAGCAAATTCCCTTATTAATGCACAGAAAGACAAAGAGAGATAGCATTAACCGTCCTCATTTCGAGAAAACTTTTTCTCGATCTGCATCTTTCCGATTGCTCAAATAAGGTGGCGGTCTTCCTAAATACATCTTTTTTCATTTAAAATATTGTCTGCCTTTAATCAGCAAGCCTTTTGTTTTTAAATGGTTCGTTTAGTAAAGCGAGTTTCACTCGTGTATTCTGTGCAAAAATATGAACTGAAACCCTCAAAGCTGTCAAACATCACCAGACATGTTTAATTCTCTAATTCGTAGTTCCCATTACATCACCATTCAACGTATCTGGACAGAATACCAGTGCCTGGAGCTTGTTAGTAGAATGGCACTTTGACGATAACGTTCGTCACGTGCTCGGCATCCTCCTCGGGTATCGCGTGTATTACCGAAACATAAACGACAGTGCTGCATCATGGGAAAGTCAGTACGTTTGGGCTCCTCTAATGCGTCAGACAGAAATTAGTGGCTTGGAGGAATACAGAGATTATAACATCACAATTACAGCATTCACCAGGATTGGGGAAGGTGTAAGATCGCCGTTTGTTGTAACAAGAACCGACGAACACAGTAAGTTTTAACAGATTAGTGTAGGCAGTTCGATACAAAAATTAAAGGAACTTTATCCGCTGTGTAGGATAAAAGGACACGCTCTCGGCCAGTAAGAACGCAGAAGTTTATTATCGGCAAGTTATTAGCAAAGTGTGTAGTGAAATAACTTTGCAAGGTATAAGATGTGACGGTCTTTACATGTGTCTCACATGTTTAATCAGTAATACAAGTACACAGTAGATGGGTAATCAATCAATTACAATAAAGATCTGTGACTGAAGTAATTAACAATGCATTAACTCTTTTACAGTTCCCAGAGCTCCCCCCAGTGACGTCACTGGAATAAATACCAGTTCAACAAGCCTGCGCGTTAACTGGGGTGAGGTCCCCTTCGCAGACCAACTGGGAATCATCCGAGGATATAGAGTATTATTGTGGAGAACCAATGACAGTGAGCACATCTTGCAGAACGTGACTGTGGTGTCACGCAACATCAGCTTCATGGCACTGGAAAAGTATACTAATTACAGTATTCAAGTTTCAGCGTTTACCATAAAAGGAGAAGGAAACCAAAGCGAGGCAATAGTGGTGATAACTGGCGAGGATGGTGAGTCACGTAGCAATGAGTAAGGATAACACACTGAGTGGTCAATTAATAAATTTTTACAACCTAAATACTCGTATCTTCTCAAACTTAATGCGGCGAGAGGTTGTTAGGATGAAGGAAACAGGAAGTTAAAAGAGTGTTTTCTCTCACTGGGGAAATTGACATATTTGTTAAAATTTTAATTAAAAACACGCTCAATACTTTTTGCATTCTTAATAAATTGTCCAATTTATTTTCTTCAACAAAGGCTTTGTCAGCGATTGTAGACTTATATAAGCCGACCAAAGTAGGAGGATAAATTTTAAAACCCAATCATAAGTTGTTAAATCTCGTTAATTTTTTCTGTAATTGTCATTGTCTAAATCTTACAAAGCTTCCGCGTCCTTTGAACAGAGCGAAAATATCAATGTTTAGAGGGTAGTAATGCACGCACCCGACTGTATTTTGCATTTGTACAATAAGGCGTTCAAGGCAAGAATAGCCATTAATTCACTTAACGAAAGAGAATTATGAAGGAGGTTGAAAACGCGATTGCTAACAGAAATTTAATTACACAGAGTTCGGAAGCTAAGTGATTGTTCTGGCTTTGTGGCTTTACTTGGAAGCGCAACTCATGTAGTATCGCTTAAATATATGTCAGCAGAAACTCATTCTGATGTCAGTTAAGTTTTTATTGCGCGCTTACTCTAAGCGGAATAATTGACCAAAATCTAATTTGGATTGGCTCCTGCTCTCTTCCCTGCTTGAGGATAAGGATTTAATGATGATGATGATGATGATAGATTCTGTTCCAAACAACAAAGTTGTCTTATTGTAATCTTCACTGCCTGCCTGACTTCTCTAATTTTTAAGCAGTAAAGAACGGGATTTAATGACGAGTTCAACATAATCAAAGTCAGAGCTACTTGCCTTGCAATATATAGAGATGAAGACAATCCTGTTTTAGTCATAACAACTACAACGATGCCATACGGTAGATAACAAACAACTAAAGCCAGCTGCAGCCACAATGCATTATATACTGCTTTTTTGTATCGCGCTATGTTCAGGGGCGCTGTTGAGTTCGTTTTGTCATGAAAAAATCCGTTTTGTACCGAGGATTGATGATGACGAAGTGTTAAGAAGATTTTAGTGTAAGAAAATATTAAGATTACTAAACACGTTATTGTCCCTATAGCAGCATACCAGAGGCTTGCTTCGTACTTCCAAAAATACATGGTTGCACCCGCAAATGACACAGCCCAGAAAGCACACACCGTTGGATATGTTCGCCTTATAGTTACGACTTGTTTGTATCTGAGTCCCAACAGCAGGGCGATAAGCCTGTCCACTCCAATTGCAGTTAGTGTCAGCAAAGACACAGAACACAGTAGATGACCAGTGACAAAAATTGATACTTGAGCATAACGGCAAATATCAAAACGTTCGTTCACCACCGACATCCAGTAGACAATAATTAGTGGTTCTGAAATAAGACCGACGAAGAGATCAGTTGTAGCCAGACAGCGGAGTAGAATTTTCGAAGGCGAATGAAGAACAGACTCCTTGCGAAGTGCGACTAGGATCAGTGTATTTCCCAGAAATGCAATGATTGATTGCAGAATGTTAACCACAATAAGACTAATCAGCTGTTTTTGTACTTCTTGGGTTATCTCCGGTGAGCAAAATAGTTCTTCATATGTTTTTGAGTCTCGAATGTCAGTGAGATTTGTTACCGCCATATTCCAAGACAACTCAAATACGTACTTTGATGCACTTCCGTTACACCATCAAATATTAATGGCAACTAATATCTAAAAAATTCGGTGACATGTTTATACTTTTGTGCGCGCTTAATATAATTAATGAGAACGCGAGTCTATTCATTTGCTTTAAAATACGCTCTACTTGATAACAGACCGATTCTCTCCTATTGTCTTTAAATGTTTAAACATACAGGCATATACCACAATCGATATTTATTTCAGAGCCATGCGATAGGTAACCTGTCAATGCATAATTTTTGTCGTGTGCTACTAGGATTCGTCCCTCAGATATTAGAACGTGTTATTGACTTAGTTTACCTTCTGGAACATCCCATATTTTAGATTTTAAATAAGACTTTGACTTATTACTGACAATGTTTGAATGATACCCTGTTGCCTATACTATACTCTACAACAGACTAAACTGCTTCACAACTATCGAATCTTCACAGCAACAAACATCTCGAATCTTCACAGCAACAAACATCTCGAATCTTCACAGCAACAAACATCTCGTACGTGACAGTAACCCTACCCATTCCTCCCCGGGTAAAGCTATGACAAACAGGTGTTAAAACAAAATGTGAGCTCAAAGGCTAAAAATATAGAAAAAAATGCTGTTAATTATTTTTGATGCCTGTGTGGCCGTGTTTTTATATTTTTTGCAAGAAGTGTCTATATTGTGACTATTGTGGATTCCGAGTTCAGGGATTTTCCAAATTTAGAACTTCATGGGATTATTGAAAAAAATACTTACTTATGTTACTTGAATTAACAAGGGTTGGAATGTTTGCTATACGTTGACTTGTTTTAAATGCGCATTTGTAATTAAATTTGCGAGACGCCTCATCTTGCGTGATCGCTGCCAAGTTACAATCAAGAACTTTTTCATGATCCTTAGTGACGCAACTCTCTCTATATAACTATTTAGTCACAATTTTATTTTAGAAACTCTCTGCAATAATTTCTATTGACAATGTCTTAAATAGTCGATTCACCTTTCTTCATAAATTATCAACCATACTGAATTCAGTAATTACTAGGAAAGGTTGTAAAAACTCTGATCGCGGCTTTTGTTCTTTTGCTTGACCCGACAGTTTAGAAGATATTTGCTAAACGTCGTTCTTTTGTTCTTGTTGTTGTTGGTTGGTTAAAAAATGGCTAATAACCTGGCTTAAGGGAAATTTTAAAATTTTGTTTTAAATTAGCTTAGGGATACGAAATAAGTGATTATTTAATCATAAGTTATGGACCCAAGAAAGGGCGGATGTCCAAGAAACCAAGTGGTAGAAACGGGTTAGTGTGTTGATATAGCGTGAAGAAAATACAGATTGATGGTTATCAGTTTTGAAGAAGCACCTTAGTCTCCTGTGACATTTTTTCCGTTTTCTATTTCCTCAAACTAATCAAAACAAATTTCAATTTTTTTTTTCCTGATGATGTATTTTATATCAGAATCAAGGTCAAGTAATGTGATTATCGACACTGGAAAAAATAAACGACGAAAGACAAAAGTATTTTTCCTCGAAATCGGTAAACAATAAAAAAGGAAAAAGAAAAACAGCTGGAGCCCGTTAGAACTTCCTGTGTCGGTTTTTAAAATTTGCTGTTCCTGTTTGACTGATAGTTCTATTCACGGACGCATTTGATAACTTTAATCAGTAAACAGCACAGTACCGGACAAATTGAACATTGAGTGTTAGCGTTTTGAAGGAAATATACAGTGTCAAAAGTTTCACTCAACTCTCACTCCAGTTTTTGAAAAGAGAATGTTCTTCTACCCTTCTCAAAGGTCTTAATCACTTTACGTTAATCTCATGAGCACAAAATGAACACTGAGCTTCCTCATTAGATAAGTTTCACTGACGATGTCATTGATAGAGTGACGATGTTGTTTCCATTTAGAAACTTCACTTATTAAAACTGACTGATTGAAGGGGGGAGTGGTGGGTAATTTCGTTTGGGACACGATTTTGTCCGCCATTGTACCACTATGATCGAATTTTGCTGAAAATATGACTCTAAGTTCGATGCAAGTTTTTATTTTTGTTCCAGGTCCGTCGGATGGAACTTTTTTTAAAATGACATCACCCAAACCTTTCCTCAGAAAAAAATACGGTTCGGCCAACAACCAGCTGCCTGTTAAGTGTTGTCCTCAAGCAACATTAGGGCCATTTATACGAGGAAAAATAAGACGCGTCTTAAATAAGACGCGAACTGTAACATTTATACGAGCATTTCTTATCTAATAAGACGCGTCTCAGCTAAGCCGCGTCTTATTTTAGACGAAATGTGCCGTTTGTACGGAAAGTTCGCGTCTTATTTAAGACGCGTCTTATTTTTCCTCGTATAAATGGCCCTAATGTCTTTATATTAGTTACAGAGATCATCAATAGCTTTTCCGTGTGTAACGTTCTGACCAAAGTTGTGTACAAGGGATATTTTGTCTGCCTATTGATTGACCTGATTCCGTTACGAAATGTGAACCAGGACTAAATCCCTTTTTTGTATACGGTCGCTAAAAAGCTTAAAAATAGTTTACTTTCAATTTATTCTGATACAGTTAGCTCCTTCCCGTAAGAGCATATTCATGAGCATATTCTGGGGGTGGGAATAGAGGGCATTGATTCTCCCCCAGAAAAATTCGTAGATTCAGCCATTTCCAGCATTTTCCACAGGACATTTTCAGCAAATTAAAACGCAGGAAAACGCAGTAGTTAGTTGTTTATTTTACTCATCTCTAGTTTTGTCGGTAAGGTACAGTTTTACGGGGATAAAAAGGCCAGTGACAAAATCAGAATTGTGGAATATAGTATTAAAAGGATAAAGGAGATTCTGATTCAAAGACACCAATATAGTGCAAAATAAGTATCAGTCATCCCGATTTAATGATAAAAAAATGCTTTTAAAGAAAATATAAATATTTTTTCCATATTTCAGCCGGTACATGTACGCACGGGTGTATGTGCGTATATGGACGCTACACTCCTGCCAAACCTGTAGTCAATAGTGAAAAAAAAACACTGTAGAGGACATTTAGATGGACAATATCATATAGTACATTATGTTTCGTAATGTTATGAAAGTGTTCAAAAGTTTCTGGCAGTATCTTGCTAATTTTGATCAATCTCGAATTCCACGCCATTGTTCCATGAGAGTTGACGTTGAGTAATAACGCGTTAAACAGTTTACTAAAAACGTGAAAAAATTATACTTTGTATACAGGCATAATAGATTTAGCTTCCTTTAAATTATAATTTTTTTGTGTTGGTTTCTTCTGTTTGGCGCCCCACAGTTGGAGATGTCTCTCGAACCCTTTGGTTTCTTGTGTTATTATGTCGCCATTTGTCGCACAGAAATTAATAATGGTCGATCTCAGTGCTCTCAAAGAGAAATGATTAATTAGTGCAAATATCATTTTGAGATTCTCTTCTGGATAAAATATCATCGTTATGTTTGTTAGAATGGTAGCAATCTATTGTTAGCATTTGCTGCTTTACTATTTCCCACGGTTAAAAACATGGCAAAAATTTGTCAGAAAATTTGGATGCATGCGTCAGTCAACCTTTTTTAATTTCCTCTGTTCTAAATTTGGTGATTTTCTCTATTAGCATTCGTAAACATTTGAACCTTTGGATTTTCTTAGAGAATGAGTTTAATGCAAATGCATATAGAACAGTAGATAATTTTAAGAATAAAAATACATGTACATGATTATAATTTTTTTAAAATACGCCTAGGCTGAACTACTGAAACTTAATATGAGATGGTTTGAGACAAAATAAGAATCCTCTTTCCGTTTTTACTGCCTTACAAGGACATTGCGAACAAGTGATCATGATTTTTGAATACTTTCAATGTATTTCTATCCTGCTGTAATGTGTATTGAACGTACCTCTCCGGGTAGAGAAGGGAGGTATTGTCTGATGGTGGCTGTGACTGCCTGTCTTACTTCTCCAATCTTCCAGCAATAGAAAAATGGATTAAGTGTAGAGTTTAGCAAAACTAAAGTCAGTGCAAATTGCCTAGCGACATACACAGGTGAGGATAATCCTTTCTGATTCATGATAATTCCAACTATACCATATGGCAGATAACAAACAACTAATATCAACTGTAGCCACAAAGCATTGGATACTGCCTTTCTGTACCGCGTTGTGTCCAGTTGACTGCATTGGCCAAGCTGCATAAAACTTTGTTCGTGTCTTAATTTTCGTCTTCGACGAAAAGTAAGAAAGATTTTTGTGTAAGAGAACAAAGATATTGCTAAACACACTGCGGTACCTATGTATCCGTAGAGTAAGGTGGCGTGATACTTTTGAAAATACATTGTTGCTCCACCAATAGATACCACCCAGAACGCACCCACCGTTATATAAGTTCTCTTGGAGGTCACAATTCGTCTGTATCTGAGTCCCAACATCAGGGCGACAAGTCTGTCTACACTTATTGCAGTCAGTGTAAATAAAGACACCGAACTCAGTGCATGACCCGTGATAAATATCAAGGCTTGTGCTTGGCGACAGATATCCCAACGTTCTTTAACCACCGATATCCAGTAGCCAACAATAAGTGGTTCCGATATAACACCGACACAAAGATCAGTTGTAGCCAGAGAGAGGAACAATATTTTGGAAGGAGAATGAAGAACAGTCGTCTTTCGAAATGCCACTAGGATGAGGGTGTTTCCCAGAAACGTAATGACTGAAAGAACAATATTCATGGCTGATAGACATATTAGCAAGTTGTGTGTTCCTCTTGTTAATTCGGTTGAGCAAAACAGTTCTTCGTATGTTTTCTCGTTTTTCTCGCTTGCTTGTCTCATTCTAGATTAGCAAGGGAAGTTTCTACTGCAATCTTGTCGGTTGTTAAGATGCCCGACCAAAGATACTGTTGAAATGGGTATATTTTTCCGCGGTAGGGAAGACCATAGGAGTAACGTAAACAAATTAAAACAAAGATCTAGACAGCGGTGAGTCATGACGTAAAACATGACGTAACACGCTGCGGCGGTACATTATCCCTGTTAGTAAATGGCCAACACTGAAAGAGACTTTTTGTCTTTAAAAACCTCTTTGTTAAAAAGGACAATATGCATATATACTTTCTATTACTAATGAATAACTATATTTATGGAACTGTGGAAAATTATTTGGATAACTTATTGTTATCGTGTATAAATGTCACCTGCCTGCTCACCTGCTCACATCCTCAGTTCTCTTTTGTGAAGCGGAATAAACTTTTTTTAGCATCTTAAAGTATACATACATTGTGTGTATGAAGGCAAGTCTGTGACGGCTAATAATTTATTATTTCCGATCATATTGCTTCCATATCCAGAGGATCGTCGTAGCTTTTTTTGCATAATATATGATCTGTTCATGAAAATATCGATGAATGTAATAGTCTTTAACTTCGAGGGTTTTTTTTGTTTTGATGGGCTGTAAACTTAGATTGATAACAGAACTGAAGCACAAACACTTAATTGTCTCACAATTTAGAAAAAAGTAAAAAGTGTGAGCCCTTTATTGACGCCAATATACAAGGAGTTACGCAAATTAAAGCCGTCAAAACAATACTTAGAAACTTAAATGAAAGCTTAAAAAAATCAGAAGCAGATACACAATATAAACACAGTTCAAAAATAGATAAAACAGTTGTGATTGGTAGTTTTGAGGCTATGTCCGCGGAGGCCTGGGTCGGTGTTGAGCTGAATTGCATTATGGTATTGTTAAGTCTGACGTATTTTGTCCCAGTTTTTTGCACAACCACGTAATTGCTTGTAAAAGAAGGCAGAGTCTACATTCTGTAACTCAGAAGAAAGTCTCGTAAATTTTTAAATTTAAGGAAAAAAAGAAGACAGACCAAAGAAAAAAGAGTCCGGAAGCTTTGTACCTAGTTTACTATATTTATCTCTCAGTTAACCATTACAGTAAAGAAGCAATTTGTTACCGACAGCCGTAATTCCATAGGATTTCTATGGTCTTTCCAAATCATTGAGCCCTAAATGAAAGCTAAACATTGTAAATCAGTACTTAACCCATATAATTATACATTTGGTACAAAACATAGTCAATGCTCTATTTTCTTAATACTTCTCTTCCTACTACATTGTCTTCCCCTCAATCTCCTTTTAAACAAATTTTCTTCTTAAAAAGCGATAACAAATATTACGTTGTCTAAGCCTCATGAGGTGTCCTTTCGAGGTTTGGAATCTAGACTGTACTGTGAAACAAGCGTTGGATTCCCCCAAACAGTCATACGATTCGAAACAACAAGGATTTTTTTAAATAGTCTCACGCAAGACTCCAAAATGGCTGCCAAAATAGCTTGACAAGTCGGAAGAGTAAAACGTTTTTATGTTATTGTTGAATGTGAAAAAGAGTCTTCATCGAAAACGGAAAGTCAGTAGAGAGTTGCAGTGTCTGCTAGGGCGGATTTAGCAACAAATATTTGGGCATACTCATCAAGAAAAATATCAGAAATAAAAATGAAACGTTCGGAGAAATAGTGCGGTATTCACACTGCGATCCCGTCACGAGGAACTAAGTTATAGGAGAAAACCGCGACGGCAGGACAATAGGCATACCGGTGATCGGTAGTACAAAGAGGGGAGGGTCGAATCTTCGAAATCACCAAAATCACATAAAAATATGTGGAAGCTCACATCTCTATTTACATACTGATTACTTCTTACTTCAATTCCCCAGTTGTTTTCCCCGGCAGCTTATTAATAAGCTTTTATGAAAGATTATTCTGCTGTGACGTGCAATTAGTGGATCGACACATTTCGTGCGTTGGGTAATATGCCTACTTTAATTGTGCGCTTTTTTATTGACAATCATTCAATGTTTTTGACCTGTATTCAATACCTCACGGTAGTAAAAAGCCATTTACCAAGCATATTGGTCTCCCATAATGGCAGGGAAACAATAAAAAGGGTGCGCGTGTGTTTCTTTCTCTAAATCCAGTTTAATGCTTTCTATCGGTTGCTTTTTCGAGTAATTAATCTGCCTCGCAAAATATTCATAACACGCAAAAAACTAAAAAATGAAATAAACTGAAATAATTCAATGCATAAAGTTTTGTACTTCAATTATTCAACAGCGCGTTAATTCATTTTTTTCTGAATCTCAATTTCCCATGAAATATTTGTATCCGAAGAGTTTCTTTCTTCAAGGTTCCGACTTAAGTATTTCTAATCTAAGGAGATAATATTTGCCCTCAAACGTCGTGTTTAAAGAGACAGCTGCGTTTCAGTTCAAAGCTATTAAGGTTGTATTTGTTCTTTATTTTCTTTCAATCTGTACTTTAAATGCGTGAAGTCGAGATGAGCACAAATTAATAGTCAAATGTGTTAGAAGTCTCTGGACTACTTAGTACTAAAGGGCTAAAAGGTGCAAAGAAATCAGCCCAGAGCAATTTCTTTAATTTTTTTTTTTAAGTTTCTTAATATCGATGAAACAAAATAATTTTATTCGCAAATCGCGCCACTCAGAACACTTGAGGAAACTTTAAAAAAGGAAAACATTTTCTTTATTTTTCTATGGCATTGGAAGGTTAGAAGAGTCTTGGCCCTTAGCTTTTAGAAAACGTTATTTTTTGGACCTCAGCTCCAGTTAAAAACCCAACAAGAAAAAACTTAATACATGTGGTAGTACATACATACTTTATTGTTACCTGCCCAAAGGTGCTTTTCAGGAACAAAGATTATATTACATTATACATTTTGATTTTAGTATAGGTTGGTCTGGTAAATGTTACGAGAGTCGTTGTCACAACTTTGTTACTTAATAGAAAATTGAGGTTTAGAAAGTGTTATTAAAATCTATATATCAAAAAAGAAATTTAAATATCCTTCCAAACAAAAACCATGTCAACATGCGTTTGCAATTCGACTTTAGATATGTGTGTGTTTGTTTTCTTTTATTATTCCCATAAGCATAAAAGTTGTCGTGTTGTACTCTTCACCGCCTGTCGTACTTCTCTGATTTTCCAGCAATACAACAAAGGATTTAATGAGGAGTTGAGGTAAACTAAAGTTACTGCAAAATATCTCGCTGAAAACATAAAAAGGTTGCTATTCCAAAAATTCGCTAGTATACCATAGGGTAAGTAACAAACAACTAATGTGAACTGAAGCCATAGAGCAGTAGACACTGCCTTTCTGTATCGTGCTATATTGCCGACGGGATTTGCTTGATTCCATCGATTTTCATGAACGCTTATTTGCAGTTGTTGGTGATAAAGAAAAATGAAAATTTTGGTGTAAGAGACGATTGAAATTATTAAACAGACTGATAATCCGATATAGCTAAACCACAGCGTTATATTGTAATTCCAAAAATACATGCTTGATGCAACAATGGATATTACCCAGAAACAAGCTACATTTATCTCGTATATTCGCTTCAAACGTAAACCTTGTCTGTATCTTAGTCCCAATGACACGATAAGAAGTCTATCCACGCCTATTGTAGTAGTTGTTAGCAAAGAGACGGAACACAATATAAAACTTGCAATGAAACTTGAATCTAAAGTGAAACGACAAATATCCCAGCGTTCCTTAAGCACAGAAATCCAATAGGTAACATTTAAAGGTTGTAAAATGCCTCCAACACAAAGATCTGTGATGGCTAAGTTACGAAATAAAAACTTTGACGCCAGCTGAAGGGAACTGTCCTTGTAAAGAGCAACTAAGATCAGTGTGTTCCCCATAAATGCAGTTATGGATAGTAGTATGTTAATAGATGCAAGACATATTATTTGGCTGTATAATCGTTCAACCAATTCTGAATCACAAAACCTTTCTTGTAAAGTCTTATGTACTCCGTCGCTGGAAAGGTTGTTCATCAGCATTTTTATGCAGTACTGAATACGTGTGATGATCAGTTTTGTTGCTTCTTTACGAAGCCAGGATCGGATTTTATGTTGATGTCATGTCTGTTGAGGCTTTACCAAACAGCTGTGTTAACTGGCGAGAGCTTACGGCCTCTAAGACGTCTTGTGGCCTATTTAAAAGGTTTTTTTTCCATAAAAACGTTATGACAAAAAGAACTGTTGGTAGCTGATATTTGTTGTTACCGAACCAGCAGTCTTCTCAACATTTAAAGTCTCGTCTTCTCTGTTGGGAGTCAATAAAATGCATTATTTACAAGAGTATTGTTATTGAAATTAGAGGAAAGGTTTAAGTTTGCCGTTAATCGGGTTGAAAAATTCGATGGTGTCTGTGTTTATTTTGGACGACGTTTTCATATCGAATCATACGTTTCGCGCTGGCCAGGCTTTTAAGTTGACAAGTTTATCAAAATTAAGCTTTTAAACTCTTCTATTACGACCTGCTATTAGACGATGGCAGTGTAGAACGATAATTTGGAGACGCCATGAAGTGGCCTAACACGATTTCTCTAACTTAAATTTTCAGAACAAGTTATCGCTTTTCCTTGTTAACAATAAAAAGAAAAAATATATCATCGTGAAAAACGAATAATTTTCTGATAGTTTAATACACTATTAGTACATACATACTTTATTGTTACATCCCCAAAGGTGCTTTTCAGGAACTATGATTATATTACATTATACATTTTGATTTTAGTATAGGCTGGTTTGGTAAATGTTACGAGAGTCGTTGTCACAACTTTGTTACTTAATAGAAAATTGAGGTTTAGAAAGTGTTGTTAAAATCTATATATCAAAAAAGAAATTTAAATATCCTTCCAAACAAAAACCATGTCAACATGCGTTTGCAATTCGACTTTAGATATGTGTGTGTGTTTTTTTAATTATTCCCATGAGCATAAAAGTTGTCGTATTGTACTCTTCACCGCCTGTCGTACTTCTCTGATTTTCCAGCAATACAACAAAGGATTTAATGAGGAGTTGAGGTAAACTAAAGTTACTGCAAAATATCTCGCTGAAAACGTAAAAAGGTTGCTATTCCAAAAATTCGCTAGTATACCATAGGGTAAGTAACAAACAACTAATGTGAACTGAAGCCATAGAGCAGTAGACACTGCCTTTCTGTATCGAGCTACATTGCCGACCGGATTTGCTTGATTCCATCGATTTTCATGAACGCTTATTTGCAGTTTTTGTTGATGAAGAAAAATGAAAATTTTGGTGTAAGAGACGATTGAAATTATTAAGCAGACTGATAATCCTATATAGCTAAACCACAGCGTTATATTGTAATTCCAAAAATACATGCTTGATGCAACAGTGGATATTACCCAGAAACAAGCTACATTTATCTCGTATGTTCGCTTCAAACGAACACCCTGTCTGTATCTTAGTCCCAATGACACGATAAGAAGTCTATCCACGCCTATTGTAGTTGTTGTTAACAAAGAGACGGAACACAATATAAAACTTGCAATGAAACTTGAATCTAAAGTGAAACGACAAATATCCCAGCGTTCCTTAAGCACAGAAATCCAATAGGTAACATTTAAAGGTTGTAAAATGCCTCCAACACAAAGATCTGTGATGGCTAAGTTACGAAATAAAAACTTTGACGCCAGCTGAAGGGAACTGTCCTTGTAAAGAGCAACTAAGATCAGTGTGTTCCCCATAAATGCAGTTATGGATAGTAGTATGTTAATGGCTGCAAGACATATTATTTGGCCGTATAATCGTTCAACCAATTCTGAATCACAAAACCTTTCTTGTAAAGTCTTATGTACTCCGTCGCTGGAAAGGTTGTTCATCAGCATTTTTATGCAGTACTGAATACGTGTGATGATCAGTTTTGTTGCTTCTTTACGAAGCCAGGATCGGATTTTACATTGATGCCATGTCTGTTGAGGCTTTACCAAACAGCTGTGTTAACTGGCGAGAGCTTACGGCCTCTAAGACGTCTTGTGGCCTATTAAAAAGGTTTTTTTTCCGTAAAAACGTTATGACAAAAAGAACTGTCGGTAGCTCATATTTGTCGTTACCGAACCAGCAGCGAGTCTTCTCAACATTTAAAGTCTCGTCTTCTCCGTTGGGAGTCAATAACATGCATTATTTACAAGAGTATTGTTATTAAAATTAAAGGAAAGGGTTGAGTTTGCCGTTAATCGGGTTGAAAAATTCGATGGTGTCTGTGTTTATTTTGGACGACGTTTTCATATCGAATCATACGTTTCGCGCTGGCCGGCTTTTAAGTTGACAAGTTTATCAAAATTAAGCTTTTAAACTCTTCTATTACGACCTGCTATTAGACGATGGCAGTGTAGAACGATAATTTGGAGGGGCCATGAAGTGGCCTAACACGATTTCTCTAACTTAAATTTTCAGAACAAGTTATCGCTTTTTCTTGTTAACAATAAAAAGAAAAAACATATCATCGTGAAAAACGAATAATTTTCTGATAGTTTAATACACTATGTACAGTTGCAATATCCATGGGTCTTCATATTTGATCTCAAATGAGAAATTACTGGCGACGATAAACGCCAGAACAGTAGGTGATTTATGATTTATGGTTATATGGATCTTAAACGCCACAGGATCTTTTCCTGATTTGTCATGAACCAAAGACCAAAGATGATTTAGTTTGTTTGGAAATTTGACGGCCATACGGGTTTGCGTGCCCGGCATAAATAGACCACTTAATTATTTATGACGCATTAATGGTGAAGAGTAATTGTCTTACCTGAATTTAAATACGATATTTATTTTAACCGTTTCTTCGCGAAAAACGGTGTTCATTTTGATTACATAAAGAAAAATCTGCCGTTTTCACGTTTTCTACTGAAATATACACATCTGACCATTAGAGGTGTTCGCAAGTGTTAAGATGGAGGACTTTGTTTTATTGAAATTATTGATTAAAATATATTGGCAACCTTCAACGTTAAAAAGTCTTTTGTCTCACACCAAGACTTAAAAATTAATGAGTCTCCAAACGCAGCTGTAAATTGAATCGTTGGGAAGAGCGCTTGAGAGGACAGGCGGCGTGCATGGGAGACAAAAAAGTTTCATGCCCTTAAAAGGACTCAAACTTTATTATTGGTTAAACAATTATAAACCTTTTATGGTGTTTCTTCCCTTTTTATGATTCATTCCACCCTTAAATTCACAGTTCCGACGTGGACGCCCACTAGCCTTGCCGCATGGAACACAAGCTCCACATCTATATTGCTGTCATGGCAACCGTTAGCAGACTGGTATTACCTTCACGGAATACTTCGCGGCTATTTGATCAGTTACAGTAGAGTAGACGGTCTGTTATCCAAGGAAAATGTCAGCACGAGTAGTTCAAGTTTGTTGTTAGAGTTGACGGGGCTAGACGAATACGTCGAATATCGACTGGAGGTTCGCGCTTTCACAGTGAAGGGATCTGGTCCTTATGCTTACGTCAACTGTATTACGGAACAAGATGGTAAAACAATTACATTTCATCCCTTTTTTATTCAATTTACACTTACATTTAGCACGGTTACCAAAAGGAATGAGTAGGAGTTAAGTAACGGAAGAATGAATAAGATTAAAGTCGTTCTTCTGAAAGCCCGATATCAGGGTTTAATTTATGAAAATACTGTTATAAATTGTGAATATAATGGACAATCATCCACCATACTAAGTATTATAACTACGACCTTTTTGTCTGTTTTGTTTTTCTAATTTTAGCTGATGCTCTTAGAGATAAATTTTTACGAACTGCATCCAAGTCCAGAAAGGGAAAAAAGATTTGTCGTGCAGACATGTTGTTCTGTTTTCTATGTTTTGATTCTCATTCCGTGGCAAGGTGCAAGAAAAAATTGCGTAATGTTCTCTCTCCCCGCATCCACTCATGAACCAGAATGAATTATCACTCTACCGAAAGAAAAGCATTGTGGATCACATTTGTTTATGCGTAAACATATTGACATTAACCAGTGTTAACAGCGAAAACCTGGGACATTTTGTATCACGTTTTGTTTTTGAAACTTAAATTAACTTAAAACTGTAATTTTTTTCAGTACCCGGAGCTTCCCCTCAAAATGTCTACGGCTTCAACATCAGTAAGCATGACATCCGGGTATTTTGGGAAGAGGTTCCTTATCGTGACGTCAATGGTATCATTTTGGGTTATCGTGTTTTCTTTAGCAGCACTGTGGATGAAGTATTTAATCAGACTGTGGACTTTCCAGGAACAAGTACCACGTTGAATTTCCTGAAACCTTATAGCTTTTATACAATACAGGTGTTAGCGTTTACTGTAAAAGGAGATGGCCCAAAGAGTCCGCCAATTATCGTCAGAACAGAAGAAGAAGGTAAAACACGTGTAGTTTTAGTTTTTAATATTTTTTCCTATATACTTAAAAATCCGAAAGGTACAGACGGCAAATTGTCCAGTTTCTAATTCGTCGTGACTGCTGAATAAAAGCGCCGAATGTTTGTATAGGATTAGCCACGACCTAAAGGTAAAATATTCATAAATACCGGCGAGAAGGTGCCTGAATTTGAGTTTAAAACAGTAGACGCAGTTGTACACAGATCTTCTCCTGAATATATTTACCTTAGGTTAAGGCTAACCCTGTATAAGTGAGTCTTTAGTGCTTCTATTCAGCAACCGCGACGAATTCGAAACTGGACTATTGTTGTTGCTGAAAAAATCTATAAGTAAAAACTGTTCATCAAAAGGATGCCTAAACTGTTTCATTTCCACAATTGGTTTCGGCTTCATTAAATGCTATACAAATTGTCGGTAGAAGACTTTAGGGGTAGCCGACCTCAATGAGAGCAGACTTGAGCTAGAACTGATCGCAAGGGCATCTGGCTTGACAGACTCTACCGTATACAGTGTACTTATAAGACGGAGGCCTAGAAATGGAGCCGAGATTATATGGTTTAGTGAGATTTCACTGTATACATATGTGCGACAGACAGCTATAGAAATGGTTCTGAGATAGGTCCGTCTCACACTGAGTTCGCTGTGTAAGTAAATAGCAGATATGGTCACTATGTAGGAAATAGTCGGTACAGATCCCTAGGGCGTGTTTGTTGAGATATTTGAGGCGGATTCCAAATAAACCGTAATTAGGAAGAATTTTAAAAATACATACGTATACATGTAGGGTGCAGTGCTACGGTGATGATAAACAGTAACTCGGATACACTTAACGCTCACGCAAGCATTGAACTCACAAGACAGCTAGTGAATGATCCCGAACTTTTCCATCGGAGTTGCTAATACAGCGGAACCTGAGGGTGTTTGTCATGGACCAATTTTACGGTGCTATTTCATGATGTTGTATAATTCTTTCCTTCGTAGCGCCTCAAGTTTATCCCTGGAACGTGACTGGCTTCAACGTCAGTTCAACAGTTATTTATATACAGTGGTCTCCAATACCTCCAGAACTGGTTGCTGGAGTTTTACGAGAGTACAGAATTGTTTTAGATGAACTTACTTATGATAACGTGCCAATCAGAAGGCACACCATAAGACTGTCGTCCGATAATTTGTTCGTGAACCTGACGGGACTTGCGAAGTACAGAAACTACACAATTGAATTGCAAGGAATCAGCAAGTTCTTTGGTGTAAGCAGTCCCCCTATTATAGTCATCACAGACGAAGATGGTAAGAAACACGCCCATGAGTACGGGGGAGGGGGTACTCCCTGTAAAGTTTTCTACGGGGAGACTCCGCCCTAAAGGGGTGCTTTTTTCAGGCTTCTGGTTTAGGAAAGGGTAGGGATCTCGCGTATTGAAGTTTATAAAAGGGTGGGGGCATCTGTCATTTAGTAGCCTCCAGCTCCAGCTAGTCATTTAGGTAATTAAAAGGCTCTTTTATCTAAATATTTCAAACAAACGCACCATGTGACTGTACGCATTTAATTTAGGTTCTTCCGTATCCAAGAATTTACAAAGGGACGCTGCAGTGTCCTTAACATAGGTATTTCAAAAAGGTAGCATTCTAAAATGGAAAGTATACTAAACCGGGTACTGGCCTTTTATGTGAAAATTGGAAATCCACCCAAGCGCATGTTTAAGTATATTGTCTTGTTACCTTGCAGTACCAAACGTTCCACCGCACAATGTCTCCTCGACAAACACAAGCTCCACTAGCCTGATGATAAATTGGCAGCCCATTCCAAGAATAAATGTTAATGGGATTCTACTTGGTTACCGAGTTTTTTACCATGAAAAATTAACAGCCAGAAGAAGGAGAAGAGCTATACAATCACACATTGAAACAGTTAGAGTGTTGCCGCCAAACGCCACATCTGTTGAAATATTCAATCTCAAAAAGTTCACTAATTATTCTTTCAGAATAGTTGGCTTTACTAGCAAAGGCGAGGGGAAGATTAGTCAAACGTTTAATGTATCTACCGACGAAGACGGTAAGTTGAGGACTGAATGACTTTGACTACCAGAATCCTTCGGGTTTTTGTTTAGTAGTACAAAATATGATTATTATTAAACCCGGCTTGAATCAATAAGTTCCAGGGTTTATTAGAGTAAGAAAGCAAAATGAAGTCAAACGAAGTAATCATGAAAATGCCCTGTTATAGAGCGTTTTCATATGACGTCACGGTGTTCCAAAACAATGACCCGGCGGCCATGTTGGTGTATCAAGACAGTACTGTGGGGGGTTAAACTCTTTTCTAATGTAAACGCTTCCTTTTATTCCAATAAATTTCCATTGATGCTGGGCAGGTGCGTAAAAGCGCTCAGTAGATGAATTAAAGTGTTTTGGTAAGATTTATATGTTAAGCAGACATCTTGTGAAGCGCTGTACATGATCTGTGTTATTGAGAGTTAATGAAAATGTTTGTAAAATTTAAATGCATGTAGACCAAACGACTGACTCTGGTTGAACTATATTTGCATAACATGCCTAAGATTGATGAATGAGAACTCCTGAAACGTTTCACCGATATTTCAATTTAACTCAGCACTTTCCTAAAACTTTGTCGTAAAAGAGACTTGAACTAGCTTTTCTTCTGAAGTAACCTAATCGCAAACTGGAGAACTTAACCTTGTAATTCAGTGGCAGAAATCACGAGGAAACTAAAACAGACTTTGAAATCTTAATTTGTATCTTGTAGTTCCCAGTAAAGCTCCTGTCGATCTCAGCGCGGTCAACTCCAGCGGGCCATATTCTATTATTGTGTCCTGGAAACCAGTCCCAGACTGCTTTGTTCATGGTATTCTTCGGGGTTATCGAGTTCTGTACAAACTTCTCACTATAGCTGAGGAGTCCGTACAAGCAGAGACTGTCATCAAGACCACTGATGAAAAAACATTAACAACAACATTAGAAGGACTAGAGAACTACGGAGTGTACGACATACGAGTGTTAGCATTTACTATTAAAGGAGACGGAGCAGTAAGCCAAAGCATAGCAGCAGGTTAGAAATTTATATCAGAATACAGTAGTCGTGCTTTAGCTGTAATCAATTGCATTGACTCTGGTCATGAAAGGACAAAGGTTGCCTAGTCCCCGTATGGCGTTTTCCCAGGTCTTCTCGGTCAGTTCACTTCGGTGACGTATCCTAGGAAAACGGGCAGGAAACTCACTTCTTCGCTAGGACCACGTTACATGAAACGCATTGGCCGCGCGGAATAATGAAGCCTAGGGACTAGGCAAGGACAAAGTTATAATATACCAGCACGGGTAGAACGGCAAGATAGGAATAAGCCATTTCTGAGTTGCGCCAAGACTCTGTTTCAAAGCGAAGCAAAGTGCGAAGCCATTGATTTGAAAATAATTTTTTGCTCTCATGAAATAAAACTCATTTTCACAAGAAAGGTTTTGCACTTAGCCTTGTTTTGAAAGTGAGAGATTTGGAACTCGGAAATGACCTGTATTCGACTGAAACTTGAAATAGTCGGGTCCATAACCATTTCATGTTTAGTCACTTTGGTACTGGGAAAAAACACCCTCAATAATCGTCGGTAAACAATTACAGATTGCTCCAACTGATAAAAAAAGAACTGATTTCTTTGTTGTGTTTTTCAGACCATTTTATCAGTTCAGTGAGTGAACCTTTGTAATTTTATTTTCATTTTAGAAACTTGCAGATGTCCGAATATATTTACGACGAATTGGTACTCCATTGGACCATACATGACCCGGCAAGGAAGTTCATTCGAGGGACCTATTCCTTTCATTCTGGACGGGGCTGCGAAAACTTGTTGCCCACAATGCCGCAATGGATTAAATGCAACAATAGACTACGAGCATGACAAAAACGGCGTCGCCGCTGAGAAGACAAGCATGTTGACATCGAAAAAAATTGAGAATGAAGCGGAGATGAGTTTCCCTATCGAAGGATACCAAGGTCAAAATGCGTATGGGATTTATCGTTACGTACCCCTGATGGAGTCTGGTGGGGTGGCTCTGGTTGGTACGTTGCCGACGATAGAGGAAAACACGAGTTTTATGATAATGGTTGGCACTACTTGCTTTCCAATGGCTCTGATGGCGTTTCTCCTGATAATGATTGCTGGATGGGTTATATGGTTCCTTGTAAGTCTTTTACTCGTTTTCTTAGGCCATCAGTGATAAACAACCTAAAAGCTACAAAACTACCACCACGTTCGATCTTTAAACAACAGAAACATAAAATACCCTGGCGATGAAACAACACCCAGAATCGATCAAACTTCGGGTCCGTGCGCCGAAAAGACGAAACAGTTTTATCGGCTTTCTGTCAGGATCGATCACCGGTAGACGGTGTATTCACCGGGAATCCTTAGAGTATAAGTTTTATTCCGTAACAAAATTAATTTTTTTTCGTAGAATGCCCTAAGACTTGTTTACCTATTGATAACTGATATCATTTGATTTACTTCTTATCTTAGGAGTCTGGAACTAACTCTGAGGAATTTCAAAGACAATTCACTAAAGGATTGTGGGGAGGATTTTGGTGGGCATACATCACCTGCACCACTCTTGGGTAAGAGGTCGTTGTTAGGAGGTCGGAGGGGAAGCGTAAAGAGAGAGAATAAGTTAAACGAGGGTTGCTAAGGGTAAAAAGCTCTGGAGCTGCTTAATGGGGAAATCGCCTTGTGAAGGGTTTAAGAAGGGGAAGGAGCTAGCGGAACTATTCCCTGTACCGTCAGCATATTTTCCGAAAACGTGTTCTTTGGATCAATGTTAAGATTTTTAAGGAAGCGTCATAGCAGGTTCGCATCTAGTAATCG